GAATTTACAATTACCATGCAGTTATATAGATTTGGTTATTTAGGAAAACATATTTTTGAAAATAGTTTTAGTAGAACTATTTGACAACTTCATTTATATAGCAAAATATCAATCAAAAATAAATATTTTGAAAATTACATCATTCTAATGCCCCTTTCACTCTCGTATGCCTCTGAGTTTGGATGGTGAATTATGTGAAGGGATTCGGAATTGTTTATCAGCTGTCCCTTTATGTATTGAATGTCCTCATAAGTCAGCAGAAAAGAAGTCCCAGATTTGCACGAAGTGCTGACACAGCCATTTTGCAAGCTAACTGCAAAATGAGAACTTGAACTTACTATCTCAAGGAGTTGGCATATTTGGCACATATTTCACAGCCATGAAAGCATCTCTGGCCGTGGCTCCCCAGGACCCCTGTGATCCCTGGGGCTTGCCTGCAGCCATTTGCACGCATTTGGGTGGCTGTCTTCATCTTAAGAGTCGACACACCCAGGCTCCTATGACGTTGCCCTGACTCTGTGGGGAGGAAGCACCCTCGGCATCCCCCAGTCCTCACTCCAAGTCCCTTTCTGCCACTTTATTTACAGAATCGACACTCCCAGGGCACTCTGTGAGCATGCCCTCTCTAAATATCAACTCGCGGGATCTTCATGAGGACCCCGAGATAGTCATGGTGATTATTCCCACTTTACAGAGAACATGGCACAGAGAGGCTGAGAAACTGCCTAAGGTCTTGCACCTCAGAAATGCATTTCACAGCTGGCAGTGTGGCTCCGGCGTCCGTGATCTTACCCCACACTCTGGGCTACCCTTTGGTGCAACCACACCATGAGACCACCTCTCATTCCCAGCCCAGGCTGGATATTTCTAAAGAACCTTCTCCAAAAAGATTCTCTCCACCTACCTCTGTCCGTTGCTTTGGAATCTTTAAGTCCAGATGCATAACTGCTTAGTCACCCAGCTGGACTCCTTTTCATTTGGTTCTAACAATCACTCTGAACTAACATCCTGCAGCACTTAATTCACCAGATCACAATTTTCCATTTATTGATCTGTCTGCACCAGTGATGGTGAGCCCTGTGTCCCATTTACTCATATAACCCAGCACTCACATGGTACTTGACACAGTGAGGTCATAATTAAATAAGTGAATGAACATTAATAAATAATTTAATACAGGTGCATTCCCATGGTATTTACTCTAAGTGCAGCATTGACTCTAAGGTTATAGGAAACAGAAACTGTGCCTCCTCCCTTTCTTCCTTCCAATTTGTGACTCACCTTTTACTGGAAGAATGCTTTTTATAAAATACTTCCTACCTGGATTCCCATAGGCTAAGTCCTACGACAACACTCTCAGCATATACTTAAGCATTTTCTTTTTTATCCTTACCCGAGGACATTTTTCCACTTTTTGTTCAGATAGAGTGGGAGGGAGAGAGAGAGAGAGAAACATCGATGTGAAAGGGACACATCGAATGGTCGCCACCCGCACAACCCAACCAGGGCCAGGGACAAACTGCAACAAAGGTACGTACCCCTAGCGGGAACCGAACCCGGGTCTCTCTGGACCTCAGGCCAATGCTCTAATCGCTGAGCCAAACCAGCCAGGACTACTTAAGCATTTTTTAAAAAAAGAAAATAGACTGGCAAACTAGAGTCTTTAGCCCATTTACATTTAATGTAATTACTGCTGTATATATAGGTTTAAATCTACAATTTTATTTTATTTTTTTACTACACTAGTCAACTAACTAAGGGAACCTTTATTGAGAACCTATGGCCACGGAACTTATGCAGGAGGCCACCCTGAAGAGCAGGAGGGTCTATATTTGACCTTCTTCCTGGGGTTAGGTTGGTGGTAGCTGGTAGCATTTGACAGCATGGGAGTGCAGGCAAGGAAAACACCTGGGACAGATCATCCTGTGGAAGTTGCATTTCTGGGTGAGCTGGAGGAAGGAAGGCTCTATAATGCCACCTGGCAGGCCAAGCACCAAGTTCAGGGTGATTTTTTTTTTTTTTTAATCTTTATTGTTGAATGTAGAATGTATTACAGATGTTCCTCATTTTTCCCCCATTGACCCCCTCCTCCCCACTCCAGCCCCCTCCCGCCTTTTCCCACACTATTGTCTGTGTCCATTGGTTATGCATATAAGTTCTTTGGTTTATTTCTTCCCATCCCCCAACCCCTTTCCCTTTGAGGTTTGACAGTCTAGCAGTGAATTTGTACTTCTTAATCCCTTCACCTTTTTCACCTATTCCCCCAACCCCCCTCTCATCTGGCAACCAACAAAATGTTCTCTGTATCTATGAGAATGTTTCTGTTCTACCTGTTCATTTTGTATGTAGATTCCATTGTCAATAAATATGTATTCATTGCCATTTTGTCTGTTCATATATTTTATCTTTTTCTTCAAAAAGACCCTTCATCATTTCATATAATAAAGGTTGGTGGTGATGAACTCCTTTAACTTTTTCTTGTCTGGGAAACTCTTTATATGGCCATCGATTCTAAATGACAGCTTTGCAGGATAGAGTAATCTTGGTTGTAGGTTCTTGCTTTTCATCACTCTGAATATTTCTTGCCACTCCCTTCTGGCCTGCAAAGTTTCTTTTGAGAAATCAGCTGACAGCCTAATGGGAACTCCCTTGTAGGTAACTAGCTGCCTTTCTCTTGCTGCTTTTAAGATTCTCTCTTTGTCTTGAACCTTTTGCATTTTGATGATGATGTGTCTTGGTGTGGGCTTCTTGGGGTTCATCTTGTTTGGGACTCTCTGTGCTTCCTGAACTTGTATGTCTGCTTCCTTCACCAAGTTAGGGAAGTTTTCTGCCATTATTGTTTCAAACAGGTTTTCAATTTCTTGTTCTCGCTCTTCTCCTTCTGGTACCCCCAAGATGCGAATGTTGGCATGCTTGAAGTTGTCCCAGAGGCTCCTTACACTATCCTCATTTTTTGGATTCTTTTTTCTTTTTGCTGTTCTGATTGGGCATTTTTTGCTTCCTTATATTCCAAATCGATGGTTTGCTTCTTGGATTTACATACCCTACTATTGAATCTGTGTAAATTATTCTTTATTTCAGTTAATGCCTCCTTCATCTCTGATTGTGCATCCATCATTTCTGACTGGTCCTTTTTTATGTTCTTGAGGCCCTTACTAAGTTCACTGATCATCCTTATAAGCAGTATTTTGAACTCAGCATCGGGTAGGTTGCTTGTCTCCATTTCACTTAGTTCTTTTCTTGGGGTTTTGTTCTGTTCTTTCATTTGGGACCTGTTTCTTTGTCTCCTCATTTTGGCTGCCTCTCTGTGTTTGTTTCTGTGTTTATTACTTAACGAGAGGTATGGGGCTAGCTGAGACCAGATGCTGCTTGTTTGAAAGAATTTAGGAAAAACCTGAAGCAGGATCCAAGACAGGCCAATCCATGGTTAAGCAAGTGGCAACAGCTTGGGTGGGCCTGAAAGTTGGGTGGGGCGGGGCCTCAGGGAGTCACAGGGCGGGGCTACCAGTGTGAGCCAGGTTGCTGGAGTCCCAGATATGGCGGCTGTCTGCCGCCCCCGGGAAGGGCTCACCAAAGGAACAAAGGCCTCTGACAACATGTCTGTCTAAGAGAAAGCCCCCTCTCCAGTCCTCACTCCAGTGCCAGACAGCTCAGTTCTTCCCTGTGTGTCTCTGGTGCCCCTCGAGCTGCCTCCCCTCCGAGCTTAGAGGGAGAGAGTCCGATAAGTCTGTGCGCGGGCCCTTTAAGGAGCTGCCTGGGGCTCCAGCCGCCTCAGCTTCCCTGAGCCTCAGTTCCCACTGGTTTTTCCAGCCAGAAGTGATGGGGATTCTCTTCCTGGCACTGGAACCCTGAGCGGGGCACCCGGTGTGGGACAGGGACCCCTCAGTCCTCAGGGAGGACCTTCCCAGCCGAGGTGTCCTCCTGATTTGTATCCGCCACACGTGGGTGTGGGACCAGCCCTCGCCTCCGCCCCTCCTACCAGTCTGGATGTGGCTGCTGCTTTAATTCCGTAGTTGTAGGACTTCCATTGAGCTTGATTTCAGGTGGCTTTGAATGACGGTTGTTCTGTAGTTTAGTTGTAACTTTGATGTGGTTGTGGGAGGATGCGATACTGCATTTACCTACCCGCCATCTTGACCGGAAGTCTGAATTTTTTCTGGATGTTAAAGTCTGAGTGTGGCCATCCTCTAGCTATTTATTCACAAAAAGCAGCTGCTGCTGGCTAGGCAGGATGCCCTCCTTGTCTCAAATTTGGCTTTAACATTCTCAATGATGTCACTGGGTTCAAAGCAAAAGCAATGATCTTGTACATCAGGGTCTCACAAAGATCTGCATCTCTACATCTGCTGATTGGTTGCCTCATTGAAGAGAAAAAGCTAAGTCTACAGTACTTTTAGACTCATGTGTTTTAAATTCTGTTTTCTCTCCTCTTTGAAGGAGAATAATGATTGTGAAAAGGGAAACAAAGATGGAAAATCTCAGCATGCAGGCTAGTTTTCAGGCAAATAAATTCTAGCAAACTGTACATAGTAAATTTGAGAATCTGGACAAGTATTCTATTTAAAAAGGGTTATTAGACATTCTAGCATCAGGTGTGAAGGCACAGGGGAGAGAGAGGAAGGGTGAGAGCACGTTAACCTGCTCCTGGAAGGGACCGTGGAAATAATTTGCTACAAATATATGAGGGTAAAATAATCAGTTAGTGCTATCCAAACAGAGAGTATAGTCTGCTGTACAAAACCATTTTGAATTATCTAAGCTATTCCATAATGGAGCTTATTAGTATAGTTCTGGGCTTGAGCCCAATCCTTTCTTCTTGGAAAGTGAAATCAAGATAATATGGTTTCCCTGTCAGTAATGGACTTGAGGTTTTAAGTACTGCCAATATCAACGTTGGCTTCAGAGGCAATCATGCTAACGGTGAATCTGATAAGTCACGGGAGGGGAGGAAGGGGTATAAAAGGCATGTTGAACTAGGGAGTCTCTACCACTGAGGCAAGATGATCAAGCTCACCCTCCTCACTGGTAAGGAACCACTCTCTCCCTCCTGCTTTTCTGCCCCTTTATAACTTTCTTTTTCCTTCTAACTCAATAAAGTCGCCCGAGATGATTGCTTTGGGGAAGCACAGAGGCACAGATCCTTCCCTGGCAATAGGTCTCCCATTGCCCTGCAGTCCCCTCCCTTCCCCGGGCCTCAAGGCTCATGGCCCTTAGTGGTCTCGTGAGCCAGCGTAGAGGGAGTGGGCTTCCAGGAGAAACCCCGAGACGTGATCAGCCTCGGTAGGTTGGGAGTCTACAGAGAGTGTTAAAAAGACTCGAAGAGTAAAGCCCAGTCAACATGCCCTACTGCAAAGGGACTCGACACGGCGTGGAAAGGCCGCCGTGGCCGCAGATGCGTTCCTCCGGCTCACTGTCGTCTCTCTCTTGAAGGTCTGCTGCTCGTGCTGACGGCTGAGATAGGTATGCACCCCGCTCGGCATGGCCCCGTTCTGCCTTCGTTTCTTCATCATCTGGAAACTCAGCACAGCCCTCTGTCCTTCTACATTCATTAATTCCTTTAGAGTCTGAAATCCTCTAACCAAGTTAGCAGTTTGGGATCATTGGCCTAAAACCCCAAAGCTGAAACCGACTAGACAGTGGTCTTACAAATAAATGTTAACAATAAAAAATAGCGTGGTGAGACATCTTCATGGTGCCTTCTGCTCTGTTAAAACTTTTTCAAATCTGTCATCTCACTGAGTCTTTTAAACAACTCTTCTTTAAGAGGTGGACAGGAAATGTATTACCACCCATCTCGCAGCCCAGTGAACCAAGAAACATAGGGAGGCCACGGCAGAATCCAGCCCTGAAGCCAGGACTTGACTCCGAGGGGATAGTCCATTTCCCTCCGAGTGAAATTATTGCTCAGGGAGACAGCAATCAGTGCTACACTGACTTATACTCTCATCCTTTCTGGGTTGTACTTTCCAAATGAGTAAAATGAGAATAATAACCTCGTAGGGTTTTGGTGACGATTAATGAATGAATTTAAGTAAATTACTGAGAGCTGAGCTTAGTACAGGAATACTTAGTAAGCATTACTGATTGCTAGTGTTAGCATACAGAGGAGACTAGAATACATTTAAATCAGAGTTTACAGCTTTCAGGTTTTTTTTTCAGCAAAAGGCACTGCTTTCTAAGGCTCTTAATTTTTTAATATGTTTTTATTGATTTTTAGAGAGAGAGGGAGAGAGAGACAGAAACATTGATGAGAGAGAAACACCCGTCTTTTGCCTCCTGCACACCATGGCCCCACACTGGGGACTGAGCCCACAGCCTGGGCATGTGCCCTGACCGGGAATCGAACCAGTGACCTCTTGGTTCATGGGTTGGTGATGCTCAATCACTGAGCCACACCAGGCAGGCTTTTATGTATTTATTTATTTTTTACTATAAGGCTCCTTAATTCTCTCTTGAGGGACAGAGCTGCCACTGAGAGATAGCTGCAGCCCAGATTGCCTGCTAATTAAGGGTTGGTTGCAATAGACAAGGCTCTCGGCACATCTTTCCCTTCCCCCTGAGAACCAACAAGAAAGTTATCTGGAAGTCTGTAGTTTCTTAGGCAATCCATAACTCCCCAGGGAGCTGGCCCTGTCACTGTCTCACCCTCTTCCTCTGGCTAACAGGTTCTGCCTACCAGCTGATATGCTACTTCACCAACTGGGCCCAGTACCGGCCAGGCCTGGGGCGCTTCAAGCCTGAGGACATTGACCCCTGCCTCTGTACTCACCTGATCTACGCCTTTGCCGGGATGCGCAACAACGAGATCACCACCATCGAATGGAATGACGTGACCCTCTACCAGGCTTTCAATGGCCTGAAAAACAAGTAAGTGATGAGAGGACTGAAGTTTGAAATCTTTTAACCTTCAAGAACAGTTTAAATAAGACCTTCCACAGTAGCCTCCAGGCTGAAATTCCAGACAGGCCTACGAGCAGCACACAGATAAATTCCGAGCTTTCTTACTATTTCCATTACAGGGGTGACTTTAACTTAAGGGCAGTGGGTGGTCACAGGACGGGGTTATCAATCGAAGTCCAGCTCAGTTGCCAAGGGAAATTTAGAAAAGTCCAAGTACTGTGGACTCAGGTGAGAACAATCTTGCACTTGGAAGCAACCCCAGGCTGGCATTGGCCAAGCACTCAGTACCCTTAGTGGCCTCGCTGCAAGGGGAGTCATTAGAACCATAACCACATTGAAACTACCAGCCTTAGGTCACCTGCTCCAACTGCTCTCACAATTCAAGGGAAAGGATGAGAATGAAGAAACCCGTATGAAAGGCTGCATGAGGCTTCTCCTGGCTTCTCAGTCATAACAGCTGGTGTTGAAATGCTTTATCTTTCTTTTCACTTGTTCTGACACACTCTTTGCTTCTTTTCCCTCAGAAACAGTCAGCTGAAAACTCTCCTGGCTATTGGCGGCTGGAACTTTGGAACTGCTCCGTAAGTTTTTCAACATGACTGCCTATACTGATATTACGACCAGGTTTGGGGACCACTGAGGCATGCCCTCACCCTGCCTGGTTGGGGTCTCCCTTAGTTTCACTACCATGGTTTCCACTCCTGAGAACCGCCAGACTTTCATTAACTCGGTCATCAAATTCCTGCGCCAGTATGAGTTTGACGGGCTGGACTTTGACTGGGAGTACCCTGGCTCACGTGGGAGCCCCCCGCAGGACAAGCATCTCTTCACCGTCCTGGTGCAGGTGAGCTGCGTTCCTTGTCGCTTTGTAAAATTTAAAGTTCATTTTTATTTTTTAAATATGTTTCTATTGTTTTTTTAGAGAGAAATAGAAATATCAGTAGGAGAAAGAAACATTGATCGGCTGCCCCTTGCACGCCCCCTACTGGGGACTGAGCCTGAAACCCAAGCATGTGCCCCAACCAGGAATCAAACCAGGACCTCTCAGTCCCTGGGACAACGCTTAATTCACTAAGCCACACAAGGCAGGCTTAAAGTTCATTTTTAAATTTCAGTTTACATTCAATGTTATTTTGTATTAGTTACTGGAAAGCACACCACCAATCTCATGTGAAGGATCACTGAGTCCATACAGAAAATCTAGCTCCTTGCAATCTCGGTGGGAGATGAAGAACCTGGATGTCCTACTGCAGTGAGAATGTTGAAGCATGAAAGATGGAAGATTAATTCAATTGAATTCAAAGAGTAGTCATGAAAGTTAACTTAGAGTTCATATTCATCAACGTTTTCCTACTCCTGTATAGGAAATGCATGAAGCTTTTGAGCAGGAGGCCAAGCAGGTCAACAAGCCCAGGCTGATGATTACTGCTGCAGTAGCTGGTGGCATCTCCAACATCCAATCTGGCTATGAGATCCCCCAGCTGTCCCAGTGAGTGATCCCTTGTCCCACACTCCTCTGTGCCACTTGTATAAGAGATGCTCATCCTCAGTCTATCTTGCTATTCAGGGACCTTGTTGAGGAAACTTTGGAAGTGGTTTCTTTGCCTGCAGAGGTGTGGGAAATGACCATCAGAGATAATTTTAACTGCTGTGCCTGGACTACAGGTACCTGGACTATATCCATGTCATGACCTATGATCTCCATGGCTCCTGGGAGGGCTACACTGGAGAGAACAGCCCCCTCTACAAATACCCAAGTGACACTGGCAGCAACGCATACCTCAATGTGGTGAGTCCCTACACAGACACATATTTAGACCAGAGATGGTGTCATAAATCACATGGAAATTCAGGAGCAAAACAAACATAGATTCTGCAAATATCTCACTTGTTATAACTGTCCTCTTAAGTGGCTGATCAAATCTAACATTCCACCAAAATGTTTTCTAAAAATACTAACAAATCCTCTTTCATTAATATCAAACAATCTGCCTGCTAGAAAAGGGGTCTAATATAACCAAACCCTGGGCCATCAGCCTGGCGTCCTCTTGCTAACCCACTGCCATTGCAGGATTACGTCATGAACTACTGGATGGAAAACGGGGCCCCAGCTGAGAAGCTCATTGTTGGATTCCCAACCTATGGACACACCTACATCCTGAGCAACCCCTCCAACCATGGAATTGGGGCTCCCACCACTGGCCCTGGCCCTGCTGGGCCCTACACCAGGCAGTCTGGGTTCTGGGCCTACTATGAGGTATGCCCCTGGAGTCTGAGAGAGAGAAAAGCACCTCTCTCTAGGCCATGAGTTTAACAGCATAAACAACTCAACATTTCTTGGCTCACTTAACAAGTAGTTGGCTCATTATGGGAGGCAAATGAGCACTCACGTTGCACATTAGGCTGGATTCCAAATGCAGGGAGCGTAGGAAAGATCAGCGTGCAGACACTGCTGGCGGCCTGCTGAGGCTCTTTACGAGCTCCTCCCACATGGCGACAAAGACTTAGAGTCCTGATGAACGAGAAACTGGCTGACAGAGCTCTAGGCCTTCCTTTGCAAGTAGCTGTTACATATCTCTTCTCTTTTCCCCTCCCTCGTGCCCTTTACCCCTGCTACGTGGATACCGTGCCTACCTTTTGACCTCCGCCTTATCCCCTCTTAGATCTGTACCTTCCTGAAGAATGGAGCTACTGAAGTGTGGGAAGCCGCTCAGGATGTCCCCTACGCTTACAAAGGCAACGAGTGGCTTGGCTATGACAACACCAAGAGCTTCAAAATCAAGGTAGACTGTACTCTGTGGACTGTTGTTGCCTGAGTGTGTTCCCCCTTGTAGCCCTGGAGCCCCATGTTGGCCTTGATGTCTGCACTTCATTGGATTTCTCCGTAATTACCACAGGCTGACTGGCTGATGAAGAACAACTTTGGAGGGGCCATGGTCTGGGCCATTGATCTGGATGACTTCACAGGCACATTCTGCAACCAGGGCAAATTCCCCCTGATCACCACCCTGAAGGATGCCCTGGGCCTGCAGAGTGCAAGTGAGTGACAGCAGGAGGAGCTCCGGGTCTGTAAATGCTCCTTCTCCAACTCAGTCACAGCTCTCACACCTGCCCATACCCACTGACCAGGGAGCCGCTTCCCCTTCGCCTCCCTGCTCCTGAGAGACAAGCACTAAATCTTTCCCTGTCCTTGGACCTCCACGTCAGAAATGTCATGCTCTTATGGGAAACCAAGCCCACCTGGGTGGCTTTCACAGGTCTGCTAAAGCTTAACTAAAGGTGTGGCAAAGCCTCAAGAAATGAGGCTGACCTTATAACATAAGCGTTTACTTCTCTATGATCCCCTTATTAAAAGTCTCTTTCAGCCCACCTGGGGAGATTCAACAAGAGATAATACTCACATATTTCCATCTGTAATTCAGGAAAGGTATCAACTCCCTGAACTTTTTCCATATTTTCTCTTAGAGCTTATTTGCTAAAGACTTATACTCAGATCCTAAAAAGTATTTTGTACCGTTTGGTGCTCAGTAAATTTGTTTTACTGATTATGACATCCTACGGGAAGAAAGAACTGTATAAATTAGAAACCAGACTGGCCTGAAATTTTAGCTTTCCTTATTTCTCAGTGTGGATCTATCTTGCCATCTTTTTAGTTGTAGGGGTCCAGAGCTGACTGTACCCCACCTCCAGTCCTCACCCCCAGGTCCACTAGTCTCCACACTCAGGCCAAAGCGGGAGCCTGTGCTGGTCACTAGCCTGCTCTTGTATCATTCCAGGTTGTACTGCTCCCTCTCAGCCCATTGAGCCAATAACCACTCCTCCCAGCAGCGGGAGCGGGAGCGGGAGTGGGAGCGGCGGCAGCGGGAGCGGCGGCTCCGGGGGCACTGGTTTCTGTGCTGACAAAGCCAATGGCCTCTACCCTGTGGCGGACAACAGAAATGCCTTCTGGCAGTGCCTGAACGGAATCACGTACCTGCAGCACTGCCAGGCTGGGCTTGTCTTTGACACCAGCTGTGACTGCTGCAACTGGCCCTAAACCTGACCTGTCTCCTTTGCCAGGGTTCTGAGCGGTCTGCATTCTTTGTTACACCTTGCTTCTACCTGGAGTTCTGCAATAAAATTCATCAGTCAAAACACGAGTGGCCTTGGTGTTCAGTGTCTGGGTGGAAACCTCCCCAGATGTGACAGTGCAGGCTGTGCACGGAGTGGCGGGAGCGCGTGTGTGAGGAAGTGGTGGGGATGGCCGTGCACTTCTGTCTGCCTGCTCTGATCCGCACAAAGGCTGGGGCTGTCGGTGCTGGGATGGAATGAGGGCATGAAGAAGGGAGGTCTGTAGCCTGGTGAGTGTCCTCAGAGAGGAGCCACAGTGATTGTGTGAGACTCTGGGGCACAGGCCTGCTTGGCTCACTCAGAGCAGAACAAAGCATTCTCTTCATGTCTGCTGAGGTCCTAGAGCTGGTCCAGCACCTCCTGGATTGTCAGCTTTGGGGAGACCTGTACAGTGGACTCCTTTTGGGGTGCCTGCCCAGCCTATGGGCAGCAGTTCCCTTTCTCAGGAGAGTGCCCCCCTTCTTGAACCCACAGCGGTGGCCACCAGCTTCTGGGCTTGCACTGCATCATGTCCTCCCCTGGCCTGGCTGGTTGACTGGCGTGGACATCAGACTCCAGGGCCAATCAGTTATCACCTCTTAGAATCTGCAGGGGGGAACAAGGACTGGTTGTCAGTCCCTGAGAGTGGCTGGGACTGTAATCTGCCAGCTCAGGAGCTGTAGTGAGAAGGTAAGAATGGAAAGTTGCCTGGACGCAGAGCAAGGATGCTAACGGGGAACCACAGAGGAAAGCCACGGCACCACGGCCACAGAACACCACCACCAGCTTTCCCCACTCGATTCCGCCTCCTCCTGAGGCCCGGATGCGTTTCTGCCTGTGGGCTCTGTGACACACCCCTATGACTACACAATAAGTTCTTTGCTGCTTAAGATGGCCCAATTTCTTTCTTTCATTTGAAACTAAAAGAACTTGAATATAAAAAGAATGTGATGGCTCCTGTTTTTTCCTGGCATGCTTGCTATGTGTCAAACTCTGTTTTAAATGTTTTACGTGTATTGACTTATTTGTTTCTCCCAACAACCTTGTGAGGAAGATAATAGCAATTCCAGGAAACTGAGGCACAGAGGAATTAGGTGACCTGCCCAACATCACACAGCTAATAAGTCGCAGAGCCAGATCCAAAGCCAAGCAGGCTGGTTTCAGAGCCGACAGTCCTAGCGACTCCATTTTACTGCCTCCCTTGACGCTACTTCGCGGTGGAAGGCAGCCTTCTGGTAGTGGTGAGGCACAGGCCCCAGCTTTCCAGGTAATCACCGTTCATGAGCTCACAGCATTGACTGATTATTTACTATATGCCAGCTAATGTCCTAGATAATACAGTAATCAAGTTTAAATTTTATTGTAAGTGAGCTGCGAAGCCATTAGAAGGGCGTAGCAGGGATGAAGGGATGATGACAATTCAATGTTGATAAGAGGGGCCTGGAATAGAGTCACAGAACATAGGGGGAAAATGCTCGCTGTGACTGTAGCCGATGTGTTTTCTGAGTCCTCACGTAACATGCCTTGGAGATCAAAGACATAGACATGGGAGACCAGGGTACTCAATGAGCAGGTGATAGCAAGAGTCAGTAAAATTATGTATTGTGATAAATGTAATTACACTTCTAGTTAGATAATGACAACGCTTGGAGAAAAATTAACCTCTGTGAAGACAAGAATTTCTGTCCCGTGCTATATTCCCATTGCCTAAAGCTGTGCTTGGCATATTTCAAGAGTTTAATGAATGAATGAATAAATCAAAGAAGGCAGAAAGGGACATTGAAACTAACCAGCTGAGTATTCCAAGCTTTGGACTAGGTACTTTTTATAGGTCATCCCCCATGTGGTGAATATTGGTACAAGTGAGAAAATTGAGATCTTAGGTGGACAACTTGTCCAAGGTCAGGTAGTTCATAATTGGCAGAGTTGCTTTTCAAGGTTGGGCCTTCCTGGCTCCCTTTACACCACAATGTGTTTGTTTGAAGAAAGCCATGTCATAAAGACTTGAAAGGGGACCTCAAAGGTGGGACTATTGCTTAGCAGCCGGTTTTAGTTTCATCTTTCATTTTCTTGGTTGAAGTCCACTTGAGAGTGGTGACTCATGGAGCTTAAAGATGAGCACAGCTGGATTTTTGGAACCTCCTCTGAGACAGAGCTCTGCTCCAGAGCTTCTGGGAAACTTTCCAAGTCCGTGCAGTCCGATCAATCGAAGAACAAAAAGGGCAAGAGAATGATGCCACAGATCGCCCACCCATTCCTTTGGAACTTTGCTAATGGTAATCATGTCCTTGAACTCTAGTACATTATGAAAACTCATTCTTTTAACACTGGAGTCTAACTGGAAAGAGGTGGGGTATGCAAAAGATTACATAAGGACCCTGATCCGGGTCGGGAGGGGGAAGTGGTCCTCTCACAAAGTCATAAGCCTTGGCATGGGGTGGCACCCATTCAGATGAAAGGGCACCATTTAAAAACTTTGCACGAGCCCTGGCCAGTTTGGCTCAGCGGTTAGAGCGTCGGCCTGCGGTCCGGAGAGACCTGGGTTCGGTTCCCGCTAAGGGCACGTACTTCGGTTGCAGTTTGTCCCCGGCCTTGGTTGGTCGTGCGGGTGGCAGCCACTCGATGTGTCCCTTCACGTCAATGTTTCTCTCTCTCTCTCCCTTCCTCTCTCTCCCTCCCACTCTATCTGTACAAAAAAATGGAAAAAATATCCTCAGGTGAGGATTAAAAAAAATAAAAAAATAAATAAAAACTTTGCACGAGCCCGGCTTGTGTGGCTCACTGGTTGAGCATTGACCCATGCACCAAGAGGTTACTGGTTCAATTCCCAGTCAAGGCACATGCCCAGGTGTGGGCCCAACCCCAGTGGGGGGCATGCAAGAGGCGGCCGGTTGATGTTCTCTCTCGTTGATGTTTCTATCTCCCGCTCCCTCTCCCTCTCTCTCTAAAATCAATAAAGAAAAAAGAAAAAAAATGTACGAAGGTACCTTTGGAGTTAGCTGTAAGCCTGGGCATGGAGGTGATAGATTGGAAGTACACTGACATTTGTTAAATGCCAAAAGTCCTTTGAGTGCAAGATTTTTCCTGCGGTGTCTCCTAAATTCTCATGGCAGGCTTAAGAGGCAAGAATAATTAGAGCTATCTTATAGATGGACCAAGGTTTATAGATGACCTTGTAGATGAGTAACTTCCACAAGGTCATGTAGCTAGTAAACAATAGACCAGGGCCTACTGGGAAACAGCTCTGAGTGGCTTCAAAGCTTGTGTTCATTCTTCTAGCCCCAGAAGAGAGATGCTGGTATTCAAGAAAGAGTGAAAAGTGGGATTTAGAAAATCTGTTCCCTTCTTTTTTAATCTAGTTACATTCATCCTCCAGCAGAGTCCAGATCATGGGTTTGCAATGCTATTCAGACCCAAGTCCTGCTTTGAGTAACAAATTATTTTATAACATTTTTGGTAACCTTTTGAAATATTATTTTGTCATTATTTTGTCCTAAAATCAAATTCATGGATAACATAACCTACCACATATGATTTCATAAATAATATAATGCCATACTTTTAATGTAAAGAAAAAATAATAATTCCTAATAAAATAACATATATAAATACTCAGATATGACTAATTTAGAAGACAATGAAGTAGTCAGGCTCTTGCACAATATAATGACTAATAAATAAGTCTAGAATTAAGAGAGAAGGTTAAATGACATTTCATACAAGCAGTGTAGGAAAATAAAAGAGAATAATTATCAACGAATACCAGAATTCATACTAGGAGAATTAGTAACACTCCAGATTTACTGGTTTCTGATAACAGAAAATGGTAAATAGCTTTGGTTAGAGTAGGGGTAATACTCAACAAATTACAAACCATTGAGTTAAAAAGAGGAAAGGGGTGTGACTATGTTATCTTTTTTTGTGTGTGTGACTGTTATCTTTAAAAAATAATAGTATTATTAATGTCCTTCCTCTAGGGTAGCCAGATTTTTTAAATAAACTATTTTATTGGTTTTTCATATATACCAAAAAAGACCCAAATTACAATTGAACAGATTAATGAAATACACAAGTTGAACACACAGGTATAAGCAGTCAGTACCCAGTTGAAGAAATGGAACATCACTATCCCTGCAAAAGCTCTTCTCACATCCCTTCTGATACTGCTTTCACTCTCCTTTGCAAAGCTATCACCATTCTGACTTCCAACACGTAAACAGTTTTGCTTATTTTTGAACTTTATGTAAATTTAGTGTATAAATGTTCATGTCTGAATTCATTCAACATTATGAACTTAATGTATATTACTATATATGCAGGATTTTATTCATTTTCATTGCTGTATAGTATTTTTTGTATGAATAGCACACAACTTATGTTTCCATTCTGCTGTTAATATACAGTTGGTTATTTCAGGTTGGGACTACTATGGATAATATTACTTCTATTGTTCTTGTAAATGTTTTTTGGGACACAGTTGTATGTATTCCTGCTGAGTAAATACCAAGGAGAAGAAAGTATTAGGTCAGAGGGATGTCAATGTTAATCTTCAGTAAATATTGTCAAACAGTTTTCCAAAGTGAATGTGTCAATTTACTCTTACATTAAAAGTGTACCAAGAGCCCTGACCAGTTTGGCTCAGCAGTTAGAGAATTGGCCCATGGACCAAAGAGTCACAGGTTCAATTCGGGTCAAGGACAGGTGCCTCGGTTATGGCTCGGTCCCCAGCCTTGGTCGGGTTCCTGCAGGAGACAATCAGTCCATGTATCTCTCTCACATTGATGTTTCTCTCTCTCTTCCTACCTCTCTCTCCTCCACTCTAAAAAATAAATAAATAAATAAAAGTGTATCAAGTGTAGTTTGACATCCTTAGCAGCACCATTTCTGTATTTATAATTTTAGCCATCTGCTGGGTATCTCATTGTGGTTTTAATTTGCATTTCCTTTATGACTATTGAAGTTGAACATTTTTTAAATCTATATTGAAGTTGAGCATTTTATATATTTCATTTGTGTAGTCATTTTTCTGAGGTACCCATTTAAGTCTTTTACCCATTTTTATTCATTGTTTTTTTCTTATTAATCTGTAATAGTACTTCACATATTCTAGATCAACACTATCTAATGGCAGTATAATGTGAGCAATGAATTTTAAATTTTCTAATATCCACATTAAAAAAGAGTAAAAAGAAACCAGGGAAGTTAACTTTAATACTGTTTTATTTAACCCAATATGTCCAAAATATTATCATTTCAACAATTACCAATACAAGATTCCTTAATGAGATATTTTTCATTCTTGTTTTTATTCTAAGTCCTTAAAATCTGGTATATTTTACACTTTTTACATATCTCATTTTGGACTAACCACATTTCAACTCAGTAGTTGTATAGATAATAGTGACTACTGTGTTGGACCTCACAGGTCTAGACAAGCTTTTTTTCTTTTGCTTATATCTTCTCCTAAACCTTGGCTTACTTTCTCACTCTCTTAATGGTATCTCTTTAAAAAAAAAAATTATTACTTTGAAACAGTTTCTAACCTAAAGAATGGTGCAAAACAGTACAAAGAATCCTATTATCCCCTTCACCAAAATTCTTCAATTGTTAAATGTTACTTCTCTCTCACCCTCTTTCTCTATATATACTTTTTTCTGAAACAATGCCCCATTCTACAATGCCTCATTCTCCCTAAAAATTAGTGTAACTCTCTCAGAGATTCTTTCCTACAGTATGACCATACTACCCTATCAATCTGAAAATCAACATTGATATAACACTACCATTAAATTCACAGACTCATAAAATTTGCCAATTGTCCAAACAACATACCTTTCCTATCTCATCCAGGATCCTGTTCAAGAATACGTTGTATGACATTGTCATGTTTCATCAAAATTCTACAATCTAAACTAATTATTCAACTTTTCTCTGTCCTTCATATCCTTGATTGTCTTGTTATATACACATTCACTTTATTTGTGCTAGAATTCATATGAAATATGTATTCCATTCTTTTACCACTATTTCTTTTACCATTCCATTGTCTCCTGGCTTCTATTGTTTCTGTTGGAAAGTCAGCCATCTGGCACATTGTTGCCTCTTTCAAAGTAACATGCCTTTTTAATCTGGTTGGTCTCAAGAATTTCTTCTTTTGATTTTCCTCAGTTTTACTATAATATAATCAAGTAAAGTTTTCTTTGCATTTGGTCTTGCTTGAAATTGCTGCACTTGCTAATCTCCAGTTCAATGTTTTTCATCAGTTCTGGACATTCTCAGCCATTATCTCTTCAACTCTTGCATCTGCCTCTTGCATCTGCCACATTCTCTCTCTCTCTCTCTCTCTCTCTCTCTCTCTCTCTCTCTCTTATTAGTCATATCTCTTTAATCTCTTCTAGTCTGTAACAGTTCTTCAGCCTTTCTTTGACTTTCATCAAAGGGATATTTTTGAAAAGTACAGAGAAATTATTTTGTGGCATTTCTCTCTCTCTCTCTCTCTCTCTCTCTCTCTCTCTCTCTCTCTCTCTTCCTCTCTCTCTCTCTCTCTCTCTCTCTCTCCCCAGTCCTCAAGAAACTCCAAATACCTGTGTATTAGACCTTATCATTGTTTTCATCTGTCTTTTACACCTTTTTTCCTGTATTTTCTGTCCTTTTTCCTCTCCAAGCTTCAGTCTGGGCAAATTTTCCTGATTCATTTTCTATTTCATTTACCCTTTTATAAGTGCTGTTAAACTCAAGTATTGAGTTCTTACTTTCAGTGGTGACACTTTTTATTTCTATAATTTTTATTTGATGTTTTTATTGCTTCTAAAATTCTCCATCTAGTAGTCATTTAGTTTCTGAAATATCCCCTTTACTGAACTGATTTATTATCATTTATATAAATAAAATTTTAATGAGATAAAAATCAATTTAAAACATTATACCAAAAATCAAATCTATTTGTCCCCATTCAATTAGATCACTGCAACAGAGCAGGTGGTTTCCTGGAATGATAATTATTATAATGGCCTCATAGTAGCCAAATGAGAAAAGCAGATAAAGCTTAACAGACAGTCTCCATAAACATCAGGCACGATATTTTAACTAGGGGTAGAAATGTACATGATGGGAACTGCTGAATTCTTTCCTTAAGGGCTTCATCAAAAGTATGCACAATATAAACTTTTATCTAAGTATTCCTCTATATTAAGCAGTCACCTGCATAGATTTTTGTGTGTGCATGATTATCATTTAAATCTTGGATCTTTGACAGTCCTTAGCACTACCTGAAATTCTGCGTTAACTTCTCAATTTTACTGTTAGACCATTGTTTATATAGGAGATACACATACCATATAGACGGTCCATCTTCAACTGCACTATATTTGGATTGGCTTTACAGAAAAGCTGACAAATTTGCATCAATCAGGATGTAAGTGTGCCCAGTGTGTGTTTTAATAGTAACATGAACAAGAAGATTGATGGGGGAAAATACTCTTTCTTTAATACACTAGGATCTTTATTGACTTTGTCTTTAGAGTCTGATCTATCTTTTTCTTTTAGCCTCTAATCTATCTCAGAAGACAAGAATTTACATCATAATCACCTCTTTCCTTGTCTTTTGCTTCCTATGTTCACCCTGCAGTCTTGAGGCTTCCTCCAAAATCTCAAGCCAAGTACAGTTATTTTAAAATTCATGTTTGATAACTCCAAATATCTAGGTTTATTTCTACTCTTTTTATTTTGGGTTGTTTTATATTGCGTGCCAAACATTTTTCATGAGGGTCTAGACGATGTTATATTCAGAGATGATGTACTTTTGTTTTTAGTATGCAGTAAGGGTAGAAGCAGATCACCTTAATGCAATTAGGAACTGAGTTGATCAAATCTGGACATCAGGGGTTTGTGAGAGCTGGTCCACCTTTATTTACCCATATTCTTAGGGTTTATCTCTTTAGGGCCCCAACTAAAAGACCAGGGTATTTTCCAGTTCTCTCTCCTCCACAGTCAGCCTAATTTTTGTTCCCCAGCTTTCAAAGGCTTTGTTGAAACTTCTGTTCAAATCTTCTGCTTTTCAGTTTTTTAATTAGCAAATATTCAAAGGAAAGAGTAGCACCAACTGTTGGGTTCACCATTTTGGGCTTCCTCTCTGTCTGGGATCTTGGCCCTGCATGTTTTTTCTTCCTTGGTACATCTCTTGATACCTTAATATTTTATTTAGTCTAGCTTTTTTAAAAATCTCTTCTCAGCCAGAGGATTAGTTGGAACTAAGCCAAATCACCAATGAGAGAATGAGTCATCATATTTTTTAAGTATTTTGTAAGATATGTTTCATATCACTAATAATGTAAAAACTAATTTCAAAAATAGTATTAATTTTAAAATATTAATAAAAGTGAAAGTTATCAATCAATGCCAAGATCGCATTTTATTTACCATCCATATTACTGTAATTTGAGAAGACAGAATCCTTGGAGTAAATTACACAATAACTCTGAGACTGTATCTTTGTTTCTCATAACAACATTCTATATTACTGGGATTTCTGCATTGCTTATTATTTTAAAACACATATTTGATGTTATTATTTATGTCAAGTACAACCGTAGAGTCCAGCAGGACATGTGAATGTTATGCAGGACATGAGACTATGCACTGCCAGGTGTGCAGCCTCCCTGGCCCATTGAGCAGGGGCATCTCTCCAATCACTTTTAACAAGTAAAATGTTTCCACAAGTGTCCAAAACATCCTTCAGGACTCAGAATCACTTCTTTTTTTTTTTTTTGGAAACCCTGCATTAGATTTATAAAATTATCCCCTGCATACAATGCTAGCCCAGTGTAAGTGTGGATCCCAGGGTGATCCTTAGGGGGCAAAAGGTTGTATGGACCAGTCACACAAGTGTTCTGTTGCCTCCCACACCTGACACTTCCTAAAGCCATCCTAAAACCAAGTGAAAACAAGTTAGTGACAATATCCAGGACAAAGGTAACAAAGTCAACACACACCCCTACACTTCTTGGGTTGGGATAGGAAGGTCTTCAGTAATAACAACCTCTTGCAATGTCACCTACCAATTACCAGACACTGAAATGCTATAATTCTGTTATCTCAATCCTCTCAACAACTCTATAAAGAGGAATTATTACTCTCAATTTAGAGATGAAGAGACTGGGGCTTAGACATTTAAGCAACTGCCCAGGATTTTAAAATAATTAAGCACTTCTGTGATTTTGTTACACTCTTACTGCTCCACTTAAGCTTCCAGCCCTGTTAAAACCTTGTGCTCTGTTTAGGGGGACAAGGGGACAACCTGATGGGCAGCTTGAGGAAAAGGAAAAAAGGGGCTAAGAGGGGCCTAACGCGGAACTACCTAGGCTCTACTGAAGAGCATTCGGTCCAATTCCCCTGCTCTGATCTTCGCCCTGGGAGCCCACCTCCACAGCCATCACTGCAGCGGCTACGTTCCCCTAGGACCTGGTCCCAGTAGCCCGAATTTCCAGGCATTCTGAGCCCCAGTGTCCCTCTCAGCTCAGCACATTCCCGGCGGCCCAGTTTCCAAAGCCCTTCGGCCCATCCTTGACCCCCGCAGACCCTACACCAGGGTCCCGCAGAGCCACCCACCCCAACCCAGCCGAAGAGCCCAGCGCCCGGGGCTCCTGGTCTGGGAGGTGCAGGTTCCCGCCCCCACGGTGGCATCTCGGGTGCTCCCACTAGCTGCGCAGACGCACTCGGAGCCAATCGGAGCTGCGGTCCGCCAGGCGCGCCTCCGTTCCCTTGGCAACGCAGTACACACCTGCTAACCGGAACTGCGCGCGCGATGTGCTTCAAAAAAGCCAGTGAGGAGGGTTGCGATGGAGGGGTCTGCAGTACTGGGCAGGAAGACTGGGGAGGCTGGGAAAGACCAAGTGGAGGAAAGGCAGTGCGGTCCCCTTCATGGACTTCGGTCTGGTTTTTGTTAAGAGGTCGGAGGCGAGGCTATGTCCTCTGCCCCACCTCCCCACACCCTCCCCAAACCCTCCAAAGCACCCACTTAGATCCCTCATGTGGAGTTTCTCTTCTTTCTTGATCTTCAGAAACGCTGGTTAAATACCCCTTTGGAACATGTCAACAGAAGAAGATTTTTCCTTACTCTTACCCCTACAACTTTTTGGGGAACAAGTTTCTCCCTCTCAGGGGAGCACCCCACAGAGGGCCTGGGTGTTACACAACAGAAAATGTGAGTATTCACCTTTCTCTGGTGGGTCTCCGGTCCCCATCTATTTAAAGATAGCCACGTTTGGTGGAAGGAAAACTACAGAATTTGTGATTTTCAGGGTCTCAATATGAGAAAGTGCCCTTGTTCTCTGCAACCAGCTGTCAGGGTCAATGTCAGAAGTTAAAGGACCGTTGCTCCCCCTTTCTAACCCCTTTGCTTCATATAGTTAACAGGATGGTCCCCACTCGTTCCCACCTACAAGCACTAGTGAGCCAATGCCAGTTACCCCCTCATTACTTCAAACCTGGATTGTAGATGTGCTGGTAGGTGAGTTTATTAACTAATTTGATGAGACACATTTGCATGAGAGCAGATTCAGCTCTGTGGCTCAGAGGACTGGATTCACTGGAAGGCATAGAAATATCACTTACTCTACCTACCCAGGCACATTCCTCTGCAAAGTTACCTGCTATTTATAACATTGTTCCTATGGTCTTGATTCAGAGAAATCAAGAGAGAGCAACTTTTGCAGAACATTCTAGGTTCACTGTTTTTATTACTATAACATTCTCTGTGTTTTTATTTCTTTCTTTTTTTAATATATTCTACCCAAAGAGGTATGACTGGGTGTACAACCTCTCCAAGATCCCAACCAGTAGAAAAGGATATACTTTGGGAGCCAGAACAACCCCAAGATTTAAGCCAATCAACAAGGTTAGAAATGGCTGCATGTGCTTACATTTTTGTGTGATTCATGATGTTGCATGTATTTGCATTGGGGAACAGAGGGTGGTGAGTGGGAGGTTACCTAAACAATATGCTCTGAAATTCAAGAAAAACAGACATTTAGGCAAAAACCATTAAACCTATGTGAAAAGCTTGGGCATTCGCACTGCAAGTGTGTGCGAGTGTCCTGGGAGAGTGAGGAACAATTCCCCGAAGAAGTGGTACCAAATCAGAGTTTCAGTGCTAACCAAGACACCTCGTTAAAATACTGAAAGCTTTGTTTATATGTATCAGATTATCTTGTCAGTTAAAAAACAAATTTTGGCCCTGGATGGTTTGGCTCAGCTGTTAGAGCATCGGCCCGTGGACCAAAGAGTCTCGGGTTAGATTCCGGTCAAGGGCACGTACCTCAGTTGCAGTTTGGTCCTCGGCCCTGGTCAGGGTCCTGTAGGAGGCAACCAGTTGATGTTTCTCTTGCATCGCTGTTTCTCTTGCATTGCTGTTTCTCTCCCCCTCCCCCCAATCTCCCTTCTTCTCTAAAATCAATAAACCTATCTTTGGGCAAGGATTAAAAAAACAAAAACAAATTCCAACTTTTCCATCCTTTTGTTTGGTTGGATTTCAAGTCTAAAAGTTTTCAGTATATCATCCTAATCTTGTGGACCTTTTCCTGACAAAATTTCTGTGTGGGATGGTGGGGGTGGTAACTGCAAATATGTATGTTGGTTCTTTACCCAGCTTGATTTCTACAGCCTAAGCGTGATGTGTCTTTAGGTAGTTGAACCACACCTATCTTGGTTTTCTACCTATTGTAGGTCTATTTCTGTAGTTTGAGGTGGTTAAACCATAGCTGATACATGAACCAAAAGAGGATGATTCTGGTGTGTGTGTGTGTGTGTTGTTGTTGTTGTTGTTTTACTTAGAAGGCTGTATATGTATATCTGTGTATCACCCTCTAACATATTAATCTTTTTCTTGGAAACAGGATATGACACCTCACCCAGGAACTTATCAGACAGTAAATTTTCAGGAGCAAAAACCCAAGCAAAATTTTGCTCCATTTAATGTCATGTTGCCTCGATTTAGGACACACTCGAAGGACATGTATTATCCTGGGTATGTCTCCTCTTTTCTGGGCACTTCAACAGAGAGTGATAGGAAAGGGACAGCTAACTAGCCACTTAAGATTCAACCTCTTGCCTTCCAGACCTCTGGCATCATAGAAGTGTAAATCATAGTGATTCATTTAATGAATATTTATAAATGTGTCAGGCAGTTTTGTAGGTTCCAGAGATTTGGCATTAAACCCATCACACAAGGCTCCTGATTTCTTGGAGTTTACATTCTAGAATCCAAACAGATTAGAAGCAAATAAACAAGGAAATATCAACAATAATAATGAGAGTGGCCATATAATTTGTTAGTCTGACCGTGACACATTCGAGAGTCAAAGGGGGTCTTATTAATCATTACACTGAGACAGTAGCCATTAGCTAAGAACGAACCAGGAATAATAGTGACCTGGTGATGTGCTATGAGGACAATAAAAGAGGCTGATGATATGAGGCAGAGTGTGGATTGGAGGATATTTATCACCGATTGTCAAGAGAGGTCTTTCTGGGAAAATGACACGGTCTGAAATCAGAATGAGAAGACTGAGCCAGCCTTGGGAAGCTCTGGACCCAGAGCTTCCCAGGCAGAAGGCTGTAGATTGGGAAGGGATTTGATGTGAGGGAAAAGAAAGAAGGCTAGCGTGCTAGAGTGTAGTGAGTGAGGAGGAAATGAGCTAGAGGAGGAGGGGCGGGGCTAGAGTACAGAGCCTCTAGATCAAGGGACATAGTCTAAGTGCTTCTGAGAGCCATTCAGAATGGGTGGAATTATAGGGCAAAGGGTGAAAGTCTTTCTTTTACTGATGAGTATCAGAGAGTGAATGTAACTTTCTCAAGGTTGCAGTAAGGAAATGGAAGTGTTAAATCTTGACCCTCATGTCCACTCTAAGCATTATTTCCACCACAGCAAAGAGTCTACACCAAAAGACAAAGTGTTATGAACAAACGCAATTATAAAACAATCCCACTATAAAGGAAATTTAACTAGTTCTGCTTTGCTGTCCCTAGATTGCGAATAGATTCAATGATCACGGAACTTTTATCCCCAGTTTCGAATCATGGGCAGTGCTAATTCATGACTGTGGTAGACTGCTCTTAGCACCCGCCACTTCTGGATCCTCTGGTCTCTCAGCCAAGCATACTGAGTTGCAGAAATAGAGTTGATTTTTACCTCAGCTGGATGTCAAGACTAGGTATCTTCCACACTAACACCTAATTAGAAATACATTAACAGGCGAAGGAACCCTAGGCTTGCCCACCATTAAAAACCTGATCAGTCTGTTGCCTTCTACCAAGGAGTTAGACCTAGTTAAGGGGTAGCTGTGACATTGATGGGGTTCACAAACTGTCACTAACTCGTAGACACCATGTTACCTATTTTTATTTCTAGCCCTGGTATATATAACCCAAAGATAAAGCCACCTCCAAAAGTCACCTGGCCAATGAAATTTGGATCTCCAGACTGGGCTCAGGTTCCATGTCTACAGAAAAGAACCTTAAAAGCTGAGGTAAGCCCTGGCCAGTTTGGCTCAGTGGTTAGAGCGTCGGCCTGTGGTCCAGAGAGACCCCGGTTTGGTTCCCGCTAAGGGCACGTACCTCGGTTGCAGTTTGTCCCCGGCCCTGGTTGGTCGTGCGGGTGGCAGCCACTCGATGTGTCCCTTTCACGTCAATGTCTCTCTCTCTCTCTCTTCTTCTCTCTCCCTCCCACTCTACCTGAACAAAAAATGGAAAAATGTCCTCGGGTGAGGATAAAAAAAATAAAAATAAAATAAAATAAAAAGCTGAGGTAATAAGACTGGGCCTCTTTAAAACACCATCTAGTTCTCCCATAGGGTTCCTAACCGGGAGTCTGTGAATGAGTTTTAGAAAGTCCTATTTCCCTAAAATTATATGCACAATTTTCTGTGTATATGCATAGGAGGATTTGGGGGGAAATTTGCATATTTTTATGTTTTTATTGATTTTTTAGAGAGACGAAGGGAGAGAAAGGCAGAAACATCAATGTCTGAGAGAAACCTGGATCGGCTGCCTCCTGCACGCCCCCTACTGGGGATCGAGCCCATAACCCAGGCATGTGCCCTAACCAGGAATTGAACAGAGACCTCTCAGTCCATGGGGATGACACTCAATCCACTGAGCCACACTGGCCAGGCGAAATTTGCATATTTTTATTGGATTTTTAAAGGTGTGCATGACTGTACAAAAGTTACATTTTCTTATTTAATCCTCAAATAATCTGTGGTAGGTACAGAAGAATTGTATGACATGATAGAGGAGGAAACTGAGACTCAGGCAGCTTAAGTGACTTGTGCAGGCTACACAGCATGAATCTAGATCTAGCGACTCCTAAGCCCCTCACACCACTTGAGTCTCAGATCGCCGGGGGCTGTCGAGCACTCTGGTAAGAGCATGGATTCCAGGGACAGGCCGCCTGTGCTCAAGTCCCAGCTCCAGTACTTACTTGCTGTGCCATCTGGGACAAGTCCCCTGATTTCTCTAAGTCTCAATTTTCTCATCTTTAAAATGAGTATAATAATAGAATCGATCTGATAAGGTTGTAAAGATTGAAATAAGGTAGAAAGCATTTAACACAGTGCCTATAACACAATAAATGCTCAGTCCATGTTAGTTATCTACAATCCCAAAGGTGCCTTTTATTTTCTAGTGGAATTTTTGATTAATTTCACAAATATTTATTAAATATCTGACATATTAGTATACTGTGCTAGGGTTTAGAGGTAACATTCAAGAATTAAACATATAATCTTTGTTTTCAAGAAGTTTACCAGAGCCCTGGCCAGTTTGGCTCAGAGGTTAGAGCGTCGGCCTGCGGTCCAGAGAGACCCGGGTTCGGTTCCCGCTAAGGGCATGTACCTCGGTTGCAGTTTGTCCCCGGCCCTGGTTGGGTTGTGCAGGTGGCAGCCACTCGATGTGTCCCTTTCACGTCGATGTTTCTCTTTCTCTTCCTCTCTCTCCCTCTATCTGAACAAAAAATGGAAAAATGTCCTCAGGTGAGGATAAAAAAAAATAAAAAAATAAAAAAAAGAAGTTTACCAGAAACACCAATCAGGAAGAATATATGTACCCCTATGTTCATAGCAGCCCTGTTTACAATAGCTAAGATCTGGAAACAGCCCAAGTGTCCATGACGAATGGATAAAAAAGCTGTGGTACACATACACAAGGGAGTACTATGCAGCTATAAGAAAGAAAGATCTCTTATCTTTTGAGACAACATGGAGGGACCTGGAGAGTGTTATTTTAAGTGAAATAAGCCAATCAGAGAAAGACAAATATCACATAATCTCATTTATTTGTGGAATATAATGAACAAAATAGATGCAGAGACATGGAAGTAGGGAACTGACTGACAAAGCTCAGAGGGAAGGGGAGGGCAGGGGAAGAGATAAATCAAGAACTCATGTACGTATGGGTATAACCTGGACACAGACAACAGTCTGGGGAAAGCAGGAGGGGAGTGGGAGCAGGCAGGAGGGAGTTAATGGGGGAAAAGGATGGAATCTGTCATTTAAAAATTAATAAATTAGGTTTTAAATAAATATAAATAAAATTAATTGTATTAATTAAAAATGGCTGGTGTGGTTAGAGCGTTGGCCCGTGCACCAAATTGTCCATTCCAGTCAAGAACACGTACCTGAGTTACAGATTTTGTCCCCAGCCCCAGGGGGCTCGTGTGGGAAGCCGATCGATGTGTCTTTCTCACATCAAATGTTTTCCTCTCCCTCCCTCCCTCCTTCCCTTCCACTCTCTCTAAAAATCAATGAAGAAAATATTCTCAGGTGAGGATTAACAAAACAAAACAAAAAGTTTACCAGCTAACTTTTAGATATTTACCAAATAAAAAACAATTCTTGGCACGATAGACACCCGAGTAAGATGACAAAGGGTTGCTATGCATCTGGAAGTTGAGTCACTGAGCTGAATGACAGCGTGGGTTTAGCAAGGTCACGGCAGCTGCCGTGAGCAGCTCTCTGTGCACAGCCAGGAAGACTGGAGGCAGAGGGCGCTCATCGGAATTTGCTCTGAGACATCATTTTTTCCTTGCAGCTGCCCACGGACAAGGACTTCAGAAAACATCGGAACCGTATGGCCTACCTGAGCCTGTTTTACGACTGAGAAGCTGGGACTTCCTTCCCAGGCTCCTCCTGACCACAGAACCTCCGGGATGGAGGCCGGAGCGGCTCTCCCCCCTCTGCGCAGCTGTGGTCCTCTCGGCTGCCAGCACGGCCCAGGCAGGGGCACGGGGCTCCTTACCACTATGTCGGAGCATAAAGACCAGTTCGGAACGTTTCTCTCCGCGTGCTGGTCTTTTGTACACATACATAGGTCTGGGAGCTCCTACTGCGTGTTCCGTGGGGTGGCAAACACTGCTCATCATCTATCAGTCTCTGCATTTTCAGCACAGGATTTGACCGAGTGCAATCAATTCAAGTTGGAATGGAAATGACATTATTTGCGTCCCTGGGCTAGACTATTGATACCCTTCTCCCGCTGACAGATGTAATAGAACTGAGTGTGGCTTTGGGGCTGTGAGAAACATGATGCCATACATTTCAAAACCCAAAAAGGAAATTCAGATAGATTTTTTTTTTTTAAGTGAAAAGTGTTCCACGGCCATCAACCTGCCTTTCCCCAGGCTGCTGATGCTCAGAGCCATGACAAGCTGGGGCAGGGGACCTGAAGAGGATAGTTGCCCTGGGCAGATGGTTCAGTTAGTTGAAGTATCCCATACGCCAAAAGGTTCTGGGTTTGATTCCAGATCAGGACATATACCCAGGTTGTGGTTTCAGTCCCTGGTCAGGGTGCACACAGGAGGCAACCAAACAATGTTCCTCTCTTACTTGTATGTTTCTCTCTTTCTCCCCCCCTTCCTCTCTCTAAGCATGTCCTTGGGTGAGGATTAGAAAGGAGAAAAACTAGTAAATTACCACTAACCCCATCTATAAAGTCAAGTTCCACCCTATGCTATATGTCAAAATGATTCCAAAATTAATAGTAATGCCAGCAATTTAAATGTTAAAAAACAAAAAAAAACTCTGGCTCCAGTTAATCCCTGTTGTAAGACAGTAAATCTCGTTTCCCGATTCTGTCTCTTTCCCTGTTCTGAACAATCTCCGCCTGACACATCGCCGGGATCTCTCATGCCACCTTCATTCACCATGTTCTCTCCCTTCAAACCGGCTCCAGCTCTATCCTGAGATCAGCCCCCATTCACCTCCCCGTAGGAAGGAGCTGTGTGCTCTGGGTGCCAGAGTCCCTCCTGCCAGCCGCCAGGCCTGCAACAGGTTTTCATTACTAATGAGGGAGCACAGAGAGATGACGAAGTGAAATTTCCTTTTAGCCACTGAAGTCAGAGTGGCCTTCTCTCAGCTGCATAGTTCTGGCACAAAAACACGACAAAAATGGAACCATGTCTGTCCCCAGGAACTCTCCTCTGGGGAACCTCATCTTAGCTCTCAAAGGATCAACTTCACGCTAATCATTTAGATTCAGCATCTGCACTTGAGTTATCAGGCCCACACGCCACCCCAGTCTCCTTGGAGCACAGACAGGGTGAGACTTGTGTGTGGGATCTTGTAGACAACTTTGCTCTCCGACGGGAGACAGTTACCCAGAGACACGGTGAGCCTCTGGAGGTTGAACTCCCACCACCACTGCCACACAGATTGTCAATTGCATCACCCTTTTGAAAACAGAAAACGGGCTCTTCCCACTAGAACTGACTCCTCCCACCCTGCCATCTAGAGAGGTCATGCTCCTGGAAGTTCTGAGCGGAGACCAAGCTCAGTCGGTCTTTGAAGCTACTCTCTTTTGAAGTCCCTCAGCATCCCGGACTGCCCCTGGCTCACCGCCACCAGCCGTGTGGTTTCAGAGGGACACAGGCCAGGGCACCACAGGGGCTTCTAGTTGGGAAATAAGGGTGGGGAGAGGGAACTAGAGGATTAGCACAGTGAAGCCGATTACTCTGGCAGATAACGGTCCTGCGGAGGAAAGGAAGCCGTTTTGGGTTTTGTCGAGGTGGCTCATCATTTTCATTCCTCTGTCCTCCAGAGCCCTCCCCCATTCCATACGTGTGCTTTGCCCTGTGGCTGTTGCTCTCTAAAGACTCCCTTTCTCCCAACCTCTGTGGATCTGTCTCTCTCTTCCCTCCCCAGCCCCTCCCTCTCCAGTCCTCCAATTCTCTAGCGCAGAGGAGGTATGTGCAGGTCAAGTGAATAAGAAAGTACCAGTAGGAGGTAAAGGGGGCTGTGAAAAGACCGAATAATATCCGAATGTATTATACGTAGGCTTCCGGTTTGATCCCCAGTGGGGACGCACCCGGGAGGCACTCTTACATAGATGTTTCTCTCTCTCCCCCTCTCCCCACCCCCAACATCAATAAAAACATATTCTCAAGTGAGGACATATATATGCTGTTCCCTTCTATTAAAAAATAAAAAAGTGTTTCTGATCAGATTTCAGCCTTTGAATACCTGGTTGAAATGTTAAGGTTTCTTTTTTCTTCTATAACTTTCTTAAGTCGGAGATGGGTCTGGTTCATGTTCTCTTCAAGAAGTGAGACAAAAGTGTTGCAGGAGAGAGTGCTGGGAGGGGTGGTGATGAGTGCCACCCACAGATGTCACCTCGTCCTGTCCTCACCTCTGCGGAAGGGGGCGCGCAGGCCTCCCCTTCCGGCTTCTCTCCCATCGCTCGGTTAACGGATCCCCTGACACAGCTGCTTCTAAGTTTCTACTTAAAATTAACTACTCAAAGCAGAAGACACACAAAAAAGACATTTTGGAAGGAATTTCACAAACATTTGGAGGTTCTTGATTTATTAGTTGCAGGAAGTAAGACTGGTGAGCAGAGGGGTCAGGCCAGTTACAAAGGCGCTGCGAGCCCAGGACCCCTGGGGCGGCCCGAGTCCCGCAGCCAGAGCTGCCTGTCGCTTAGGCGGAGGAGGCAAAGCCCACCCTGTTGTTGGCCATGTCGTAGACAGAGTAGTACTCCTTGAGGAAGACGTCTCCCAGGATCCACAGGGGCTGCCCGTTGGGGGAGGGCAGGTAAGTGGCCTCAACCCCCAGCCTGCAGTAGCCGTTGTTCTGAGGGGACAGGACGTGGGGATGTGACCAGCTGCACTGTAGAGACCTCCCGCCACTGGAACCCCCCCACCCTGTATTCCATGGCTCCCGCTGGGGTTTCTGAATTCTTGTCCACTCTCAGCCCCGCCGCGGGGGGTTCCCAAGAGCTGCCCCGCTGTGAGCTGAGAAGGGGACAGCTGCTGGGCCCAACCATCCACATATCCAGGGAGCCTGGGCGTGACTACGTACGTTGAGGACGTAGGCAGAGGGAGGCAGAGGGAACTGGGACCCGCTGATGATGAAGGTGACGACAGGCAAGCTCTGTACTGAGTTGCAGTTGACCACAAACTGGGAGACAGAAAAGGCAGCTGGAGAGCCCAGGGGGCTGAAGCCCAGACAAGGGCCGAGCCCCCTGTTCCTGCGAGACTCTCGTCTTGACCTTCCAGCAGAGGCTCTTTCAGAGCATGGGCGGCAGGGCCTGACCCCCGCTAACCGCGGACCAGACCCTCTTGCTTCTTGTGTCTTCTCCTGAAACATGCCTCAGCTCCTAGACTGTGGTTGTATTGATATGGCCACCAGGAGTCAGGCTCAGTCCAGAACACAATTTCTAACCTCGGAAAGTACACATTACAGAGAAAAGGCACAGATACACACCTGTAGAAGCGTGCACACACACGCACACGCACACGCACACACCCGGGAACCAGGATTCAGTCGGGGCTCAGACTCTCGCATGCAGGGAGAAGCAGACTACCAATATGAGTACAAAGAGGAGGAGGTGTAGGGACAGGAGGCTTCTCAGAGTAAAACCCACAGGTGTATTCCTAGTGAAGACAGAGACCCAAGTGGGATGGAGAAATGCATTGTGCCTTGATGACAGAACAAATGACAGTGGCCAGACCAGGCCGGCCTGGCCGGCGTGTGTTCCTGAGACCTGCAATGTATTAACAGCACCTTCCAACAACCACAGTTCACTCTCACCGTCTGGACGGAGTCAGCACCACTCACTCTTCCTTGCACTGAAGGTTCATGCCTGACGTGCCTGCTGGGCCCCCACCTGACCCGCCCTGCTGGGCTCAGGTGCCCACCCAGCCCGCCCTGCGATTCTGATGGACTCATTGCCCGAGCTCAGGCTCCTGTGTTGAGGGGTCTGCATACACAGAGACACCGTGGCTTCCGGTTACTCACGTCACCATTCTGAGCCTGCTGGGCGCCGGTGGCTTGCAGGAGGGAGCCCATGTACTGCTGGGGAACTGCCAGCAGGAAGGTGCCCGTGTCCACAATGGCCTGGCAGCCCTGGGAACACCAGCCGGTGGCCTGGTTACCGATGGCAAACCTGAGGGGACACCAGCACAGAGAGAATCAGGAGCCTCTGCTGCCAACATGACTCATGACCACCCCGCGCCCCAACCCCACAGCTGTCATTTGGCTCTTCCCAGGAAGCCGGCCCACCCTTAACACCTCTGCCCAGGTGACGCGTCTGTGCCTGTGGCCACCGGAGTAACAGCCTCAGTCTTGGTCTGGCCGTCCCTCCAGCTCCGGCTAAAGCTCTTGGAAAGCAGGACCTGGATCTCGTCTTCGTTAATCTACCCGGATGTGCCTGTACGGGGCCCAGCACACGCGCCGGACACAGGCAGGGCTCGGAGCCCATTAATAAACACACTGTGAGCATCTAACACATGCCGAACACTCTTACAGGGATTAAGGTGACATAAGGAAGGGTAAATTGTACTTACTGTTTTTTAAGGAGCTTATTCTAGTAGAGATGAGACAACATAATACAACAAGCCATGACTAACACTGTGAGGCAGTAGCTGATAAGCTCCCTATCGTGCGACATAAAGTCCTATCTGATTCAGTCCCTGATTCCTTGTCCAGCTTTTTCTGCTGCCCTATCTTTCCTCTTCCTGCCGCATCTGTTTGCGCGGCGCCTCTGTGAGCCAAGGTGCTTGGACATACAATGAACAAGACAGACACCACAGTCGGGTGGAAGGGCCAGACACTTACAAAAACACACAAATGATGTAGCCCTGACATGTGTCATGAAGGAACTTCTATGTGCCCAAGAAGAGGGACCTGATCTAGTTGGGGAGGGCGGAGGGGGAGGTCAGACAAGGATTTTTCTGAGCAAGTGATGCTTTTAAAAGGGTGAGAAAAAGACACCTCTATTCCAAACCATTTAAACTAGTCTCCAGACATGCCAGACACTTACCTCTCTCTTTCTTGCACACTGGGCCACTTCCCATAGTCTTACCCAATGACTAGGACACATAAGTTGTGACAGGAGCACAAGTAAATACTATCGGGTGGGGGGTAGAGAGAGATTCACTGTGGACTGGGCCCTGCGAGAAGACTGTTTGGAGGAGATAGGAGTTGATCCAGGCTCTGACGGAGGCCTAGAATTTGAGTGAGCACAGAGGAAAAGAGTCGCACGTCAGCTGATACATTCAAAAGAAATGAAGCAGGAAAGTCACGGCAGCTGCAAGGACTGGGCGGAGTCTGAGACGCGGGTCAGGAGCAGTGAGAGGCCGTGCTGACAGGCAGAGCCCTGACTGTGGGTCTTGGGTAGAGGCCCAAGGTGTTTTGCTTGTAATTTGCACGAGATGAAGAATTTTCAGGCCCTGGCCAGTTTGGCTCAGCGGTTAGAGCGTCGGCCTGCGGACCAAAGAGTCTCGGGTTCAATTCTGGCCAAGGGCACGTATCTCAGTTGCCGTTCGTCCCCGGCCCCAGGTGGGGTCGTGCAAGTGGCAACCAGTCGATGTGTATCTCTCACGTCGATGTTTCTCTCTCTCTCTCTCTTCCTCCCACTCTGTCCGAAGATCAATGGAAAAATATCCTCGGGTGAGGATGACACAAAAAGAATTTTTGAGGACCTTGAGTGCAGGTGTAACTGATTCATGATCGTGAGCTTTGGGATCGGATAAACTCAAACTTTGAAATTTGTGAAAACTGTGCCTCGGGTAAGCTGCTTAACCTCCTCCATCTCCAGAATAAAATATACTGCTGACCTCTCTATGTTGCTGTGGAATTTATATACAATCATACATGTAAACTATTTAGCACAGTCTCTGGAGCACAGATGACATCGATGACAGCTATCACTTTTACTGATGGTGGGCATGGTGAAGACGCCGCCGACTGGGATAAGGGACCTTCCCTGAATGAAGGTGGGCTCACGGCGCCCAGGCATGGACCCATCTGCTCTCATGACAACGCTCAGTGACCAGTTGAAAACATTCAGCCAAAAGCCGGATGCCAGAGTCTGTCTCCGCCAGAGGACGTGGTGATTCTCGGAGGAAGCATGCGTCACAGGAACAGGAAGTGCTGCCACGTGGAGAAACACCCTGTGAGTGTCCATAATCCAGAGGGATTGTCTGCTCACTTACTCCTGAATGGCGATCTGCCAGTACAGTTCCTGGGTGACAGGGGCCCAGACAATCTGACCGGAATAAAGTCGGCTGTCCACACCTCCCAGGATGAGCTCCCCACCGTACTGATAGGTTGGTTGGCTGAAAAGAAATGTAGATGAACATGAGTTTCTGCAACACACGTGGGCCAGCCATTCCTTTCCCTCCTTCCCTCCCTCTAACACAGGGGTACCACAGAATGAAGGGGTGCTCCTCAGACTTCACCTGGCTCAAGGTACAATGGAAAGGGAGGTTTTCAGCCCTGGCCAGTTTTGCTCAGTGGTTAGAGTGTTGCCCGTGACCAAAGAGTCATGGGTTTGATTCCGGTCAAGGGCACGTACCTCAGTTGCAGTTTGGTTCCTGGCCCTGTTTGGGGTTGAGTGGAAGGCAACCAATCGATGTGTCTCTCTCATGTCAATGTCTCTCTCTCTCTCTCTCTCCCTCTCTCTCTCTCTCATTCTCTCTTTAACTCTCCTTCCCTCCCTCCCTCTCACTCTAGCTGAAGATAAACAGAAAAATATCCTTGGGTGAGGATTAAAAAGAAAAGAAAAAAAAGAAAAGAAAAAGAGATTTTCAGAGAAACACCCAGAGTATTAGAGAATTGGAAACACAGACTATGTCCATAAAGAATATGGAATTGGACACCAGGCACCAAAAAAAAACTATAAAAGTGTCCCAGAGAAACCTGCCTGAGCCAGCATGAGAAATGGCTCTGCGGTACCGGGGTGGACGGACAGAGGTCCCGGGATGCCATGGTCAGTTGGCCACTAGACAATGTGAAGAGGATTTAGGTCTGTTTTGTTCACTACCCTGCACCTGCCACTCACAGAGGAAAGACTCGGGTTCCCTGAGGGCCGTGTGTGTAGAAAAAAAATCACGGAGTAAAGTGAGTCACCGAAGTTCAAAGCCGGTGGAATGGGAGAAGCACCGATTTCAGAATAAGGTATTTGGGTTTGAGTCTTGGCTTTACACCTACCGGGGTGACCTCCACATTCACAGCCAGTGTGAGCTTCCATTTCTGCACTGGCAAAGGAGGCTAATAACAGGATGTTAAAGATGTCATCCGAAGTCATTGCTCCAAGAACCCGTCACCAAGCCAGAGGTGTCCTTAGAGGTATCATCTTGTTATTGTTCTCCTCACCAGTAAGTGTCTGTGTGGCTTGTTCTACAGCTCTGCAGCTGTGCCAACCTAATACAGCAGTCTCCAGACTTACTGAACAAATACTGAGGGCCGACTGCTTTTTTTGTTTGTTTTATCCTCACCCAAGGACATTTTTCCATTTTTTGTTCAGATAGAGTGGGAGGGAGAGAGGAAGACAGAGAGAGAGAGAGAAACATCAACGTGAAAGGGACACATCGAGTGGCTGCCCCCTGCACGACCCAACCAGGGCCAGGAACAAACTGCAACCGAGGTACGTGCCCTCAGCGGGAACCGAACCCGGGTCTCTCAGGACCGCAGGCCGACACTCTAACCGCTGAGCCAAACCGGCCAGGGCACTGCTTATTTTTAAGAAAAGAATCATCGTATGGTTTATGGCCATACTTAAAAATTCTTCCAGTGCATTTAAAATAAAATTCCCAAAAAAATATGATTATAACTTTTCCAAAATACACGGATTGTACGTAGCAAGTTATATCCATTGCATCAGAAAACTTTATAACCTGGGCCTGTCTGAGGCTGAGTTGTCAAAAGCCCCACGGACCTCATTTGCTGAGTCTTCCCAGGACAGGCTTCTTACCGGGAGAAGTAGAAGCTGAAGACGGGCGCGGTGAGCTGTCCCTGCTGCAGCATCCCCTGCATGACTGTTGGGGCGCTGCCCACCGCCATGTTGGGGTAGGCCATCCCCAGGATCCCATCGAAGTCCGAATAGTAGAAGGGGTTGTTGGGCTCGCTCTCGCTCAGGCCGAACTCCTGGTTATTGACGACGATGTTCTGAACCTGGGCGAGCAGACAGAAGAGCTGCACAGTTCACGGGGCCAAGCCTCCCCGGACGTGGGTGCCCAGGGTCTGGCATCTGGAACCTCTCCTGGGGAGAGAGCTGGCGTCTTGCCTGCTGAGCTCGCTCGCTCCCGGGTGTGGTGGGGAAGGTGGAAGGGCAACAGCGCCACCCAACCAGGGGGGTTTTAGGGAAACGAGTGGTTGTTTCCTGGAGTTCTAGCCTCCGTTTCCGTGGACAGAGAGTGTTCTATATTGCACAGTCCATGTGCAAGGATGGTAGACGTAAAGGCATACGGAACAGTGAAAGGACAGGCCCTGCAGTATCCAGTGACCGTGGGGAGGGGGAAGCGACGTTCTGCGTGGCTGCAGAGGGTAGAGTTGGGACCAGGAGCAAAGCCACAAGAAGACACACAGCTTTAGCACAAAGGGCGTTCGCAGCCAGGACGGCGGTGGAAGCACTTCCTGTCTTGGGGTGAAGGTTCCAGGAGATGACCTTTGGCATCTTTTTCAACTCTCAGCTCCTGGGAAGGTTCAGGCTAACTAGTCATCGTGGGTTTCCCTGACAGTTTACAGCTCTAGAAATGCGATCAAAAGCATAGACCCTCTGTGGCTATGAAAACGTCACTCACAGTCACGGTGTCGTATCCCAGGACCACACTCAGGCTGCCACTCCCATAGGACAGTGTATAGGTTTGTCCATTGTTTCTGAAGGTAGAGGACAGGCTGGGGTTGAACCTGTTGTGCTTGACTGTAGAAAGACAGAGTGAAATATTAGTGTAATTTACTGCAACCCAAAATACTTGGCGGAAACTTTCCTTCCATGGCCTGGGATGTCAGACCAAGTCTGGGGTGGGGCTCAGCCTCGGAGTTATGATATAGACAAACTGCTAGCCCCAGAAAAGTCTGTCCCCTTGAGTAGCAAACATTGCCTGGACTCCTTCCAATGCATCCTTCCCTGAGGGATGGACCTCCTCGAAAGCATCAGGAACTCTGCCCACTGGGGAAAGCGGAGGGGAAGGGACAATGTAGGAAAAAATGGGAGTTTCAGTCTAGTTCTCTCTCCAGAACAGTCAGTGCTTCTGAATGCAGCCTGAGGGCCTGGTTTCTAGATGCTCCTAATTTAAGAAGAATGAGATCATGGATATGCACCAAGAGCTCTGGACGGGACAGTATTCGCTCGGGCTCAGCCCTGACTCGTGCCCCCCACTCTGTGCCCTCCACGGGCAGGCGGTGACAGACGGGGACTCACCGCAGGCCTGGCTCTGGCAGTAGGTGGAGGGCACCCACAGGTTAGAGGAGCCTGTGTCAAAGAGGACCAGGAAATTTTGAGGTGGAGTCCCAATGCTGATCTCCCCAAAATAGAAAGCCTGCAAAGAAAGGTATGTCACCCTCATTAAGCAGCATAGCCTTGTCCTAAGGTGGGGATGAGGCTGACCCACTGGGAGTCACATTTGCCCAATCATCTCCTTGGGGGAAGAAGAGGCTTTCCCCACAATTTCCCCGCTCTGTGTGGAGCCAACTCCTCTCAATAGCTCACCTTTGGCCAGCTGAGACAGTCTTGCAAGACAATATCCCCTTCTAAATGTGTTTTCCACTTTGCAATAAGGTGATACTGCCATGGATTTACCGTGCGGTGCCAGAGCACCCGAAGTTGGAGCAGCGATCACTTTTTTCTCCTATCCAGTATCCATCCCCCCTTCCCCCTACACACACACTCTCACACACACACACACACACTCACTCACACACACACTCACACACACTCACTCACACACACTCACTCACACACTCACACACACTCTCACACACTCACTCACACACACACACTCACACACACACACACTCACTCACACACACACACTCACACACTTCTCCCCTTTCCTTCCAGTGTCAGATACTTCCACCACCACACTCCTCCCTCTGGTCACACACTAGCAAAGGATGCTGGGATGTCTAAGATGAGAAGTCACATGGAAAGCAAGACGAGAATTTGCTTGAGAGGCAACTTAAGTTCTAAGTACATTTGGGGCAGTCATGTCACTTACCTGCCTCTAGTTCCTCCATCTATTAAATGTGAGAGCCTACAGTGGCTTCCAGCTGTGATGTTGTGTCAGATCTCACTAAGAACAGCCCACAGGACACCAGTAAGTTGTAAAGCCCTGAGCAGACATTGTAGCCTCAAGAACATTCAAATACTTTCTCTGGATAACCGTGTATCTCTCCAAACAGGGAGGTTTCCCCTGGTGCCCTGGCATGTGTTCCTGTCTGTCTCCTGCAGCTCATTGCTGGGACTCCTTGAGGTCTCTCGGTCGAGTCAGACAGTACTGCTATAAATCTCTTAGCCATAAGGATGAAGCATCGGAGAGATGAGCCAGTAATGAGAGGAAAGGAGGAAGAAAAGAGAGCTACTGTCCTGTTAGATAATACTAACTCATCATTTATTTAGATACTTTCCATAGGAAAGTGAGACTTAGGGTTAGTAATTAATCCAAATCAGAGCTAATGAGGGATAAATTAGTATTTAAAAATGCTTATCAGCCCTGGCCGGTTTGGCTCAGCGGTTGGAGCGTCAGCCTGCGGTCCAGAGAGACCCGGGTTCGGTTCCCGCTAAGGGCACGTACCTTGGTTGCGGTTTGTCCCCGGCCCTGGTTGGTCGTGAGGGTGGCAGCCACTCGATGTGTCCCTTCACATCGATGTTTCTCTCTCTCTCTCTTCCTCTCTCTCCCTCCTGCTCTATCTGAACAAAATATGGAAAAATGTCCTCGGGTGAGGATTAAAAAAAAAAAAAAAAAATGCTTATCAGCCTGGCCAGTATGACTCAGTGGATTGAGCATCGTCCCAAGGACTGAGAGGTCCCTGTTTGATTCCCAGCCAGGGCACATGCCTGGGTTTGGGGCTTGGTCCCCAGGAGGGGGCGTGCAGGAGGCAGCTGATCAATGTTTCTTTCACATTAATGTTATTATCTCTCTCTTCCTTTCTCTCTCTCTAAAATAAAATCAATAAAAACATATTTATTAAAAAAAAAAATGCTTATCAGCCAAGACTTATAGACACTGCCTCTGCCTTCACTCACATCCAAGTAGTTGGTGATGGGCTCGTAAGCAACAGCATCATTATTGAAATGATACTTGGCGGCTGGGTCATCCTTTCGGTGGTTCTTCAGGAATTTCTCCAGGACACCCTTCTCCTCCATTGTCTGGCGGATAGACTTGCCTTTTTTCAGAACGATTCTGCAGAGAATAGGGTTAAAGCTGAATGAACTTCACCTTGAGCATTAAAGCATTATCTTCAGTGATCTGACCTGCAGTTTTCAAACCTCTTCATTAAGAGTCTCATACAGGAAATCCACCTGGATTTCAGCACCTCACAGTCATTCCAGTATTCCCAGCACAGAAATACACTACCCAATATTTGGGGGGGTTTGTGCTTATATGTTGTTTCTAGAGAATAAATGTCTGCTTCTCCCCCGTGCCTCCTATAAGCTTGGGACAGGGATTGCCCACCCTTCTTAGCCAAAAAAAACACACACCCACCCTTACACACACACACACACACACACACACACACATGCACACACATGTATGCATGCACACATACACACACCATCCATTCATTTCAAGTCTTGGCTCCCAATGGGTGTTCAGTTCATGGCACCGAAAACAATCTGACTGCCTCTCCAAGAGCCCAGCACCCTTAGCTCTTCCCTGCTTGCCATGCTCCCTTAGGGCTGGAATTCACAACGAGGCTAAATCCCAATGCACACCTTTCCACACCCTCCGAGAGGTGTAGGCAAACCAAGACCACGACCAGGATCTTCATTGTGCTGGTTTTTACCAACGCACAGGACATAGTGACAGACTCCCGCGTTGGGACACACAGAGGGAGGACGGGTCCCTCTCTTATACCCTGATCTCTCTGCACTTTCCATCTCTAGGCACGTGGGCTTTTCTATCTTTGTAATAGCCTGTTCTCCTACACTGCCCGGATTCTGTTTGTTTTTCCCTTTGGCAAGCATGAAGGACTTTAATATCTACCCTGTGGTCTATTTAAAAAGCAATTAACGGCTTTGCTGATGGAATCTAAAGATTACGATGTGATAACAAATGTAAAGTGTACTGGGGACATAAAATACTGGTGCCCGTGTTCTACTGGGGAATGGGTGCTGCCAACTTTGGCCAGAACAACGGAACAGTTTGCTCTTTCGCTCCAAAGGGCAGGTGCTCTTTGGAGACCTACAGTTTTCTCTCTACTTCTTCTCTTTCTCCTCCCTCTTCCTCTGATCAGTCTCGTCTATAGCTTTCCATATATGATTCCCCTAGTCTATGACTCTCTGCTCTTTTTCTTAACGTCTCAGTTCATAAACTAGCCAACATTTATCGAATGCCTCCTTCATGCTCACCTCCATACTGACTTCTGGAAGCGCCGAGATAATTGAGAAATGGTCCCTGTTTGCAAATGTCTGCATTCCTGCTGGGATGACTGACACACAATCAAACCATGAGGTGACGGCATTACCCCAGGCATTCAAATGTGTGTTGAGTGAATAAGAGGTGTAATAACAGTAGTCACGAAGCAAGCGGGGAGAGGGGATGATAGCTCCTGGTGGGATGGGAAGGCTTCACGGAAGAGGTAACATGGGGTAAGAGTCTTGCAGGATGCCGGACGAGGAAGCAGGGGAGTGGAAATCCATTGGAGCAGGAGAAAAACGTGACCAAGGATCAAAGGAGTGAAAATGTGTGATGAATGCAGAGAACGTTGTGAGCAACAAGCCAGAAGAGCAATTTTCAGCAGGTATCTGCACAATTCTCATCATGTTCATTGTGGTGTTGAAAATTTTTCCCTGGCCGGTGTGGCTTAGCTGACTGAGCATCGTCCCATGAACCAAAAGGTCACTGATTAGATTCCCGGTCAGGGCACATGCCTAAGCTGAGGGCTCCGGCAGCCGATCAACGTTTCTCTCTCATATTGATATTTTCCTCTCTCTTTCTAAAATCAATAAAAACATATTTTAAAAAAATAGAAAATGATTTTCTACTCCAGAAACCATTTGAAACAGAAAGGACTACAGTGCTAAAATACGGATACTCTTGAGTCTACAATGCTATTTTAATTGATTTTTTTTTTTTTTTTTTTTAGAGAGACAAATAGAAACATCGATGTGAGAGAGAAACATGTATTGGTTGCCTCCTGCATACCTCCTACTGGGGATCAAGCCTGCAACCCGGGCATGTGCCCTGACTGGAAATTGAACCAGGACCTCTCAGTCCATAGAAAAATGCTCAATCCACTGAGCCACACTGACTGGGCTACAATGCTATTTTAAAGCAGTGCTTAGTATTTAACTATTATTCTACCAAATTACTTACGACATGCCCCGTAAGTGATTACAACACACCATGGCTAGAACTCCTGGACTACAGTACTAGGCGTCTATCTGGGCATGACCAGATTGTGAGGCAGACCCTTCATGCCAGGCTGAGCAATATTGACTTTATCCTGTAAGAAGTAAGGAGCCATTAAAGTTTTTTAAATCCAGCAAATGACACACCTAATACCTCTGTATACTATTTATACAAAGTGGTGTTTCAGAAGCTTTAGTGGAAATGGCCAGATACCAACATGATTCTCTAAGTAAAGTTGTAGCTGGCATGAGAGAAGTTACCAGGACTTTGTTAGGAATCTACTTGAAGCCACTGAGCTATGCACAGACAAAGAGAATTTTCCTATTTCATGTGTATGACATGTTTCTTCATAGAAATAAAATTCTTTAAGGGAAACTTAAGAGCTACAGAGGATATGCTTGTAAGAGTAACTCCCACTCATTGAGCACCGTCTTTGTCCCAGGCACGTATTTCTTGTAACCATTGCTAATTGAACTTCTTCCCGGTGATCACAGAGTTAATAAATGGCAGAGCTGGGACCTAACCACAGCCTCCTCCTCTAAGCCTGGTGTGCACAAGCTCTAGTTGCTTCAATGCGCATGAAACTATGGACTTTAACAATAAAGACAATGAGATTTATACTTGCTTTCCCTTTTCTTGTAGAAAGATACTTTAATTGCTTTTTTCGCATTTCCAACTTCTTCCTGTCCACAGAAAGAATGTAACTCTGTGTGCTGCTGCCACCTGGTGGCAACATTTCTAACTTACAAAAAATGTTTCTTGAAAATTCAAATTAGAAAGTGACAAAAAAGCTTCTAACATTTTCTCCTCCGCTCACTTTGCTGGGTGTAGACAACATGCCCGATCACCAGCCATGCCCCTTGAACCTGCGCCCGACCTCTCCCCCCGCCACATCAATCAGTCAAACTGTCACCTTGCCGTGATTTCTGAGACGTCTCCCATTCCACATCTGTGCCTCGGGCTACTTGTCTAGTCTTTGAGACCCTACACTGTTTCTTCGACATTTATTGACTGATGTCCTATTGTAAGGAGCAGCTATCCCTCCTCCGCCATTTGTATATTCAATTATTCATTGATAGCCAATGAACTCACGACATTTACTTTACTCTATGGGTTAAAATCCATTATTATCATTATTTTGTTGCTCAAATTGTCCCAATTTCAGCCATTGGGAACTCCCTCAAGGTGGCTTTTGTGTCCCTCTGACATGGCCCCGTTGTGTTTTGAGTACTTCCTGGAAACAGAAGCTATGCCGGTCTTTTCCTGTGCCTTCCCTGCCCAGCCCAAGAACTAGCCATCTCTTTAAGGGTCCGCAGGTCCTTCCACTGGAAAACTAAATTTAGAAATCAAGATCTGGGCATTCCATGTGCTATTGCTTCTGGGATGCCATGCTCCCAGGCTCTCTCAGCAGTCCGAGCTAGGAACATTTTTATGTATGCACATACTGTATTTTTCTATCGATTTTTTTATTGACTTCCCTGCATATACTTTTAGAACCATGATTTCCTATTGATACCTCAGATTCCAACACCACAGGGTTCATTCCAGCCCTTCCCTGTCTAATCTGTTCAGTAAGTCACTATGTTTTGGGGTTAGTTTGTTATGCAGCTTAAATGACTTGTGATTTGTGCTGCGGCAACATGGGCCTGTGGTCATGAACCCACACATGGGAGTGTACACTCTTCACCTGTTTCAGTGATTTTTGATAGGTGCCTGGCCCCAGGGGCATTTTATTTATTTATTTATTCATTTAGTTATTTAATTATTTTTATATATTTTTTCTTTATTGATTTCTAGAGAGAGGGAAAGGAGAGAAAGAGATAGAAACATCAAAGAGAGAGAACATTGATCGGCCGCCTCCTGCATGTCCCCCACTGGGGATCGGCCCACAACCCGGGCATGTGCCCTGGACAGGGAACTGAACAAGTGACCTCTGGGTGCATGGATTGAATCTCAACCACTGAGCCCCACCAGCCAGACATTTTAATTTGAGACTCTTATCTTAAAGACTTGGAGACTGCACTTCCAAAAGAAAAGGTAACATCAGTGACACTCACTCTGAGCATCGTTGTCTCCTAAAAGGGGAGGGCTAGAAATTGGTCCTGGGTCTATGCTAACTTATCAGGGTCCTTCATGCCCAGAAAAACACCCCGTAGGTAGATTGCAGTGTGTAGTAAGTGAGAATGGATGTTTCTGGAGGAGAGCTAGGAGAAGCAAGCAGGTAACACAAAAATACAGCATTTTGCCTTCCTCTCAGCCACTTCTTATGGAAAGAATGGGTGGGGTATTTTTTCAGAGACAACTAAGATTTTACTAAGCAGGGAATATAATTGGAAGATTCAACTTCCTCCTGTCTCCCTGCCTCCCTTAATTATGGAAAACTCCTCCAGAAGAGATACGGCTTCTGACCAAAGTGAAGTGGGTGGTTCGTGGCAGAGAGAAGCGCACATTCCCCTGTAGAACAGCAGTGTGGGCCAGACAACCCCCTTTCCAAAAGGAGCAGCAGGGAAAAGTGACCTTGAACAGGGGCAGCTGAAATTGGGTTGCAGGTCATCTCAAGAAAGTAACTTCAGACAGGATGGTGAACACACAATACAGATGATATATTATAGAATTGTACCTCTGAAACCTGCATGATTTTATTAACCAGTAAATTCAATGGAAGGAAGGAAGGAAGGAAGGAAGGAAGGAAGGAAGGAAGGAAGGAAGGAAGGAAGGAAGGAAGGAAGGTCTGAGAACTCAGATGGATTCTTTGTTTCCAGTTTATTCAACAGAGAAGAGATTAGCTCACTGTGGCTTTGGGACCCGCTTCACCCCATGAGAGGTTTGTGAATGGTTGGGCACAGGACTTCTGCCAGGTGACCCGGAAGAAAAGACAAGGGTTTTCCCCAGCATCTGCTCCTTAATCCACAGCAGAGTTTACTTTCTTTAGAGAGAGAGGACTGGTTGGAGGGTCATCAGGTTGACAGAACGGTTTCCGTCAATGGGAACAAAGGGGTCGTCAAAGCAAGAGCAGTGTCCCGGGAGCGAGAGGCCAGAGGGTAGCATCCTGTTTTCAGCTTCCATCTAAAGACCAAAGTAACCCATCAGGGGTTCATGTCCAGCTCAGATGTCAAATTCTCCCCTCTTAGAGTCTTCGTCTTCCTGTCAGGGGTGACCGTCATCTTTCCCAAGGGGACTGTCGTCTTTACAGGTGCTGCAGCCTTCCTTCCACTGACCATGATCCTCACTCCAGAGGTCTCAGTCTGAAGATGCACAGAGGTCATAGTCATTGATTCAGGGGTCACGGGGGCCATGGTCTTTTCCCCAGGGGTCTCATCAGTCTTCCCTTGTAGAGCTGCTGTGTGGTTTACAAAGGATGCAGTTCCTCTGGTAGGGGTCACAATCCCAGCTCCGGGGACTGTAGTCATATTTTCAGTCTTTCTCTGAGTCTCAGTGGTCACACCCTCTCCTCTTGGGAGCAAAATCCCCATATCAGTGGTCAGTGCCTTGGTCACAGTCACCCTTCCAGGGCCAGTCCTTGAAGAATTCATAGCAGATGAGGGCCAAAATTTTGGTGAAAAAGTTGAACTGGACTCTACAGAAAATCATCAGAAAAGGATGAGAGTCTTACCTCTTCCTTCCCATCCCATAATTACTGGCAAGGCTGAAGTACCTGCTCTCCAAACCCAGAGTTGGAGAGTCCCATGATGCACCCACTTGAGGACATAGATAAAATCACACACACACAGAAGCCCTGCTCCCCCACCTCATCACATTAACACGATCTCAGGCACCCATGGGCACTCGGCGGGTTTGGTACATTCCCGGTAAATGACCCCAAAAAGGAGCCAATTGTCTACTCTTAAGCCCTCACTTTGACCTCTCTGATGGCACCTTCGGAGAGACCTTGCCCCCAAGGCCTCATTTCTCGCTTGAGCCCTCGAGGAGAGCTGCCTGTCTCCCACGCAGGAGGCCCGGGGACAGCTCCGAGGTCGAGACGCTGCGCCAGACCGCATGCCATAAAGAATCAGGTCGCAGTCCTGTCTCCACCCCTGACAAGCTGTGCTACCCTTTTGAGCCCAGTCCCCTTATCCACGAAATGAGGGTTATAAACCATCAGCTCCAGCACGCCGCGTTCCATCTGCTAACTGCCAGGGAAGTCTCTACTATCAAAGAGAAGCCACAGAAATTTAATTTCCCTTTCAGGCCCTCGGCCCATAAAAGCAGGAGGGGAAAAAAAGACAAATAAACTAATGTATACTGAGTGCTATGAGCTAGCACAGTCTTCATTCCACAGTTCATTGGGTCTTAGAATGATGTCAGGAGCATAAGGATCGTTCCCATTTTATACATACAGAAATCCAGGCCTGGAGAGGTCGAATGAGCACACATCCAAGCCACGGTCTGAAGACAGGTTGGCCTGAGAATAATCAAAGCTATTCTCTTGTCTCAATGTCACGTTGCCTCACAGGCCTTCAGATCAACAGAAGAGACCCACCCCTGCTGCTTAGACAACTTCCGACCCAGCTGCCAGGTCACAGCTACTTACCAGCCTGCAACAGCAGGTCACTCAGCACGCAGACAAGGGGGAAGGGGCCAGTGCCGCAGAAAGTGCCCCTGACGTCATCCAGGTCCAGCGTCCACACCATGGCTCCCCCATAGTGCTCTCTCTGGATGAACAATGCCTGCGAGGGGAGAGCCAGTCAGCCTGCTATGCTGGCCACCCTCCAGACTGGGCACCATGGTGAAAACCAAGACGGACTCCCAGGGGACAAGGCAGCAGGGTGGGTGGAGTATGGCCTCTATTTGAATCTAGCCTCTACCACTTACTAGCTATGGGATCTTGAAAAACTGAAATTTCTTCACTTCAAAATAAGAGGGTTGGACTAGATGAGACTAGGAAACCCCATTTAGTTCAGGTATGCCTGAAACTCACCTAATATAGTCATCCTCACCTTTTCATCCTCCACCCAGCACACACACACACACACACACACGCACGCACGCACGCACGCAGTACAGACAAGGGCCTCAGGGTAGCCAGAGAGGAACAATATGCCTGATCAAGAAAGACAAAGGCCTCACCTTGTGTCTGAAGCTGGTGACGTCATCATAGCCAACCCATTCCTCCCCCTTATAGGCGTAAGGGACACACTGATAATCAATCCAGCACCTCTTCGCCCTCTGGAGAAAGGAGCAAACCTGCCAGGAAGACCACAGGTTGGTTCTGGGAAGGGCCATGGAGAGGCACCCCAGCAGACACGCTGTTCCTTGCCCAGGAATAAAGAACCCCAGCCCCCCTCGTCAGGCAGTGACAAGGTAGACCAAAAGGGCATGGGGAAGCCATTCTATCTATTCTGAAAAAACTCCTGCTATTGCACATTCCTTCCTCTAATGTCCATGGTGAAAAGACAGAGAGAGGACCAAGGAGTGGATGACTTCCCTAAGAAACCCAGCCTGGGGTGGTAAATAATGCCAACACCATGGTGCCAACAGTAGCATGCCTGGCCCTCGACCAAACCTGTCTGGTGTCAGAGAGCCTTCATGAACAAGTCTCTCCTCTGCTCACTAGACGCTGGCGGACACTGCCCCCTCGAGGCAGAGATCAAACGGCCTTTTGAGCCTCTAATGAGCAAGTTCCCGAAGGCGAAGCGCAGGCGGGACGTCCGCTGGGTTCCCAGCACTGGAGCGAAGGTGTTCGAGCCGGGCTGCAGACGGTCATGACTCTTTTGTTTTAGTCCTTTATCATCTCTGCCAAAATCTCTGACCCATCATGCCCTTCAAGAGCACTATTCGACTGTGCCATCATCCACCACTGTGCTTCCCCGGGTCCGCAGGCGAGCGTTCCGCCAGGGCAGCACAGGGCAGGGACACCGGCCCCTCCACTGCCGCTTAAGGCAACGCTATGGCTCTCCCTCGGCACCCCACACGCCTTGCACCCTTGTACCTGCTGTCTTCTACCCGAGACGTCCTTCCCATCTTGTTCAAAGCCCTGCTCAGAATCCACCCGCTCCGCGAGCCTTTCCGGCCCACAGCCGCACACTCGGCGCCTCTCTGCCTTCCCGGCCCTCGGGCCCTGCGACTCTCCTCCGCAGGCAGCAAGCCTTGCTCAGACTGGGATTAGAGGAGTGGAATTGGGGTAGTGGGGAAAGAATCTGTAGTAGGGGGCACTTCTGGAACTGCTTCAAAATAATCTCAGAGCGAGGAGGGAGAGTCAGGGAGCAGAGAGGAAACGAGACTGGCCAGGAGAGGTTGATGAATGCAGCAGGGTGAGGGGTATGTGGTAGTGCGAGAGGGGGAAGGAGGTTATACTAGTCTTTTACTTTTGCAGATGTTTGAAATTATATACATATATATATATCTCAAATATTAATTATTTTTATTTAGGTCATATAGTAAGTCAGGATTGACTTGTATGACATTAAGATTCTTTGAAGGGGTGAGATATCTGCCCCCTCTTTATTCAGATTCCATCTAGCCCCTCATTCCTTAAACAGGACTCAAATAACTTCCTGAAGAAAACAGCTACCCAGAGACGGATTTCCCTTGCCCGGGGAACAGCCTCGCGGGCCGCCTGTGGCCTGCACCCTCGCCTTTGCCCTTGTCCTTGCTCCTGCCCAGGCCGCAGGTGGGGCCTTAGCTAACAGACAGAGGTCCCCGTTCCTGTCACCTCGTAATAAGCCAAGAAGCCAGGCTGCTTGGTGTACTTCCCCGGAGATGCAGGTCCCAAAGCTTCAGCCTGCAGCCAATTCTCAGAGGCCTTGAGGAGGCGAAAGGTACGTCCGTAGGTGGGGAGCCCCATGAGGAGCTTCTCCGAGGGGGCCCCCAGCTTCCGCCAGGAGTCCATGGCGTATGCCTGCAGGAAATCACAAAGCCCCCCTGTGACCAGCCTGGGCTGGGGCAGAGGTCCGGCTGCCTCCGAGATCTTCCCTTCTCTTACCGAAGATTTGGGGTCTCCACGCCGAGAGAACAGGGGGCTGTTGTGTCCTGTGAACCCTTCCCAGCTCCCATGGATGTCGTAAGTCAAGACGCTGATGAAATCCAGGAGTCTTAAAGGGCAGGAGGACATATGATCAAGTTTGGGCGGGCTAGATTTTCAGTCAGATCATCACAGTGCTGACTAGCTAACTAGCTAACTAGCTAACTAGCTGTGCATTGATCACCCAAGCTTCCCGGCCATTTCCGCCTGGGGGGCCTGCCCAGGCTGTGCCAGCCACCTAGGATGCTGCCACTAGGGCAGACTGCTGGTTGGGGAGCGCAGGCCTCGGGGCCCAGCCACCGGGGGTGTCCATGGAAACAGGCAGGAGTCAGACAGGAAACGAAGGCACGCAGGCCTGACGCAAGTGCCGAGAGGGGTCTGCAAAACTGTCGTGAGTTAAGCAGCACTGTCCCACGGCGTGAGAGAGCTCTGTCCGCCGGCCACTCAAGGGACCGCCGACCCCCTCATCCGGAAAGCGGTCCTGGCGGCGAAGCGGGTTGATCAGGTCACTGGTATAGGGTTTGCGTGGATCATCTCATTTCATTTCAATCCAGCCAATTCCCCAAGCACCGTAACTGTCTGCAGTGCGGAGCTGAAGCGTGGGCGGGCTGGACCAACACGAACAAACTGCCCAGGGCCTCCCACCCTTCTGCTCCCACGGAACCCACTGTCCCTGTGTAACTACACATACAAGCACCCTACCCTCTCTCTGTTCTGCATCTGCCTCAGTGTTCCCACCTGTAAACACTTGATTCTTAAAATTTGAGCAAACTAGTCCAGAGCTGGCCTGTCCAGAAAGAGTTATGAGCTGTTCCATGTCTGGCTTTGGAACTTTTGCATGTAGACCTGCGCTCTGAAAACGGGCCGGCGGGGCCTTCCTGGTCTCGGTTCTGTGGCAGTGGTTAGTGATTCCGCTGCCTCTCAGTGCCAGCCATCTGCCAAACAGCCAGTGTCCACAACTGTCCTCTGGGATGGCAGAGCCAGGCACGCGGGGCGCCCTCCTGTAAGACCCGGCGATGGGCTACACAGAAGAGTGCCCCCAAGATGATCTTGTGGGGGCTGGTGCTACAGCACCTCCCTCTGACTCCTAAAGAAAGCCTGGGGTCTGATGGAGCCCATCCCTGTCCCCACCATGCTCCTTGGCCCACCCCAAACTTGCACCTATACCAGGGCAGGCACAGGGAAAGCTCAGGGACAGTGCGCAGCTCTGGGGTTCTGAACTTGAAGCGCCTCCTTCCCTTCAAAGCCTTGCCTCCCAAGGCAGCCCCACTCACCTTCCTAGACGGGGCACATCATAAGCTATTTGGATGGTGTGCGGGTCCCCAGAGACAGCAGCAGAGAGCAGCAGCCTTGGACGCCTGGTGAGCTGGGCCTCCCTCTGGAAGGCAAGCAGCAGCTCCTGGGAAGTCAGAGAGGCAGATGCAGAGACCACCCAGGAAACCTGTATTTACAGAGCCTTGAGCCAGGTTCTGGGAACAAAGGTGAGTCAGACGCAGGCCCTGTCCACAGGCTCTTTAGCAGGGCAGGCATGCCCTGGCTGGTGTGGCTCAGTTGGCTGAGTGTTGTCCCATCACCACAAGGTTGTCCGTTTGACTCCTGCTCAGGGCACGTGGCTGGGTTTTGTGCTCCATCCCCAGGGGGGCGTGAAGGAGGCAGCAGATCAATGTTTCTCTCTCACATCAACTTTTCTCTCTCTCCCTCTCCCTTCCTCTCTTTCTAAAATACATAAAACATATATGTTTTTAAAAAGAGCAAGAAAGAAAGGCAGACATGAACAGTGTGGCAAGTGGCTTCCCAGAGGGGTGGCAGGCAAGCTCAGGGGCACGGGGCCAGCTGCCTGCCTGCGGGAGTCCAGGGAGCTGCCTAGAGGAGGCATCGCCCAGGCCGGAGACTGGAGCGAGAGCTGGACAGACAGCAGCTCTTCGGTCCAACATCTCTAGGGGGAGGGCAAGGAGAGACCCTTCCATCACCTCTCTCCTGCCCTTGCCCTTGGCCTCCCTCCTCCGAGCCCAGCGCCCACACAGGGTAGAAGTGGAACGTTGGCAGATTCGGAGCTGCCAGACTGGCCTTACTTGAATTAAGAAGAGAAAATTCCACCGGTCATGCCTGGGGCTGCCTCTGAGCCCAGGGTACAAGAAGCAGAGGTCCAGACCATCAAAGCCATGTGTCCTCAGGAGGGGTAGGACCGAGGCGATAAACTTCTCCCGGCTGGCGGATGTGGACAGCATAGCGGTGAACCTGTAGGGAGCCAGGGTGGGGTGAGGAGCACTCTGTGGAACCATGGCCTCGGGCAAGGTCCCTTGGTGCCTGCCCCTGTGAAGGGCACAGGGATGTGGCTGGAGGAGAGGAAGGCAGGTCTTTCAAACTCTCAAACCATCTCCAAATCCCCTCCCAGCACCAGGGGCTGAGCACGCAGGAATGGGATTCAGACAGCCAGGGGAGTTGCCTATGTTGACCTGGCCCTGGGCAGACAGCGCAAAGCCAGCCTGGCCTGGGGTGGCTACAGAAATCAGTGCCCGCTGGCCAGGCCCTCTGCCCTGCTGCTCCTTCCTCATGGGGACTACTCAGTCCCCACCACCTGTGCTGGCACGGACATTGTCCCCTGACCGAACTAGGAATGGAGCCCCAGCCACAGGCAGCATTCCCACTGAGATCCCGGACCCAAGCTGGATCTGGGCTGCAAAACGCGGGCGAGAGGCCCAGGCTCCAGGAGCCGTTCCGGTCTCTGCTCTTCTGTCCATTGGCTGTTTGACGTTTATCTATTTTTTCGACATTGTTGAAAACCTTGTAATTAATGGGAGTTGAACTTGAAGCAATTCTGGGCTAGTTCTGTGGGCACTGATTAGACAATCGGCCAGATTTGGGGTGAGGCAGGCCCGGGGTCCGTGATCTGTCTGCCACCTCCCATCTTTGAGGGACACCTGTGTGAAATACAGCAAATTCCTGACGACCTCCCACTTCTGCTTTCTTTTTTGCAAACGTGGAATGCAACCAGCCACTCTGTGAGCCTCTTCTGAGTAATCATGAGAGGATGTGTGCAAGGCCCCTGGCCCAGCGTCTGCACAGGGTGCTCAGCACACGGTGCAGAGGGAGGGGGGAGCCTGGGAGGGCAGAGCCTGGGAGGGCGGAGCCAGTTCCCATCCCACAGCCCAAGTCCTCCCCCACTGTAGGAGCAGGCCCCTCCTCACACCCCGCTGCCCCTGCTCCTGAAGCTCCTTCCTCCCAGGCCAGGAGGCAGGTGGGGCCTCCACCCTGGCCTCAGCCATGAAACTGGGGAGACGCTTCTTCAGAGGACATGAAGACAGTGCTCATCTCCACCTGCCTCGCGGAAGGTAAGGTGTTCATAGAGCAGCCCCGCATGCCAAGGCCCAGCAGGCATTTCATTTACACTACTTCCTGCCTACCCCCACCTATCCTCCCCAACCACACCCCTGCAACCCTTTGAGGTGCATATTTATAAATATCCATTTATAAAGTGAGGAAACCCAGGCCCTATGAGGTTGGGGGTTTCTTCTTGTCCTAAACAGGACTCCCCCATCTGACACAAATCCCTGCCTCTTATGAAGGGTTGATGGGACAACTGTGAGGACCCCATTTTGCTCCTCATTCCCTCCCACCCCCTTTCTCCATCACCTGGAACTTCCCTCTCTCACTTAGCATGGAAGAAAGGTCAGGGCAGGGCAAGTGTCTGCACTAGGCCTTCTCCCCCCACCTGTCCTCACTGCCACCTGCCCACTGCCCCCTGCCACCTGCCCACTGCACCCTGCCACCTGCCCACTGCACCCTGCCACCTGCCCACTGCCCCCTGCCACCTGCCCACTGCACCCTGCCACCTGCCCACTGCACCCTGCCACCTGCCCCATGCACCCTGCCACTACCCACTACACCCTGCCACCTGCCCCATGCACCCTGCCACCTGCCCCATGCACCCTGCCACCTGCCCACTGCACCCTGCCACTACCCACTGCACCCTGCCATCTGCCCAGTGCACCCTGCCACTACCCACTGCACCCTACCACCTGCCCCATGCACCCTGCCACCTGCCCCATGCACCCTGCCACCTACCCACTGCACCCTACCACTACCCACTGCACCCTACCACCTGCCCACTGCACCCTGCCACTACCCACTGCACCCTGCCACCTGCCCACTGCACCCTGCCACCTTCCCACTGTACCCTGCCACCTACCCACTGCACCCTGCCACCTGCCCACTGCACCCTGCCACCTGCCCACTGCACCCTACCACCTGCCCACTGCACCCTGCCACCTGCCCACTGCACCCTGCCACCTACCCACTGCACCCTACCACCTGCCCACTGCACCCTGCCACCTGCCCACTGCACCCTGCCACCTACCCACTGCACCCTACCACCTGCCCACTGCACCCTGCCACTACCCACTGCACCCTGCCACCTGCCCACTGCACCCTGCCACTACCCACTGCACCCTGCCACCTGCCCACTGCACCCTGCCACCTGCCCACTGCACCCTGCCACCTGCCTCACTGCACCCTGCCACCTACCCACTGCACCCTACCACCTGCCCACTGCACCCTGCCACCTGCCCACTGCACCCTACCACCTGCCCACTGCACCCTGCCACCTGCCCACTGCACCCCCACACACTTGCCGCACCCCCTCTACCCCGGAGAAGACAGGGTGGGCAGGGCCTCACCTCAGTGTGCCGAAGTTCCAGCCCCCGATGGACAGCAGCGTTTTCAGCTCCCTGTTCCTGTGGTGTGGCAGAGAGGGGCAGCTGCAGTCACCCTGTTTGTTCCATTCATTCAGTGGAACAGTGGGAAGTGGGGTAGGAGGGAGGGAAAGTGAAAGGGCAGGTGGAGGGAGGGAGCAGAGCAGAGCGCAGGAAAGAAGAGAGGAGCACGATCAATCCACAGGCATCGCCCCCAGGAAGTCCCAGGCTGTCCAAAGTCCCTCCAAGTCCCCCCATCATGTCCCCATGGAAAGGAAAAGAAAAACATAGTCTGAAATGTTGCTCTGCACTCGTTTTCTTAGTCAACAAATAAGTGTTGAGCAATTACTATGTGCTCTTGAGTGCTTTAGGTGCTTGAAATCCAACAGTGAGCCAGCCAGGCAAGCTCCTCCCTGCTCTCGGGGGCTGAGTCTGGTGGCGGGGTTTCTGCCCTGCTCGTCCAGAGCCACCCACGCAGTGCCGGGACAGAGCCAGGAGCTGTGGAGAAAGGACCACCCACACAAGCACTTCCTGCGCGCCAGCTCTGTGCCAGGCACTGACTTAGCCACCAGGGCACAAAGAGGAGGAGACCTGCCCCTTCCTTTGGGGGTTCACAGCTTGAGGGTCGCAGGTGACAGGTGGCAATAACAAGGCCAGCATCTGTGAGGCATCTGTGATGTGCAGGCCCTGTGAAGCACTGTGAAGAATGAATGCATGGCACCCTCACCACAGGCCTCAGAGGGCGAGTTGGGGTGGCCAGGCCGAGACGAGCTAGGAGGACAGTCCAGGCTGAGGCAGCAGCACCCACAAAGGCACGGGGACAAGAAGGAGGCAGTGTGCATCAACAGGGAGTTCCCAATTCGGGGAAGCGCAGAGTCTTGGCTGCGGGAGGCTGGAACCGGAGGAATCGGAGGGACAGAATGCTGACGAGTAGCAGGAGAAAAGGCTTAATTCTCTTCCATCTGTAAAATCTGAAAGACGGCCCCCACATTCAATATGAACGCACCTCTCCTTGAGCTTGTTGAACTCTGGGTAGAGAATTTTCTCGTCTTGGAGGTCCTTGGCCACCAGCTGATTGTCATTCATTGAGGCAAAGGCAAATATCAGGTGGGTGCAGAGAAAGGGGTCTAGGTCACGGGGCAAGATGGAGGCAGGGCCGGGTCGATTGTATGCCCAGTTGGTGAAGTAACACACCAGTTTGTGGGCAGCGCCTGGCAAGGGAGAGCACGCATTAGGTGGCAGAGACCAAGGCAGGGCACGGAGCTCAGCTTCCACAGGGCAGTGTGGACACAGCCTGAGAGGCCCGGCCACTGCAACATGCCCACTCCCCTCAACACGTCCCCCAAAGCTGCGCTGAGGCCCCCACTGTGAGGTCCCAGAAGGAAAAGAATGCCATCTGCAACCCTGGTCAGAACAGAACCACGGGTCTGGATCCCAGCACAGAGAGTGATACACACAGCAGGGGGCAAAATCCTCTGCTGAACTGGATTGGGTCAGTGACCCCTGACAGGACCAAGGCAGAGTGAGGACACAGGAGACACTCGGTGCAGCACATGGCTCAGCCAGAGAATCAACGTGCAGAGGGGGACACAAGTTCCTTACCATCGTGGTGTTTCAGCACAAGAACCAGCCCTGCAGAAAAAGGAAAGCATCACACACGGACTCAGTGCCTGCCCAGAGTGACACGCCCCAGCGTGAGTGACGCCCCTAGTGTGCCCTCCAGCCCCAGAGAGCACCCACCCACCGGCACCATAGCCAGACACAGGCTGTGCACTGGTTTCCTTGTCTCTAAGCTGAGCCAGTGGGGCCAGACCTAAGCTCCTTTCTACTCTAATAAACACATGTACACACACAAAATGTGCACAGGGACAACCAAGCCCCAGCGAGAGCTCTAGGCCAGTGCTTCTCAACCTGGGCTGCAAATTGAAAAGTAGTGACAACCTGGCTCCTCCCCACAAAGATTCAGAGGTCAGAAACCAGACATAAGCATGTTCAACGAGCAGCCAAGTTTGAGAACCTTCACTCTGATCATGCCTCCGGCCCCTCTGGCCCTTCACTACGTCCCGTCCCACCTCCATCTAATCCAGGCCGCCTGAGGCCCAGGCTGCCTCCCAGGCACCAAAGGGACAACAAAACCATGAAGCCTGGCTCCGGGACTGAGTGGCACACTCACCAACCCACAGCAACAGTCTTCCCACGCGCATCGTGTGAGAGCTGCGAGGCTGGAGCTCAGGTCCTTTATATGAGCTTCCCCAGGTGCGACCGTGGGGCGGTACTGGAACGACCCAGCTGCACACAAAACAGGATCAGTGACTAATGGCTGCTGACCCAGAGTCACGGCAACCCCAGCAGCTCCTGTCCTCCCTCTCCGGTTCTCAGAGCCAACGGAGCAAAGCCCCACCAGACAGTGGCGTGGAGTGGGTGTCACCACGGCCTTGCGAGGGCAGGGCGGTGTCGGCCCCTCTTCCTGGTGCTCAGCCCACGTGGACTGAGTGTGAGGAAGAAGCATTGCAAGGGGGCAGTAAGTCTGTTGTTACAGCTCATGAGTAGGAAGCAATGTAATAGGGAGTTTTAAAGCCCCAGCTGGGGACTCAGACCAAAGTTTGAATCTCAGTGTCATCAATTAGGAGTTTTATAGTCTTGGGCAAGTTGCTTAGCCCTTTGAGCTGCAGCTTCCACACTTGTAAAATAGAAATGATAGCTCATACTTATAGCATGGGGTTTTAGAGGAGTCCAAGAGACGACGTCTGAAAAGTGCTGGTCGGTGCGGGCACATACCGTGAGTGGTAGCTGTTAGGGAAGGCAAACGAGTTGCCCGGCAGAGCAGGGTTCTCAGACTCAAGTGTTGACACTCATCAGGCAGGTAACATAAATGGCTGGAGGGGACACAGTAAAGTAGCTCATTCTCTGCCTTATTAAAATAATAACAGTTTGAGCCCAATGATACACATAACTGACATGAAGCGTCTCGGTCGGGAGAGCAGGGTAGGTGCGAACAGAAACATCACTCCCTAGCCCTGATGGCAGCCACGCAGTGAAACAGACTCGATGTTGGAAGAGTCTTGGATTTCTCAAGAGAAGACAAAAACCTGATCTTTTGTATGAGTCAAAAGTATTCCAGTATATGAGCCAATGGGAAGAGTATGTCATGAACCTGAGGAATATAATGAATTCAGTTCTGGATACCTGAGAGCCAAGTTTAAAAAGAACAACGGAGTAATAGGAAAAATAAACAAACAGGTCTGCAGCCAGAAGCTTTTATTATCCAACAGCTTCCTTTTTCTACTATGGAAGATCTCAGACCATGGGTAGGTCCCAATTTTCAGGCTCTAAATCTCAATGATCAAGGACCCAAAATCAGATGTGCTCAGAGACTGACACTGTCACCTAATCCACAGGTCACTGAGGTACTAACCAGATGTCAATATAGTAAATGACACAGAAAAATAACAATGACTAGTGGTTGGATTTGCTTCGTTTCTAGTATGAAGCAGCCAGGAGAATAAACCTTTCTATCAGCAGTTTTCTGGGATAGCAGAATAAAAACAATCAATGCTATAGAATGTTGAGGGCGAGGATGTCTCACGGAAACTGGGAAAGCCTAGTGGAATGCCCACCTAACAGAGATGGTGTCTCCGTTTGTGCAAATGTTCCCTGAGCACGCGCCAGGCCCTGCTGGGCACTCTAGGAGTATCTAACACAATGGTGATCAAGACAGTTTCTGCTCCTAAGAGGCTTCTAGCCCAGTGAAGACTGATCACACCCCAGGAGCCAGTGTGTACTCCTCTCTCAGAGAAGTGTGTGGGTCTCTCTCGGATGCGTGCAATGGGGAAAACGAGTTCTGTTGCTCTGAGGTCAGTTCCCTCTCTGCACCGACTGGGGCCACTGGAGTCCCACCTGCACACTCAGCGCCACCCTCCATTCCTCGGGTTGTTACCCTGAATCAGGGGACAGTTAAGCCTCCTGAGAGCAAAGTGGATCAGGCTTGGCAACTTGCACCATTGGTTAGATGACCCCTGGTGTGATTTCTAACTCGAGTGATCTTGCTGCCCAGTTTCTAGCCCATGCACCCTAAGTCTTGTTGCTGGGTCGCTGCTTTGGCTTCTCTTCCTGTCTGTACACTCACGGTAGGCACAAGAGTTGTTGCCTAGGGCCCGACTCAGCCTTGCCAGACTTCTGGGGCCTTACTGGCTATCTTTGAAGATCTCCTTGATGTGGAATGCCCACCTCTCTCATCTTCTGAGCCTCCCCTCCCCTCACCCCACCCCTGCCCCCCAGATTCCACATCACTGAGTTTGTGCCCTGCTACCCAGACTCCTGCCAGGGGCACGGCCATTAACGCTGCACCCAACAGAGCCAAGGTTGCCTGTCTGAACCTAATTCATCTGCACCTGGATCAATCCTCCTGTTTTGCTTCAGTAGGCAAGGCTAGATCTCAGACCCAACCGATTCATACCTACAGAAGTGACTGATAATGCTGGAAGGATGCCAAGATACAACAATGAATGCCAGCAATGACCTCTGCTTCATCCAGGGGTGACCGAGACAGAGCTGGCAACTCTGCCTCTGTGTGCACAGCAGATGATGAATGGTAAGATGATGGACGACGCTTATGTTGAAAACCAGTGTACCATGTTCTCAACCCTTCTCGAGTTCTTGCTGTCAAAAAATACCATTGTTCTTTATCTTTACACACCCATTTGGATACTTAGAAATACTCCTCTCTAGGGCTTACCCTGTTCTCGTGAAATGAGAAGACATTTCCGAAGGTCTCACAGAAGCTGAGAGGAAGCGCCCCCCGTGCGACCCTCTGTCCCACAGCACGTGCCAGGGGAAGGCAAGACCGCAGACAGGAGGTGTCGGGCTTAACAGAGCACGTTCTTTGCTTTTGGGGGAGAAGACTGTATTTTATTTTATTCATATTTTAAAATGTATGTTTATTGTAGAAATTATTACAGACGTTCCCCTTTTCCTCCCTTCCCCCTCCCCCCCTTCACCACACTGTTGTCTGTGTCCACTGGTTATGCATATAAGTTCTTTGGTTTGACCAAATCTTTCCTGAATTACCTTGAAAGATAGGAGACGTATGACTTGAACAAAATTAACTGAATGATCTGAGAACAGTGCTGACTACAGAGCAGTGTGAACGTCAAAGAGCCTCCCGAGATCTTTAAAACAAAGGAAATAGACTAGAGCAGTATTTTCCAACCTTTAACATAGAAGATGTTTAATTGTGCATGAGGATTTTTTAAATTTTTAACATTTATTTCAATGTGTATTAGAAAACGTGCTATTACAACCCCCCACACACACACACGCGCACATCATTTTCGAGATATTGTTTAAAAACTGAGGCAATTTTAAAAAGACTATTTTAATAAATTAGTAAAGGTTAGCACTATGTCCAAACAATCTTTCTTACTTTCAGCTCGAGACCCCAGGTGAGGGATTCTACTGAAATGGAAGAGTTGTGTGAAACTGAAGTCCCTAATGCTTATAACATGGTGCTTGCCAAGGGACATGCTTGACCAGAATCTGGCACCACCACAGGTGCCTGGCACCTGGCACCGGGACAGGTGAGCTGCATCGACAGTCACTGTCGACCAGGGGCACTGGCTGGGCGCCCACCAGGAAGCTGAAGGATGCTGTTGGGGGGATTAAACTCTATGTATCGATCTTTTTAATTTTAATGATCAATTCCATCTTGAAGCTGCAGGACATTATTTATGAGACAAGGAGTTTCCAGAATACGCTGACATCAAACCTTATTCCAGAAAACCTTACAGGCCTGTGAACTGCACTGTCTCTAGAACCTAAAGCAAGATTTAACCTGTCCTCTTCTGATCTTCACCCCAGTCTCTCTGGATTGGACCAGCAATGAATAATGAGGATGAAAAATTTCATAATTCCCCATTTTTGATGGAGAACTTGAGAAAATGTGTTTTGGGTCCAAGACTGGTCTGCTCATCTTACTTTTTCAAAACTGTGCTATATGGATTGCTAATGATCTTGAGAAATTCTAATTAACTCAAAAGTGAGATTAGAGCTAACTTACCCTTTTTTCCAAACACAACCAGCTTACTGCAAAAGTGTTTCTAACAGTGTATTGTGTGGCCCCCAGGCTGCAGTAAGAAACTCACTACAAAAGTTCATTGATCATGGACACTTCTGGTCAGGGTGGCGGGTAGGTAAACGGTACTCACCTCCTCCCACAACCACATCAAAATTACAATGAAACTATAGAACCATCCTTCAGAACCGCCTGAAATCAAGCTGAATGGAAGTCCTACAACTATGAAATTAGAGAAGCAGCCACACCGAGACTGGTAGGAGGGGCAGAGGCACATACAGGCTGGTCCCACACCCACGTGTGGCAGATAAAAATCAGGACACTTCAGCTGGGAATGTCCTCCGAGGACTGAGGGGTCCCCGTCCCACACCAGGCCCCCCAGCTCAGGGTTCCAGTGCCAGGAAGAGAATCCCCATCACTTCTGGCTGGAAAACCAGCGGGAACTGAGGCTGAGGCTGCGGAAGCCCCACGCAGCTCCTCTTAAACAGCCAGCACACGGACTTACTCGGACTCGCTCCTTCTGGGCTCCAGCATTGGGGAGACAGCTTGAAAGGCACCAGAGACATACAGTGAAGAACTGAGTTGTTTGGCAACGGGGCAAGAGCTAGAGGGGCAGTTCTCTCCCGGACAGACTTGTTGGCAGGGGCCATTGTTCCTTTGGTGAGGCCTTCCCTGGGGAGGCAGACAGCTGCCATATCTGGGGCTCCAGCAACCTGGCTCACAGTTTGCCCAGCGCTGGTGATTCCCTGAGGCCCTGTCCCACCCAACCTTTGGGCCCACCCACGCTGTTTCCAAAGGCTTTACTAGAGAATTGGCCTGTCTTGGATCCTGCTTCAGATTTTCCTAAATTCTCTCAGACAAGCAGCATCTGGTCTCAGTGAGCCCCATACCTCTCGTTAAGTGGCCCCAGGCCTGGCACTAGAAGCAGCCAGTCTTGGTTCACAACTTGGCTTTTCCTGGGCACCTCCAAGCCCAACACAAGCAGCAGCCATCTGCAGTTCACTCTGTAGCTTATGCCTGGTGGCCCTGGATAGAGCACAGGCAGTGGCTGACCTTACCCCAGAGCCAGCACACCCAGTGGACAGCTTCAGAACACTGTGAAGCATCACCTCCCAATCACCTCCACAAGCTACACACTCAATGAGGGGACTCAGTGGGTCCACTTACCTGCTGAAGTAAGTCTTGCTCTGTGTGTTAGGCCCCTACACCGCTGATCCTCCAAGGTAGTCAGAGGTCGGTGGTCAGTGGGCACAGTCAGTCCTTGCAGCTGATCAGTCTGAGTAAATCCCTCCCATTGATGTGCCAACAGCAATCAAGACTCAATGACAACAGAAGGGTGTACAGTCCACACTAGGGGTGCACCTCAAAGGCCGGGCTGGGGTAACCAGGGAGGCTGTGCCACTGGACCCTATAGGACACCTACAACAGGCCACCCTACGAAGCCTAGGAGACATAGCAACTCGACCAAATACATAGAAACAATCACAGGGAAGCAGTCAAAATGAGGAGACAAAGAAACATGTCCCAAATGAAAGAACAGAACAAAATTCCAGGAAAAGATCTAAATAAATGGAGATAAGCAATCAATCAGATGCAGAGTTCAAAACACTGGTTATAAGGATGCTCAAGGAACTTAGTGAGACCTTCAAGGAACTTAGTGAGAACTTCAAGGAACTTAAGGAGAACTCTAAGGAACTTAGTGAGAACATCAACAACATAAAAAAGGACCAGTCAGAAATGAAGGATGCACTAACAGAAATAAAGAATAATTTACAGGGAATCAATAGTAGAGGAGGTGATGCCAAGAAGCAAACCATCAATTTGGAATACAAGAAAGCAAAAAACACTCAATCAGAACAGCAAAAAGAAAAATTAATTAAAAAAAAAAAATGAGGATAGTGTAAGGAGCCTCTGGAACAACATCAAGTGTACCAACATTCGCATTGTGGGGATGCCAGAAGGAGAAGAGAGAAAGCAAAAAATTGAAAACCTATTTGAAAAAATGACAGAAAACCTCCCTAACTTGGCGAAAGAAACAGACATACATGTCCAAGAAGCACAGAATCTCAAACAAGATGAACACAAAGAGGTCCACACCAAGACACATCATCATTAAAATGCCCAAGGTTAAAGACAAAGAGAGAATCTTAAAAGCAGTGAGAGAAAAGCAGTTAGTTACTTACAAAAGAGCTCCCATAAGACTGTCAGCCGATTTCTCAAAAGAAAACTGCAATTTGCAGAGTGGCAAGAGATATTCAAAGCACCCTGGCCAGTTTGGCTCAGTGGTTGGATCACTGGCCTGCGGACAAGAGAGCCCCGGGTTTGGTTCCCACTAGGGGCACATACCAAAACAAGGAAAAAAAAAGAGACAAAGTAATGAAAAGCAAAAACCTACAACCAAGATTACTCTATCCTGCAAAGCTATCATTTAGAATCAATGGACATATAGTCAGACAAGAAAAAGCTAAAGGAGTTCATCACCACCAAACCAGTATTTATATGAAATGTTGAAGGGTCTTCTTGAAGGAGAATAAAAATATGAACAATAAAATGGCAATAAATACATATCAACAACTGAATCTACAAACAAAATGAGCAAGCACAACAGAAACAGACTCACTGATACAGAGAACTTTTTGTTGCCTGCCAAATGGGAGGGGGTTGGGGAAATGGGTGAAAAAGATGAAAGGATTTGGAAAACAGACTGGTTGTTAGACTGATGAACCTCAAAGGGAAGGGGGAGGGAGTGCAGGAAGAGATAAACCAAAGAACTTCTATGCATATATCCATAACCAGTGGCCACAAATAATAGTGTGGGGAAGGCAGGAGGGGGGCGGGATTGGGGAGAAGGGTGTCAATGGGGAGATATCTGTAATACATTAAACAATAAAGATAAGTTTTTTAAAAAGTTCATTGATCGTGAATTCTCTCAGCTTCTTGCACATAAGTGGGCTTTCCTTAGGGGCCCTAAAGCTTCCCTGAGCACATTCAAGTCTTCGGTGTGCGTCTTACTGAAAGAAATACGTAAGTATATTTTGAAGCAAACATTTCTATTTCTTTAGTTTTTAGATACAAAGTCAAGCAACTACTGAGATACAAATATATGAAAGGCACGATTTCAGCTGTTCACATGTATCAGGACCACAGCCTTTGCTTTCTCATCTGGACCTGGCAGGTTTTGGAGCTCTGAGAAATGAAACCACCTAACATGCTGCTCAGAGAAAACATGGCTGAGAGCCCAAAGCAGTCAGACCTTGAGTGACTTTGCTGCTGTAATGTCACTGTGAACCACTAGGTAGTGCCAGCACAGCTGTGTATTAAACAACCAGCCTCCCACCATCCTGTGGGGCAGGAGACTCCTCAGGCATCAATCCAATGCCTGGTGCCACCTGCATCTGTCAAGCCTTCCCGTGTTTGCTGTGGACATGTGCACAACCCAAGGGTGAGCTTCCTATGCTTCGGACCCGAGATCAGCAGTGGAATTCAGGGGTGAGCAAAAGTAGATTTATAGCTATAAACCTACTTTTGTCCACGTCTGTATAGTGAGTGGGTCAGGTCAACAGACTTCAGAGTAAGAACAGTGCCAACAGGGAAATGGATTTACTCCAGTGTTCAGACATCTGGGAACACTGGGAAGTGAAATACAAATAAATGCTTGTGTGATTTAAACACAAAATAAGACCAATTTTACCTGTTATCAGCAAGTCCATGCTCTCTACTGAAACTATTTTCAAGTCTCCATGTGACACATTTCTGATTTTGCAGTTACCTTCTACTCTGAGCCATCTCTTTTGCTCACATTCAACCAAAACTATGAGGTTTTGGTTAGGCTCACACGTGTCTTTATGGCAATTATTAATAGATGACTCATCAACACAGTTTTGAACTCAAACTGATATTTTTTGCAATAACAATACGGTTCTTCAAAACCTGTTTTCCTTCTTTGATGTCATTTTAACCACCTTAACACATACATACATTTCCTTGGATTCTTATCTCTTCCAGCGTTCTCTCTGTCATTCTGAAGTCCACGAATAGGGCTACGAAAACTCAATTCCTCCCACCTCACTCCTGGCCTTACTATCTATACATGATCACAAGTTTTAACCTTTTACCTCTGGGAAGAACTTATGTGTTTCAACCAACTCACTCTATTACCTCCCAAGAAATTATAGCTAAGAACAGTGAAGGCTTTATTCCCACCTCACCCCAAGCCTGGTAGATCATGTGACCACAATTCCCACGGATTTTTACTCAAGCGTAGTTGTGAGAACAGAGCTCAAGCTTGGCCAGGGTGAAGCATGGAAGTTTTACTTACAAAAACGTTGTCCATGTTCCTTCAAACTGCTCCAGTTCCGTGTGATTTTTAGCTAAGCTAAACTTGCAAAGCACGAAAGTACATGATTACACTTAGTTTCAATACAATCAACAATTGATCCATGATTTCTAACTGGCACTAGTAGCCAGTCCACCAACCCCAAATGTTCACCTTGAGTTCCAACCAGCTACTCAGGGGGGCTGGAGAAGCAAAAAATAATGGGCTGTAAGAATGATACCCTGATAAGTGAAATATGTCTAAATGCACATGAGACGCGCTGGAAAAGACAGGCCCACAAAGCCTAAACTTTTTATTTCATCAGCCAGTATTTCTGAGTCTCTCTGATGCTGCAGCCTAGTATTCAGAGTCCACAAAAACAGTATTCATGCTTCCTGTACCCACAGAAAGGGGCCCAGAGGCAGGAGAGGTCAGGTTGGAAAAGGGGCAGACATTTCTCTGCAAGTCTGAGTCAGTTTTTAACATAACCAAAGTGCCTTTAAGTCCCCCGCACCCCACCCACGACAGAAAAACACTACTCTCTCCTACACACAACCCCCGGGAGGTGGGGAGGCATTAGACAGGTACCAGTCAAACTTTTTATTTGGCCAGAAAATGGATTTTGGACTCATTTCAATGGCAAGATGATGTGCAAAACTGGTGAGATGAGAGTCCCGGCTCTCAGGTGAGCTGGGCTGGATTCTGGTGAATGGAAGCAATGCCCGTGTTTGAGGTGAATTAAGTTCTGTAAAACAAGTTGCTCCTCTCTCTCTGAGAAGGATGTGAGTTGCTCCTATAACCCAGAAATGCCCACCCCCACATCTCATCCAGACATGGCCAGCTCCACAGGCAACGCTGTGTGGGAAGCATAAAATCCTTTTGTGAACTCTTCTGTGGAGGGGCGGGGACGGTGGGCCTCGGGAACGATGTGGGATGGACTTTTTATCACGCCCTCCCAAAAACTACACACACACATACATACCTATCCATTTCCCAGACAGTATTTCTCTCCTATGACTACAGGATCCTAGAAACCAGCCACCCCAGCTGACGTGCCTAGCACTGCCCAGATCCGGTGTTATCAGCATACCGCTAAGGCTCCTGTGTGGTCTCGGACTGGGAGGGCAGGGCGAAGGGTGAGGTACCCGGGGGGTTTGCTTTTTGTCTTCAGTCCAATCTACTCGGCAATACTGTTCGGTCCGGGGGCTGAGAGAGGTCCTGTGGGCACCAGATGGTGGATGACCTGATGGTCCCAGCCCACAGTGGTGAGGAGGGAGCGATTGAGCGGAGACCAAGTAGCATCTCTCACAAAGTCTCTGTGGGCTGGGCTTCTAAATCTAGAAAAGAAAAGAAAAGAAGAGATTGAGCATGGTAGGGGACAGGAGGAAAAAAAATGACTTGGAGAAGAAAACCTAACATATCCAGGGCACAGTTTTTGGATGTATTACACACACTTCGCCGTATGTATGACCCCCAAAGGATTTCATCAATCTGTTTTCACAGATGAAGAAACGGTGGCTAGAGCAAGAGCAGGGACATGGTGGGCCGAGATCACAAGACCAGTCAGCAAATCGTGGCCAAGGAGGAACAAACAGACCTTCTGCCTGGTGCCCTTCATCTGACAATAGGCTGCACTTCATGGTGCAATTTTTTTTTCTTTTTTATCCTCACCCGAGGACATTTTTGCATTTATCTTGAGACAGAGCGGGAGGGAGAGAGGGAGGAAGAGAGAGAAACACTGACGTGAGAGAGACGCATCAAGTGGCCACCACCTACATGACCCCAACCAGGGCCGGGGACAAACTGCAACCGAGGTACGTGCCCCTAGGGGAAACCGAACCCGGGCCTCTCTGGTCCGTGGGCCGATGCTCCAACTGCTGAGCCAAACCAGCCAGGGCTCCGGTGAAATTCTTTATGTGAAGAGGGCAGACCACCCTTCTGGAGAAAGCACCCACCACCACATTCATCCTCTACCAGGGACAGAGCTGGCTGTGAATCAGCCCAGCAAGAAGGAGACAGCCAACACTCCGCCTGCTTCTATCACCCAGTCCCCTTGAAAGAGACAACGTACTTTTCTGAAGAGAAGGACCTGGCCACCACTGCTCCCTCCCCACTTCCTGATCACAGGGCCCCCTTGCACTTACACCTGGGACAGGCCCGAGTCCAGCACGGCGAGGGAGCAGTCTTCACTGACAGAAGCCAGGAGCGGAGCACTAGGAGAGGGGGGAGAGGGACATGAACGGTGAAACCCATGGCTCCCAAGGCAAACCCTGATTGGCCAGCCCCCAACCCAATTCTAAAGTGACCGGAGGAAGGGGGCCTGATCCCCAAGTCGGGTTAAGGTCTGGCTACCATTCAAGACCACATTATAAGTTTCAAGGAAAGATGAGGGGAATGGAGGAAAGCCAGGGTTGACAATCGTCCTGGCAACTAACCATCCCATCTGGTCCCTCCCTGCAGCCCCAGCAATAACCCAGAAACACAGGCTTCTCAACCACACTGTCCTAGAATCCCACAATATTAATCGTTTTGCGCACTGAGCAAGGTGTTAGCCATTTGCAGACCGGAACTATACAACCCAAACATAGACTACAGTCTTAAGAGACCTTTGATATTCTGAAACCTCAGCGGAGCAATGTCTGCTTTGAGGAACTACCTAATCAACTAATGTTTGGCCAACATAAGCATGCCCCTCGCTGGGCCCACACACCCCGAGCAGGCTCTGATGACGACAGTACCTGTGTGGGGAGAACACCAGCCCAGTGACACACTGGGAGTGCACAGTTGAGCTGAGGACACAGCTTGCACTCTTGGTTTCTACAAGGGAAACAGTCCCATTCTCGTCACCTACAGAAAAGAAAGAGCGCACCACAGCGGTTAAGAACAGGGCTCTGGAGTCAGCCAGACCTGGATTTGAATGCTAGTTCCTCAGTGTTGGACAAGCTAAGCACTCTGAGGATCATTTCTCTCTTTTGTTAAGTAGGAACAAGTAGTCACTGGGTAGTTGTGAAAATTAAATTGATGGATGATGTGATTATTAGTTTAACCGCAAACCACATCACCATGACAGCACCACAATCATCCAAGAAGAACAGAATTTCCTACACAGTAAGTCCTCACTCAACATTGTCAATGAATTCTGTGATTCTAAAGTGAAACAACATATAATGAAACCAATTTACCATAGGTTCATCGATATAAACAAGATTTAAGTTCCTGTGGCATCTCATCAACGTTATGACGAAACGTGTTGAATGAAGTGACATTATTCGAGGACCTGCTGTATAGTAATCCACATGCTTTATGGCCCACTGACTTCTAGCCATGCCCAGGACACAAGAACAAGAACAAACAATCAGGACTCAAATCCACTGGAGGAAAAATCATCATCTTGTCCGAAGCTAAACTAAAACCGCTTTCGGAGCATCCCCCCTCTCCAGCCCTCCATCAGCACGAATTCATATGGTGCCCGGTGTGCAGAGGAGACAGAGCAGATAGAGCCTTGAGTGTTATGGAGTCAGCACTCCCTCTCTCGCCCTCCCTCCCCTTCCCAGAGTCAACACACAGTTCAGGGTGCTCCCATACCCAAGACAAAGACTTCGCTCTGCTGAGGATGCCAAGCCAATGAGGTAGGAAGGTAGCCAGAGGCACCGCAGCCTGCAAAGGAAAGAAAGAGGGTTTGGTACAAGACCCAGAGCCCAGCTCTGAGAAGAAACTTCTCAGATGAAGTCAGTCTAAGTCCCAGGAGCATTTATTTGGCTTCCCAAACCCTCCTAAGGCAGCTGTGTCTTCATCTCTGACCCTCATAATCTCCTTTTATCCATCAGCCTCCTGCCTTTTCTAGACACAAGTCACAGGCAAGTTTCAAGCAAAAAGCATGAAGACATCAACTCTGGCCCCTCTGCTGACTTATCGAGGAAATGCAAAGTAAATCACCACCCAGGAACCAGCACTTCCTCTTGGTACCCACTGCACAAAATGGGGTCAGCAAGCCTCCGTGGGAAAGAAAGCGATTTATAACTCATGTCACAGTGATAAGGCATTTGGCAACTTTTCCTTTGACTCTGGCCAAGGAAAGCTTCTTCCGGGTGGATCCCAGTACCATTCTCCCACCACTGGCTCTCAGACTCACCCATCTGTGATGCTGGCTTGGGACAGCGGGTATCCCAGAGTAAAATTCTACTATCCTAGAAGAGGAACAGAAAAGAGCTTCAGAATCCACAGCAGCATCTGTGAGCCAGGAGGTCTCCATGCTAGACTTTGGCCTAGTGTGGAGACCTCCTGGCTGGAGTGGGGTTAGAGAGAAGGGAAGAGCCTGTATCTTACCTCACTGCATGAAAGAAACACAGAGTCCTGGTGGGGAGAGGCCGCAACACAGGTGACCTGCCCAGAGTGAGCTGTAACAGAGAGAGGAGAAATGACAGAAGAAGCTGGAGGCCTGCTATAAAGCAGCCCAGAACCTCTCAAGAGGTAGGAGAGAGTGTGAGAATCAGGCCTAGGCTCATGATGTAATTTTATCAATTTCATGACAGATTTTGATTTAAACAAAACCTAAGAGGAGCTGTTGATGGAGTTTATAAAACCTAACAAGGGCCTGCCTGGCCGGTGTGGTTCAGTGGACTGAGCATCGTCCCAGGAACTGAGAGTCCCGGTTCGATTCCTGGTCAGGGCACATGCCCAGGTTGTGGGCTCGATCCCCAAAAGGGGGCCGTGCAGGAAGCAGCTGATCAATGTTTCTCTCTCTCTCTCTCTCTGAAAAGTCAATAAAGCCCTGGCCGGTTTGGCTCAGCGGTTAGAGCGCCCAGAGAGACCTGGGTTCAGTTCCCGCTAAGGGCATGTACCTTGGTTGCAGTTTGTCCCCGGCCCTGGTTGGTCGTGCGGGTGGCAGCCACTCGATGTGTCCCTTTCACATCGATGTTTCTCTCTCTCTCTCTTCCTCTCTCTCCCTCCCACTCTGTCTGTACAAAAAATGTCCTCGGGTGAGGATAAAAAAAAAAAAAAAAAGAAAGAAAAGTCAATAAAAAACCTATTTAAAAAAAAAAGACAATTAAAATAAATAAATAAAATAAAACCTAAAAAGGGCTTGGGAAAAAATTAATTAGCAAAGACAATGAACGAGAAATTAGGAGTTAATAACAGTGAAAGAGTTCATAGATGCCTTGGTTGGTTTGGCTCAGCAGTTGGAGCGTCAGCCCGCGGACCAGAGAATTCATAGTTAACATCCTAGAATAGTAATTTATATACTGCAGGACACATGCCTCGAGGGAGTTCTGGACACTGACAGTTTAAAGGGAATAAAGTTCTTGAATGTTCTCTTTCCTAAATGGATTACTAGGTAGCTGCCTGTAGTCTGTCAGTGATCCTGTCCTACCTCCACCTTCACCATCACCATCACCCTTCGCCCATGTCACAGAAGGAACACGTCTATCACCCATCGCAAACCTTACCATGGTACAACACTCAGGAGTATAAAAACCAAAGGTATAATACAAAAGGGCTTCTCCCTGAAAGCCGAAGAGCAAAGGGAAGAGCACCTGGGTGCAATTCACCTGGCTGGTCTTGCTTCATCCACACTGCAAACACAGTGTGGTTCTGTGACTTATCTCTGCTTCGAGAACTTTGAAAAATGTGACAGATTCATAAACGTCCGGGTTCATACTTGGAGAATAGCAAGGATCGGCTGTGAGTGGGTTTAGCTAATTCAGAATATTTGAAGAGGGAGTGACAGTAAAATGGCTTGAATGCCATGATGAGAAAATGGGACTTTAATCTGCAAGCCACAAGAAACCAATGAAAGAGCAGCGCTCACAAATACAGAGGTGAGTGCCTCCATCTGTGTGAGGTAGTGCCTGAAAGCAAATGAGAGCGTAAGAAACGGAAAGGAAGGTTACTGGCAAAATGGAAAAAGAAATTGGTGACCAACTGATAGCGGGGAAGGAGGAATGGAAGATGACTGAGTTTGAGCCTCAGGTGGCCAAAAAAGTGGTGAGACCATCACCAGAAGTGGGAAAATTAAGAGAAGGGAGGGATGGAAACTGGGGCCCAGCTATAGTTTTGGAAGAAAACCATCAGGCAGGAGAGCAAGGACCTGTTGCCTTTAACATTCAAGCAAAGTTCAAAGAGCCAGAAGAGAAAATAAAGACAAAACAGCTAAGGCCGAGACGAGAAAAGAAAGAACAGGCACTTACCCCGGTATGAATTCAGTACCATCTGCTGAGCGAGGTCCCAAACCTTGATGCTATAAAAGCAAAATAAAATAGATACTTCAGTGGATTGCAGAATCTCTAGGGAAACCTTATAGATATGTCATAATTAGTCACTGGGTTCTTATAATGAGTCCAAAACATTATATAACAAGGCTAATCAAATAGTAAAGACATCCAAAGGAGGCCAAGAGACAGGAGTGATGAGAACAAGGACCCACCAGAAGTCTTTGCTACCGCTAACAGCTTGTGTGCCAGAGCTCAGAACACTGACTGTACACACTATGTCATCGTGCTCATACTTGCAGAACTTGCTGACAATGAGTGTCTCATTCTCATCCAGCTCCCATAATTCAACAGCACCTGTTGGGGATAGGATGGAGAGGGAAAAAAAGAAGTTTGAATTATACCAAAACAGTAATTCACTTCTAGGATTCAAGTCGTCCACTGTCACCAAACTAACACAGGAAGTTATTTCTATAAAAGCAAAGTCCCTATCATTAGTGGGTTTAACTGACTTCCAAGTCATTTGCCTTTATTCCGAACATCATACTTTTCCTAATAACAGTCCAGACGATTAGGTGGGGAAGGCTTCTAGAAAAAGATGGAACAGCTGGTAAAATCCATTACCCCGCTTCCAGTGAGAAAATTTTAGAAAATAAGTTCCCAGGAGAAAAGGATGACATCTCCACAGTTGTCTGTGTAGCACAGACAATTATAGCTTCCCAATTATAATAAATATTTGTTGAATAATTTTAATAAATGTCTTACAGAGTCTTTAAAAATGTATTGAATAACTCAATGTCTTGCACAGTGACCGGCTAAGTACTGAAAACACCCCCAAAATTGTCTTGAATATATGTAGTGTTCAAGCTCAACTGTCAGAGAGGCTCAATTTTTAATGTCCACACTTACTCTTCCATGTAATACCTGCCAACACCCAAATTTTGACTTTTTTAAAATAACAAAGTCTCCACTGTTGAGTCAGACATTCAAAACAAGGAAAGCAGAACGGAGACATTTAAGAAGAAGAAAATGAGAAGATATGGAGAGACTGCACAGATTGGCTTCAGCACCATCTTTAAGATTATCCTTGCTTTGGCTGGGGGAATATGGGACAGGTAGCTCCAACCCATTTCTTAATTTTGTTATAGATTTTGCTAGAAATTCCCATCAGGCAATTTAGAATCAATCTCGGAAAAGGTATTTCCACCTACACAAGAGTTCTCCTTAGGGACCAAAACCCTCAAGCTACCCCAAGCACTGAGTGTGGGGCACGAAAGATTGAACCTAGCTCGACCTGTACCCCTTGGCCTCCACTGCACCCATAAGGTTGAGGAAAAAGTGACTCACCTGAATCGGAAGCCACGAGGATACCTCTGTCCCCTACCCAAGTGAGGTCAGCCACTCCGGCCTCCGTCTGGACTCCAGCGGAGCAGAAGCCTTCGTTGGGGGCGGCACAAGGGTCCTTGAAAAGCCAGAGGGAGCCAGCCCAGCAGCGGCCGCTCAGGCTGGAAGCCCCAAGCAGGAGCGCCCCATCTAAAGGAGGTCAGCGCGTGAGGAGTGCAAGGGTTCGTCTCCATGGCGACCGCGCAGAAAACCACGCGGGCCGGGTCTGGATGTGAACTCAGGAACGCGGAGCACGGTTGGGAACTGAGTTCAGCGAGGGATGGGTCAGGATGGCAAGCGGGGCGGGGGCGAGCTAGAAGGATCAGCCTCGGGAAGGGTCACCCAGAGGCGGGGAGAGGGAGCCCCAGGCCCAGGATCTCGGCTCACCCGACCGGTACCGCGCAGCCTCCAACTGCCGCTCCATACAGGCGGGCGCATTAGGGGGAAGGTTCCACTCGCGGTCCTCCGGGGGCACCAGAGGAGGCGGGGTTTCCTTCCTCATCTTCACGCTTCCAATGCCAACCTAGACCCGAACTGGACGCCCGCAGGAGATTCAGCTCCAACAGTCCCCACGTGGTACCCACCTTGGGCCTCCGCCCCTCTGGACAGGCTACTGGCACTCTACATCTCGCGAGAATTGCTTCTACGGTTCCATTTCGCTTTCTGGCTGCCGCCTTCGGTGACAGGTTCTCCGTGCCGTGTACCTCTTATCGCGAGAAGAAGAAAAAAATTCTAGAGGAAATTGAAGGAGTTCGCGTTCTCTTCTCGCGAGACTTGCGAGCGACCATCTTGCCCTGCCCCTGACAGGTTTCTTCGTCCAGGTCATTGGGACGCCGAGACCACCGAGCAGAACCTCGTTGACCATGCTGTCTCGGGTGGTACTTTCTGCTGCCGCTGCAACAGGTGAGAGGTGTAGACCCTGGTCCCGGCTATCAGAGTGACTGTATAGAAGGGCGTCTCTGGTTACGCGGAGGGGGTGGAAGGAAGGGGGTGAAGAAACGCTGGCGAGACTTGGGCCTGAGAGGGGAGTTATTAGCGCCGCTCGGAAGGTCAGCGTGGGGTTTCAGGGGACAGGAAAGGAGTGAATGAAAGGGGTGAATGGCCTTAGTGATCATGCCCCGCGGGGACCCAGGAATGAGCAGACCAAATTTCACCTTGACCTTGCTGACCTGCGCCTGTGTGTTTGCAGCCCCTTCTCTGAAGAACGCAGCCCTCCTCGGCCCAGGGTAAGTGAGAGGGGTGTAATACTCCCCTTCGTCCTTGTTTTATCGTCGCATTTCGCTTCCTGGTGACCTTTAAGCTTTGGGCCAGAAATGACCTTTCTTTGGGTGATTTTTGGAACGTGCAAAGCCTTACTCGAACACTTGGGCCTTTGTAACGGCTTGGAGCATTATTGTCGCACCACATAATGGCAGAGATTAGGAGTGTAAGTGGTGTGTTCTAACTAAACTATAAACTGGCTTTCAGGTCTCTAAGCCCCGCCCCTCTCCCTTTTGACCTTCAGCTGGACATAACTGCCACAGCGCGAATCAGATTCCTGGAATCGGAATTTTTAAAAACCCACGAAAAAATTTTTGGTTTGTTTTCTATTAAATGTATTGGGGTGACATTAGTTAATAAAATTAATTTTCAAGTGCACAGTCCTGTAATATATTACCTGTACATTGCATCGTGTGCTCACCACTCAAAGTCTAGTCTCTGCTCACTATATATTTGACCCCCTTTACCCTGTTCATCTCCCCCCCCATCCCCTCTGGTAAACTTCATACTGTTGTCTGTGTCTATGAGTTTGTTTGGTTTATTCGTTTGTTGCTTTGTGTTTCATATCCTACATAGGAGTGAACAAATTTTTTTATATAAAACAATGAAGAGTGTTGTTTTCAGTCTCCCAGATTCCAACGTTTACTACCAGATCTTAAGAGTTAGGAAAATCTATTGATTCAGTAGGTATTTATTCGATTGGTTCAGTAGGTATTTATTTGCCACCCATATAACCAGAGATAGAAAAAGGAGTAAGGCTAAGAACCCGCCTTTATGGAGCTCATACAGTCTAGAGAGGGGATAGCTATAGAGTAGTGGTTTAGAGCAGCAATTTTTCAACCAGTATGCAGCAAGGATTTTTAAAATATGCAGTACCTGACTATTTAGTCAAGGGCACTGGCCTCTTTTTCCTTATATTATCAAATTAAAAAATAATAATAGCCAGCACAGCAATAGCCATCCTGTGTAAATGAATCAAAACTATACTTTTTTTTCTCCCTTTTGTCAGATTGGCAAAAAAATATATTTTTTGGTGTGCTGTGGAATTTTAGTAATTAGTTTGAAAAAGTTTGAAAATCACTGGTTTAGAGTGAGAACACCAAAGCTAGAAGGAGGAGGTACACTTGGGCTCTCCACTGATCAGCTGTGTGACCTCAAATTTCTCATCAGCAAAATGGAGATAATAGTACATATTAGGTTATGAAAATTAAAAGACTTAATTCCTGTGAAACTATAAAACCGGTGCCTGATACATAGTATGTGCTTAGTAAATGTTAGCAGCTATTGTTAATATTATTTAATAAAACATGTCAATTTGGGAGGGGTGATTTCTGTTTTTAGCCCTAAATCTTGCAAAATTTGATAACTATTCTATGGCTTGAAAAAGTGGCTTTAATCTATCTGTAATTATTTTTTGAGTATGCAATAAAGCGAGGCTGTAATTGACTGCTTCCAACTTATCAGAGAAAAAAGATTCCATACAGACAAGTAAATAACTATAATACGGTAATAAATAAAATACACAAGATACTTACATAATATACAAGGAATATTCTCCATCTCTCTTTCACATACCATATCTAATACATCCCCAAAGCTCTTCTACCAGATATATCTGGACTCTGACCACTTCTACTACCACTACTCCTGGGGTATGAACCTCCATCACTTTCACCCAGGCTATTTTAATAGTTTCAGTTTCTTAACTAGTCTTACATCTCTCTTCTTTCCCATTACAGCCCATTCTCCCAGTAGCCATAAGATGTATCTCTCTCCTCACCCCACCCCCACAAACTCTCCAGGGCACCCCACCCCCACAAACCCTCCAGAGCGCTTCATCCCACTTGAAATAAAATTCAAACTTACATAACCCAGAAGGCTGATCCCATCCTACCTCTTTATCTCCTTCTGCTGTCTTTTTAGCTCATTCTGCAGCCATATTGGCCTTCTTGCTATTTCTTTGAAAACTGGGAGCTTAGTGTTTGCCTCAGGATCTTTGTACTTGCTCTTCTCTTTCTCCCAGTTTATTGGCTCAAATGTCCTCTGGCCTCCTAAAAAATGCCTTTCCCCACTCTGTTTTGCTCCCTGTCCCCTTACCTTGCTTCATTTCTCTTCACAGAACTTAGAACAGATGCCTGAAATTGTGTACGGACCTATACACAAATCCCCACACCCCTCCTAGAGTGTTGAAGGCTGGGGCTTAGTCTGCTTGTGGCTGTGCTTTCAAGGCCTGACATAAGTAGAAAGTCAGTGAATGATTTGTGGAATAAATGAATGTTAGCACAAGATTGGAGAGGCCTTTATAAAAGGATATACTTGAGATGTTCTGAAGGCTGGTTTGGTTTGGCAGTTATTAAGTGAAAGGCATACCAGCCAGAAGGAGCAGCGTGTGAAGCATGTTTTTGTGGGGATTTCTGTGTGTGTGTGTGTGTGTGTGTGTGTGTGTTTGAGAGCTGTGAGTACTTCCATATGCCCAGAGGGTAGGAGAATGAAGGAAGGTGAGGACATGAAATTTGACAGGTGCTGTATCACGTATGCGATATTAAGTAGTTTGTTTTCTGTAGGCAGGAAAGTCTGTTAGAGAGTTTGTAAGTCAGATTTGCATTTTGAAAGCATTGGCAGGAGGGGGTTAGGTTTAAGGGGTATTTGACCAGAAGAAGAGAGACCAGGTTATGGATTACTAAATTCAGGCTTGAACTAAGCCAACAGGGGAGAGAATTTGTGTCAGCTTATACCAAGTTCTCCAGTGCTATGATTAAAATCAGTGGTTCTCCACCTGGGCCAGTTTTGTCCTCCATGGCACATTTGGCAATGTCTGGAAACATTTTGGTTGTCACCCCTGGGTGGGAGGGGCAATGCTACAGTAGATGCCTCTCATGTATAAAGGCCACACGGATACTGCTAATCATTTTGTGGTGCCAAAATAGTCTTCTACAGCAAAGGATTGTCCAGAGTCCAAAACATCAGCATTGCTGAGGTTGAGAAACCATGATTTAAATGAAGGAATCTTGAGCATGATTCTCAAATTTCAGAAGTTGGGGTAGCTGATATATTGGGAGGCAGAAATAATACTCACATTATGTTGTACACCTGAGGCTAACACAAAATACTATTGAGCCCTGGCCGGTTTGGCTCAGCGGTTAGAGCGTCAGCCTGCGGTCCAGAGAGACCCGGGTTCGGTTCCCGCTAAGGGCATGTACCTCGGTTGCAGTTTGTCCTCGGCCCTAGTTGGGTCGTGCGGGTGGCAGCCACTCGATGTGTCTCTTTCATGTCGATGTTTCTCTCTCTGTCTCTCTCTCCCTCTCACTCTAACTGAACAAAACAAAAAACAAAAACAAAACAAAATACCTTTGAATGTAAACTGTAATTAAAAAAAAGATAATAATAATAATATTTAAAAGATAAGCAATGAACCAAAATCAAAGAAATAATATAAACTCTTGCATTGCAAGGAGATAGGCGTATGGGGTCAGGAAGGAGCAGAAACTGAGACGATTTGAAGGAGACTAAGCTTGATAGCAGATAGGAAAAAGACTAGTGGATTTTATTTCATCAGAAACTTAATGATTTGACACCAGTTTGCTGTAACTGCTAAAAATGCAATCTTAGGCTACTTCAATACAAGAATAATTTGCAAATCCACTATGGTACATTAGTTCCAGCCTAGTAATGGCAATAAGAAGTTCAAAATATATATTTGTAGAATGGATGATTTGGTCATGCTATGAGAGTATTAAGTTTAGTTCTGTATACCTCATTTTGTAAACAAGACCAGAGAGCTCCTTGAGCTGGACAATCAGGATTGTGAGGGGAGTGAGATGTTTAACCCAGATAAATGCACATTGTCTTTCTTACAAAGAAAAATTAAATTAGAACCAATGGAAGGAGGTTTCAAGGACAGACGTAGCAGTTCAATTCAAAGATAAGCATAATTACAGCTACCTAACACTGAAAAAGCCTGTTTCACATAGCGTTGGTCAGCACCCCATCATGGAATATTCAAAAAGGTCAATGTTCTTGCCATCAGGGAGCTCACAACACAACATAGTTAACCACTTACATAGAACTTCTACCATATGCCAAGTACCATTCTAAACACTCTACATATATAAATTCAGTTCATTCTTACAACAACCTTATAAGGTTATGTTCTTTATTTCCACTTAGAGAAATCGGAGAGTTCAAAATTTACATCCTCAAAGTCAGGTTTAGGATTTGAACCCAGATTGTCTGGCTGCAGTCTATGTTCTTATATATTTCAGTGCTAATAATATACATACAAAGCGCTAGACAGGTGACTGATGAGACTTACAGAAGGGATTCTAGTATTGGGTAGAAGATTACATACAGCTTTATATAAATCATTTGCCCTTGTCACACAGCTAATTATTAAACCCTAACCTTCCTGTTCTTTCTGTTCTATTCTCTTTCTGGTCTGTTCTCTTTCTGTTATGACACTGGGAAACTACCTCAATCCTTATCCCCACTCATTGTTTCTACTAACTGTTCATACACTGTTTCTCTTTAAAGAATAGGCTTTAAATTTGTGTAATTGCCACCTATAGGGTATCTCAGGCAACAAGGATCTTGCACACTGGGCAGCCAAGTCTTGCCCCTGTACCACCTCTTCCTGAGTATGGAGGAAAAGTTCGTCATGGGCTGATCCCTGAGGAATTCTTCCAGTTTCTTTATCCTAAAACTGGTGTAACAGGTGAGCATTTGCCCAGGGTTTGGATGTTATGGTTTATGTTAACCTAGGATTTTAGTGGCCTCTTAACTCTTCACATACACCACAAAAATCAAGTCAGCTGTCTTAAAAGTGATATGTGGAAGTGATTCAATATAACAGTTAATTTAGTTGCTCTAACTTGTCTTGGGAATAAATTTGTTTGGGATTTTAACTTGATTTTTAGCATTGCCTCCATTTGTTGATATACCAAATTTATTGAGTGCCTACTTTATGCCAAACACTGGTCTAGGCATACAGTGGTGTGCCGTCATGGAACATAAATTCTATTGCAGGATAGACAATAAAGAAATGAGTAACTGTATAATATACTACCCAATGGAAAGAGCTCTGGATTAAAATAAAGCCAAGTAAGGCAGTAAAGATTATTAAATTGTATATATGAGCATGAAAACAGAAACTGGGCCATATTTATCAGTTTCTCCCCTTTCAAAAAAGTATAGACTGTTGTGAAACACTGCAATTTTATAATGCAGTATGCTTTCACTTAACATTATTTAATTCCTGTAACAGTCCTATGAAGACATTTTTATTACCCAGAAGAACTAGAAAACCAAGAATTTGCCAAGATTTATTTTTTCTTTAGTAACTGAGTAGCACTTGCTCATGTTCTTCAATTAGGTTAAGTGTCCTTTCCACTACACACACTGCCTTTCTTGCTTTATTCAGGTACTACTGTGACTGGAACATTGGAAACCAAAGATTTTTTTTTTAACCCTCCAAGGAATGGCCTAAAATGCCATTTTTCTAACTGAAATTGTAAGAAATATTAGGGTCCTCAGATTTCCATAGACCGATAAAATATTACATGTGATTGTGATAGACCTTTTTGCAAATTCACATTTAAAAATTATATATTGGAGCCAAAACAACAACAATAACAACTACTTGAAACTCTCTATGGGAAACTGGGTAAAATATATTTGAGACTGCAGTTGACCCTTGACATGGATTTCAACTGCATAGGTTCACTTATGTGTGCATACTTTTATAAAACACTGTAAATGTATTTTCCGTATGATTTTCTTAACATTTCCTTTTTTCTAGCTTGCTTTATTGTAAGAATAGAGCATATAATACATATAATATATAAAATATTTGTTAATTGACAGTTAATGTTATTGTGTAAGGCTTCCATCAACAGTAGGCCATTAGTAGTTAAGTTGAGTCAAAAGCTATGTGTAGAATTTGGACTGTGCGGAGAGGGTCAGCATCCCTAACTACCCCTCTCCCCCACCTCGTTGTTCAAGGGTCAGCAGTCTCACTTCTTTATTCTCATAATACAGCCTAACATCCTTTGGTCAGTGTTGCTCAGAAATGCTATAAAATGCTGCCCTAAAAGCTTTGTCTCTGCTTAGCGTCCTGTGAGGCAAGAAAAGGATAGCTATGTTTGAAGCACTTGAAGATGCTTTAAGAATTAGGAATCCTGATATCTGATTCTTCCTTTTTTATATATACTACTTCATAGTTTGGTTTTCTTGTTTGTGTGTGTGTGTGTGGTTTTTTAAATCTTCAATGTTGGGTTCCTACTCAAACAATATGCAGTAGTGGATAAATTTTATCCTGACCATTGTTCCTGTTCAATAAATTGTGTATTTTACTGCACAAATTACTTCTGAAAGTTACCTGACATATTTGGAATAGTTCCTGTTTGTTGAGCAGTTGTGCTAAGCACTTTTCACACATTATTTTTAATCTCCAACCATGTGAAGAAGGTACTGTTCTCATTTTACAGACGAGGAAACGAAGCTCAGAGATTATTTGTATTGCTCAGTTTCTTATAAGTTGCAGAGTCCTATTTCCTTGAGTCCAGATCCTTATTCTTTCAACTCTACCCTAATGCTTCTCAATCCAGTGTTCTATCTTTGAATCCAATTATTTTAATCATTACTTGACTTTACCTTCAACTAAGTAAATGCAGAATTATTTTTCTATCTTCCCTTTTTAGACCTAGCATATCCATCATAAAATAACTTTTTCTTCTTTCAGGACCCTATGTGCTCGGAACTGGGCTTATCCTATATTTTCTATCCAAAGAAATATATGTGGTTACTCCAGAGACCATCTCTGCCGTATCAACAATAGGGTTGCTTGTGTATATAGTTAAAAAATATGGTGCCTCTATTGGGGAATTTGCTGATAAACTGAATGAGGTAAGAATTGTAAACCTTATTTCCCATTTTAGACCATAGTAGAAGCATCAAGGCCATCAGGTGATGGTTTGTTTTGTTTTGTTTTGTTTTATCCTCACCCGAGGACATTTTTCGATATTTTGTTCAGATAGAGTGGGAGGGAGAGAGAGAGAGAAACATCGATGTGAAAGGGACACATTGAGTGGTTGCCACCCACACGACCCAACCACGGCTGGGGACAAACGGCAACCGAGGTACGTGCCCTTGGCGGGAACCGAACCTGGGTCTCTCTGGACCGCAGGCCAAGGCTCTAACCTCTGAGCCAAACCGGCCAGGGCAGGTGATGTTTTTGATATGAATATACATATACATATATATATATACATGTATATATACACACACACACATATATGTATATGTATATTCATATACAATATAATTAGAAATTAATTACAGTAATACAATTACATGTGTTAATATGTTACTAATTTGAGATCGGAAGTCAAGATAAATTTTTTAAAATCTACCAAACTTGCCCTGGCCAGTTTGGCTCAGCGGTTGAGCGTCGGCCTGCAGACCAGAGAGTCCCCGGTTTGGTTCCCGCTAGTGGCACGTACCACAAAAAAAAAAAATTTTTTTAAATCTACCAAACTTGCCCTGGCCGGTTTTGCTCAGCAGTTGGAGCGTCGGCCTGTGGACCAGAGAGTCCTGGGTTCAATTCCTGCTAGGGGCACGTACCAAAAAAAAAAAAAATCTACCAAACCTTCTCCAGCTTTTCCATAGTTTTGTTCATTCAACAGATACTGTGTAGCTATCATGGGGTATTCTTTTTAAGGATTTGTGTGTATGTTTCTTTGTGGCTGTTTTTATAAATGAGAGGTGTGACTTTGAGGAAGAATAAGATAAATCTGTTTTTATTACCCTCGATACGTTCACTGATTTTTGTTATTAATATTATGATTGCAGCAAAAAATTGCCCAACTAGAAGAAGCGAAACAGGCTTCCATGAAAAACATCCAGGATGTAATTGAACTGGAGAAGTCCCAGCAGGCACTGGTTCAAAAGCGCCACTACCTTTTTGATGTCCAGAGGGTAGGTTTCAGAACTTTCTAAGGAGAATGCAGTAACTCATTTGTGTGCATTTAAAACAAAAATTTAGGATCTCTTACATGAGAAATGGCTGAACATTGAGCATATTTTATTTAGAAAAGATTTGAGTGGGGTTTGGCAGTTATGGCTGTTTAGACATTGAAGACCTACCAAGTGGATAAATGATTAGAGTTATTACTCTAAAATGATAAAGAGTTGTCCAGCTGGTGTGGCTCAGTGGTTGAGCATCGACCTGTGCACCAAGAGGTCTCCAGTTCGATTCCCAGTCAGGGCACATGCCCAGGCTGTGGGCCTGATCCCCAGTGTGGGGCATGCAGGAGGCAGTCAATCAATGTTTCTGTCTCTCTCCCTCTCCCTTCCTCTCTCTCTAAAATCAATAAAGGAAAAAAATTTTTAATAAAATTAGAAAGAGTATAAGTTATAAATCCACACAAAAGGAAAATAGCCATTACGTTACAACTGATTAAAGAATGGAATTCATTGTCCAAGGCACGTCACAAGGAAACATATTTACTGTAAGAAAACCTGATACTTACATTCCAAATTCATAAGCAGATTCAGATGGCAGTAGAGCTTTTTACCAAGGTCAGAGCAGAATGAGATTCTAAAATATTTAGTTTCTAAAACCACTTTAGGAATATATCCAAGTATTTTGTTGTTTCCTTGAGCATGGCAGTTTATGCTTGATATTTAAAGTGAGATGTCCTTATTTTGAGGTGTTATAGAAGCACCTATGAAATGAAAAATGACATGCTATGGTAAAGTAAGGAACTGAGTAGTAAAGCTGTAGTTCAGTGTGGTCTACAGTGCCATGTGTGCATCAGTCATTGGGTATAGGTGTTTGGATCCATTCTAAGCCCTGTGGAATTAGAACCTCTGCTAGGAGCTATCCAGAAATCTATATTTTTAAAGACAGGATCCCTAAAGATCCTTATGCACATGAATCTTTGAAAACCTCAGAAAATTTTAAAACCTCTTTCCATTCATATTTAGGTTATAGCTAGAGAATGGTTTTTGCCTCATGCATAATTTGTACACTCAAACAAAAACTGGCTTTTGAAGAGTAGCTTTTTCAAAAGAATCAAATGATAGTCATTAACATTTGTATTTATTTAATAGCTATTTATTGAGTTCTCCCTCTGTAGAAACCTCAGTCAAGGCAGGGTTCTGGGATTACAGCAGAGAACAGAACAAAGTCCTTCTTCATGGAGTCTACTTTCTAGCCAAGGGTTGAGAAAAGGACAGGAAAAAGAAATTGATCAGACCTGAGTGTCAACTGGTAGTAAGTGCTATGTAGAACAATAAACTAATGTTAAAGAGAAAGAAGTTTTGGAAGGAGGGAGTTACTGTTTTAATGTGCAGTCTAGAAAGACCTCTAATGTGATTTTTGAGCAGAGACCTGAAGAAGTAATGGTGCAAGCTCTGTGAATTTCTGGGGAGATGGTATTCCAGGGAGAGGGAAGAACACTTACAAGGTCCCTAAACCTGGAAGCTGTTTAGTATAGTCAAGGGAAAGTAAGTAGGCCAATGTAGCTGAAGTAGAGTGGATAAGGAGAATTTAAAAAAGCAAGGTGGAGTGGTGGCGGGGGCTTGGGTGGCGCAGAAAAAAAAAAAGGCAAGGTAGAGATGGCCAGGGGCTAGATCATGTAAAATCTTACAGCCTTCTGGAAGAACTTTGACTTATTTGAAGGAGAGAAAAGGGCTCTGAAGCTTTTAAGCAAAGGAGTAATATGATCTCACTTATGTTTTGAGTGGTCACTGTGATTGCCTTGTTGCCTTCGGTCTTGTATGCACTGATTCGGAATGTCTGTGAGTTGTAGAGTTGCTAGGACCATTGGATATATGAGTCTGGAATTTATGGGGAGAATTCCAGACTGTAGATTTGGGAGTTGTGAGCTTTACAGGTGGCACTTAAAGCCATGAGACTGGAACGCAAGGGAAAAAAATAGGTGAAAACAAGGACTTTTTCAATTTGTAGTCACTCTATTTATGGCCAAGTAATAAAGGGCCTAAGAATTTGCCCTAGAATTTAGCAACATGGAGGTTCTTGGTGACCTTGGTAAGGTCTATTTTAGTGAGGCAATTGGAGTAGGTTGAAGAAAGAAATGAAAGAAAAGGAATTGGAGTTAGTATAGACAATTGTCAAAATTGCCAAGGAGTTTTATTGTAATGGTGAACAAAAATTAGTAGCTAGAGAGGAGGATGTAGGAGACGAGAGATTTTTTTAAAGATGCAAAGTATTACATGTGACCATCTGATAGATGTTAGAAGAGAGAAAAATTAATGCAAGAAAGGGGAGGAGGAAATTTATTGGAGTGATGTCCTTCAGTAGGCTTGGAGTAGAAGGCACAAGTGAAGAGGCTGGCTTCAAGAGCATAGATAGGTCAGCCATAGTTACCAAAAGGAAGGCGAGGTATATGAGTTATCGATTAGGTAGGCTTGTTTGTATGGTGGTAGAAGTTTCTGGAAATTCTTGTATTGCTTCCTTTTTCTCAGTGACATAGGAAGGAAGGTCATTTGCTTAGAGTTGAAAGTAGTGAAGGAGAGAGCAGAGATTTGAGGAGAAAGAAGAGCAGGAGAGTGAATGGACTGAAGAACTAAGCATTAAGGGCTTGAGATTAGTATATTAAGCCTTTACATTTGACAGGAGTCTCATCATACACTAGAAGAGGATAATATTCCTGTCACCATTATTAATTTGCTACCATTCTGGAAGCAGTAGTTGATACTAGAAAAGAGAAAGAAGCAAGAGATATAAAAATTCAAAAAGGCAAAGTTGATCTTACAGAATACCTGATTATATACCTAGAAAACCTAAGAGAAGCATCATAACTCTTAAAACAATAAGTAAATTCAGCAAGGTGTCTAGATAGAAAATTAATACCAAACAAAATCAGTAGCCTTCTACATACAATTAGCAGTCCATTAGAAAATACTCTGGAAGAAGATATACCATTTAGGAAAAGATACCTAGGAGCAAACTTAACTAGAAATGTATAATCTCATTACCTTGTGAAATGCTTGTGAGGTATAAGGCTCTAAAATTGGAAGGCTCACTATTATAAAGACACCAATTCTACTTTAATCTCAATTTTAACACATTCCTAGAAAGAAAATACTAAGAGATAGAGGGGAGTGGAGGGATGTTGGGACTTGGACAAATTGATTAATAGAAAAAGTAAAAAGAATATCCAGGAGTATTCTGAAAAAGTGAAGTCATGATGAACAGTCCTACCAAATATTAAAATTCATTATAACATTAGAATCAACTTGAAATAGTATGGAACAGCAGTTGAAAGGGTTTAAAGATAGACCTAAACACATAGGCAATTTAGATAGATGGCATTATGTCAATTAAACATCAATTAAAAAAAAGAAAATTTGAAAACTATAAGAGTGGAAGTGATCCTTTAACTTTGTAAACAGTTTTTATCATTTCTTAATTTTGCTTCAGAATAACATCGCAATGGCCTTGGAGCTTACTTACCGGGAACGGCTGCATAGAGTATACAAGGAGGTCAAGAATCGCCTGGACTATCATATCTCTGTGCAGAACATGATGCGTCGGAAGGAACAAGAGCACATGGTGAAATGGGTGGAGAAGCACGTGGTGCAGAGCATCTCTGCGCAGCAGGTACGTGATGTTTGAAGCTTCTGGAGTTTGGAGTGGTGTCTCTGACAAGCATCTGCTAATGGCTGTTAGCATTAGAATGGCTGACCAGGAGTTTTTAGAGACAGGCTGTGCTTGGTTTTTCTGGGTAGTGAAACCTAGAAAATGCTGCATAGCTGAGCTGGTGGCTTCCTTCTTCCTCAAAGTTTGGTTATGGGCTTCTTACCTCATAGATCAGAACAGTAGAAAGATTGTTCAGAACACTGGTTTTTGCAGACTTGTGTTCAAGTTCCATCATTTGGGAAACATTACCAACATATTTAATTTCTCTGTGAAACAGAGACTAGAGAAGGCTATTTCTGAGCCCCTTCCATTTCCTAATTCCATGATTTTTTTCCCATGTCCTCTTTGCCACCTCCTCATTTATTGGACTTGAATGGAAAGGTTTTCTGTTTACCTAAACTTGATTTCCTTTTTAAAATTTATATTTATTTACTTATGACATGATTTCTTCTTTCCCAGATATATAGTATATTAATGAATTGGTTTTCAGTAAACTATCTTTTGTATAAAAGTAATACATACTTATTTAAGAAACTTGGAAAATACAAATAAGTACAGAGAGAAAACAGTTATTTTTATTCTTAACGATTCTGTATTACTGATGTTCATTAGTTTGGTCTTTCTCAAGCAGCCAGTAGCTGTACAAGCTAACACCAATGGCACTTGGTTACAGGAGTATCTGGCTTTAAACTCTAGAGGTTTTACTTATAAAAGCTATGAGCCAGGGTATTTTAACTAATCCCCTGGATTTGCTTAAAATAAATTGCATCGTCCCTATGTAAATAATTAATTTCTAGTAGTCTGTCATATTAAGCCAGTAACCCATCTTGAGATTATGTAGGAACCTGTAGGAGGTAAGAATTTCAGTGTTTATATCCCTTCATGATTTGGAAAGGTCTCACCAGATTTCTCTTTCCTCATCACAGGAAAAGGAGACAATTGCCAAGTGCATAGCAGATCTAAAGCTGCTCGCAAAGAAGGCGCAAGCACAGCCAGTCATGTAAATGCATCTGTCCCGACTGAGACAGCTAGAAACACTTAACTGATGGAATGGAGACTGGGCTGTGACAAGCGTTAAGTATTGCCGGCTGCTGGAGTTACAGTTTACCTGCCTAAGATGAAAGCGAGAGTCTCATCTAGTGAGAGAATCAAAACAGTCACAATCTCTTGACCAGTGAGATGTTTCTTGTCATTGCTCTACATTTTGAGTTGTTCCATGATCACTTTTGAATGAGCAGTTTGCTTTTAATAAAATTTGGTTCCTGACTAAAGACTACCAAGTTATAACTTAAATTTTTAATTAATGCTACCATCTTACAATAAAGTGACAATTGAAACAAGGTTTTTCAAGTTGCATAAACTCCTGAAATACTATTTCTACATGTATCATATGGGTAAAAATTAAACATGTCATTGAACTGAAAGTTCTATTTATAAGACTATTATTGGTAAGCTACTTCTGCCTAACTGACAGGTTATGGGCTGTTTAAAGCTTTTTAGTATTCTTAAATAACTAAAGAAAATATTGTACATCAAATCATATTGATTTTATTATTATTTTATTATAGTTTAATCCTCACCTAAGGATATCTTTCCTTTTTTTTTTTTAGAGAGAGAGTGGAAGGGAAGGAGGGAGAGAGAGAAAGAGAAACATTGATGTTCGAGAGACACATTGATTGGTTGCCTCCCTCACTACCCTGATGGGGGCTGGGGATTGAACCTGCAACCCAGGTACGTGCCCTTGACTGGGAGTCAAACCCTCGATGCTTTGGTCCAATGGCTGATGCTCTTAAGCTGAGCCAAACTGGCAGGGTGACTATCATCATTTTAGTAGTATATCTATGGAAAATATTACAGATTCTGTGTGTCATAAAATCACTCTTTTAAGAATCCAGCATATAGCCCTGGCTGGTTTGGCTCAGCGGTTAGAGCGTCGGCCTGTGGTCCAGAGAGACCCGGGTTCGGTTCCCGCTAAGGGCATGTACCTTGGTTGCAGTTTGTCCCCCGCCCTGGATGGGTCATTTGGATGGCAGCCACTCGATGTGTCCCTTTCACATCGATGTTTCTCTCTCTCTCTCTCTTCCTCTCTCTCCCTCCCACTCTATCTGAACAAAAAATGGAAAATGGAAAAATGTCCTCGGGTGAGGATAAAAAAAAAAAAAAAAAGAATCCAGCATATAAATCAGAAAGTTCTGCCCTTCCATAGGTTTGTCTGCATTTAGTTCTTCCATGCTTACATAAATCTTTATGTATACAAATGGACAACTTACATAATAGGAAATATTTGAAAATATGTATCATATGGGTAATTGTTATTTTCATAACTTCCTAGGATTTTGATTTATGTAACAATCATTTGGGTCAATATTTATTGCTGGCTAATGTATTCTTTTTTTAATCCTCACCCAAGGACATTTCTGCATTTATCTTCAGATAGAGCTGGAGGGAGAGGGGGGGAAGAAAGAGAGAAGCATTGATGTGAGAGAGACACACCGAGTGGTTGCCACCCACACAACCCCAGCCGGGGCCAGAGACAAACTACAACTGAGATACATGCCCTTAGCAGGAACCAAACCCGGGACTCTCTGGTCTGCGGACTGATACTGTAGCTGCTAACCCAAACCAGGGTGCTAATGTATTCTATAGAAATCAGATTGACATCTTTATTGTTACTTAAAAGAGATTTTGACTAGGTCAACAGAGATGTTCTAAATTATTCATTTAACAATTATGAACACCTAGTTTGTGCCAAGTACCATCCTGCACTGATCATACAGAGATAAAAGTCCGTCCCTACCTCAAAGAGTTAAAAATTTACTAGAAAGGCAATAAGAATGTGTGATACAATATCAGAGAAACAGGGCTACTGGGATATATGTTTATATATAAGGGATTTGATTTGGCGCTGTCATGGGAGCTGGTTAAAACAGTCTGCAAAGGCTATCTTTGTTTTTAATGCAGGAGATCGAAGTTCACGGAACAGGCAGTTAAGAAGGGAAAATGGATATCAAGTAGGAGAGGATAGGAATGAGTGGAAATCACAAGCACACACTGAAACCGTCAGTTTTATTGTCTCTGACCTTGATGGTAAGATTGTCCTACAAAGCCCCAGGCCCTTCATCACACATATCTGGTCCAAAGGTCAGAGAAGCTGAAGGCTGATCCAGAGAAAGGTTGGGAAGTTGCAGGCCCAGCTATAATTGGTGAACCAACAGATCACAACATGTATGGGCTACAAAATAGTCACTGTCTCGCATTCACCCTCTAAAATTGCTCAAGAATCTCTTGTGGCTCTTACTAGAATGTTCAGGGAAGAGAATTCTGCAAAGTGTAGGTCAGTCTAACCAATTTGACATGTTAGGAACCACTACAACTGTCCTATCAAATGTCAACCTGAATGAGTAATACTTAAAACAAAAATTCTAAGCCCAAGAAGGCAATAATAGCATCCAATAAAACATGGAGAGAGCAGAAAAGCAACATGTCAGAAAAGAAATGATATCTAAGCTGGCATTTGAAAGAGGAAGTTAGCCAAAAGAGCATTGGAATTGGAGTCCGGGAAGATGGTGCAGCATCAGTGATTGTAGAGAAGCCTCTGTAGGAGAGGACCATTTTTATTTTTTAACTTAGCTTTATTGTTGAATGTATTACAGCTGTCTCCTGTTTTTGCCACATTGACCCCTTCCTCTCCAACCCACCCCTTTCTTGCCTTCCCCACAATATTGTCTGTTGTGTTCATTGGTTATGCATATAAGTTCTTTGGTTTTCTTTTCCCACTCTCCCTTCCCCCTTCCCTTTGAGGTTCATCAGTCTAACAACCTATCTGTACTTTTTTTTGTTGGTCAGATAGAGTGGGAGGGAGAGAGAGGAAGAGAGAGAGAAACATCGATGTGAAAGGGACACATCGAGGTACATGCCTTTAGCGGGAACTGAACCCGGGTCTCTCTGGACCGCAGGTCGACTCTCTAACCACTGAGCCAAACCGGCCAGGGCTATCTGTACTTCTTAATCCCTTCACCTTCTTCATCCATCCCCTCAAACCCCTCCCATCTGACATTCAACAAAAAGTTATTTCTATCTATGAGTCTGTTTCTCTTCTGTTTGTTCATTTGTATTGTAGATTCAATTCTTGATAGATATGTATTTATTGACATTTTATTGTTCATTTATTATCTTCTTCAGGAAAACCTTTCAACATTTCATATAATACTGGTTTAGTGGTGATGAACTCTTTTAGCTTTTTCTTGTATGGGAAACTTTGTATATGTTCATTGATCCTAAATTATATCTTTGCAGGATAGTATAATCTTGGTTGTAGGTCCTTGCTTTTCATCACTGAATAGCTCTTGCCACTCCTTTGTGGCCTGCAAACTTTCTTTTGAAAAATCAGCTGACAGTCTTATGGGAGCTCCCTTGTAGGTAACTAACTGGTTATCTCTTGCTGCTTTTAAGATTTTCCCTTTGTTTTTAACCTTTTGCATTTTGATTATGATGTGTCTTATTTTGGGCTTTTGGGGTTCATCTTGTTTGGAACTCTCTGCTTCCTGGATTTGTATGTCTCTTTCCTTCAACAAGTTAGGGAAGTTTTCTCTCATTTTTTTTCAAAGAGGATTTCAGTGTCTTGCTCTCTTCTTCTGGCACCTCCATGATGTGAATGTTGGTATGTTTGAAGATGTCCCAGAGGCTCTTTACACTATCCTCATTTTTTTTTTTTTTTTATTCCTTTTGCTTTTTGCCTTCCTGATTGGGTGTTTTTTGCTTCCTTTTATTCCAAATCGATGGTCCACCTACTCTACTATTGATTCCCTGTAAATTATTTGTTATTTCATTTGGTGCATCTTTCATTTCTGACTGGTCCTTTTTTATGTTGTTGATGTTCTCACTAAGTTACTTGGAGTTCTTAAGTTCCTTGAAGTTCTCCCTAACTTCCTTGAACATCTTTATAACCAGTGTTTTGAACTCTGCATTTGATTGATTGCTTATCTCCATTTTGTTTAGTTCTTTTCATAGAATTTTCTGTTCTTTCACTTGGGACATGTTTCTTTGTCTCCTCATTGTGGCTGCTTCCCTGTGTATATTTTCAAGTGTTAGGTAGAGTTACTATGTCCCCTAGGCTTCGTAGGGTGGCCTGTTATAGTAGGGCCCAGTGGCTCAGCCTCCCTGATTAACCCAGCTAGGCTCCTAAGGTGCACCCCTAATGTGGACTGTCCACCTTCTGTTGTAATTGAGTCTTGATTGCTGTTGGCATGTCATTGGGAGGGATTTACTCAGACTGATCAGCTGCAAGGACTGGCTTTGTCCACTGCCCACTGACCTCTGGACTACCTTGGAGGATCAGCTGTGCAGGGACCCGCCATACAGAAAAAGACTTAGTTCAGTAGGGCCATAGTACCCACTGAGTCTACTCATTGAGTGTGACACCTGTGGAGTTGGTTGGATGGTGGTGCCTCAGTGTGGTCTGAAGCTGTCCACTGGGTGTGCTGGCTCTGGAGCAAGGTCAGCCTCTGCCTGTGTTCTACTTGGGTCCACCAGGCATAAGCTACAAAGAGATCTGCAGATAGTTGCTGCTTGTGCTGGGCTTGGAGGTGCCCAGGAAAAGCCAAGTTGTGAACCAAGGCTGGCTGCTTCTGGTGCCAGGCCTGGGGTCACTTAGTGAGGTGTATGGGGCTCACTGAGAGCAGATGCTTCTTGTTTGAGGGATTTTAGGAAACTCTGAAGCAGGACCCAAGACAGGCCAATCCTATGGTAAAGCCACTGGAAACAGCTTGGGTGGGCCTGAAAGTTGGGTGGGGCCAGGCCTCAGGGAGTCACCAGGGCGGGGCTAGGTGTGAGCCAGGTTGCTGGAGTCCCAGATATGGCGGCTGCCTGCCGCCCCAGGGAAGGGCTCACCAAAGGAACAAAGGCCTCTGACAGCACATCTGTCCAGGAGAAAGCTGTCCCTCCAGCTCACACCCCAGTGCCAAAGAACTCAGTTCTTTTTTTTTTTTTTTTTTATCCTCACCCGAGGATATTTTTCCATTTTTTGTACAGATAGAGTGGGAGGGAGAAAGAGGAAGGGAGAGAGAGAGAGAAACATCGACGTGAAGGGACACATCGAGTGGCTGCCACCCGCACGACCAACCAGGGCCGGGGACAAACTGCAACCAAGGTACATGCCCTTGGCGGGAACCGAACCCGGGTCTCTCCGGACCGCAGGCCAACGCTCTAACCGCTGAGCCAAACCGGCCAGGGCAACAACTCAGTTCTTTCTCATGTGTCTCTGGTGCCTCTCGAGCTGCCTTCCCCATGCTGGAGCCCAGATGGAGCAAGTCCGAGTAAGTCCGTGCGCGGGCCCTTTAAGAACTGCCTGGGGCTCCCACTGCTTCAGCCTCCCTCAGCCTCAATTCCTGCTGGTTTTCCAGCCAGAAGTGATGGGGATTCTCTTCCTGACACTGGAACCCTGAGCGGGGCACCTGGTGTGGGCTGGGGACCCCTCAGTCCTCAGGGAGGACCTTCCCAGCGGAAGTGTCCTGATTTTTATCCGCCACACGTGGGTGTGGGACCAGCCGGTCTGCCCCTCATACCAGTCCCGCAACTGGATCACCGCTGTAACCTCTCAGCCAGGCTTCTCAGTCTCCTGGCCGCCTTCCACTGCTCGCCTCCAGGTGCAGGGATTCTCTCAGACCGCAGGTTTGATCGTGTCACCCTTGACTAAATTCCTTTGCGTAGGTAACCCGCTTCTCATACAATGCACACCAAGGCTCCAAGGGAACTGGCTCCTTCCTGCTCTTCAGCTTTGTCCCCTCACGCCCCACACCCGCTGACAGCTGCACTCTCACTTCCTGGCTTGAAAGTGTCACTTTAGTTTGTTTGGACTTCCTGCCCTCCTTTCTGACACAGGGCTTTGAATTTTAATTTGTTCCCTATTATCTTTCCCACGCTCTTGGTCGAGTGAAACTCCAACTCACAGCTCAGATTGTGGCTGGTTTTCCTCCAGGAAGCCCACCCTGGGTCCCCGAGTCACAGGCATACATGCCGGGGTCCCGCCCCTGCAGCGCCTGGAGCCACTACCATTTCTTTGTGTGGTCACAGCCTCCTTTCCTCTTCTGAAGGCTCCATGAAGGCAGGAAAGGGCCTTTGTTTGGCTCACCTTGTATCCTCAGGACTTAGATTCCTACGTGGCACAAAACAATTGTTCACTGTGGAGTGGACGGAAAATGAATTCTCTCAGCCACTGAGAGTCAAAAACTTGACATACCCCTTAGACGCATTCTGCTTTTTTGTTCCCCATATCCAGGTCCCAAGTCTTACAACTTCCAGTCTTAGGACAGGTTTCCATGGGTTCCTCCCTATTCCCGCTGCTCACACCCTCATTAAACACTGGCCTCTCCCCGCTCACTTCCTCCTCTCTCTGCCCACAGTTCACTTTGTGTGATGTGGTGGACTCTCCCTGAAAGGCCATGTTTGTTATATTCCAATTCAAAACCCTTCAGTGGCTCCTTCTTAACACTTACACTATTTCTTGCTTGGATTGAAGACCTCCACAATCTGATTGAAATCCATTTTTGGAACTGTTTTTACTTCCCACCCCTTACAGATGCCCCACCCTCAAACCATGCCGATATCTCAGAAATACATCACTTGAATCCCAGCAAGAGTTCTGTGCCTGGGGCGCTCCTCAAACAGTTTTTCCCTTCTCCACCCAAACCCTATCCAGGCCCCGGCCCCAGCCCCAGCCCCAGCCCCAGCCCCAGCCCCCGCCCTGGGCCGCAGCCTCGCCTGACCTCACCGCTCTGCTAGCCCTCCCCTTCCTCGGCCTTCCCTGGGCTCTGCTCTCAGTGGACTTGTCTGCTCCTTGCACAGGCCTCCCTTCCCCGTCCCCCATTTTATCTAAGGACATCCACCCATTTACTCTGAGCATGGCATCTGCTTCTTTTCTTCATGGCCCGTAACACGATCCACGATGAATCCCTTTTTCACCTGTTTATTATGTCTCTTCTCAATTAGCCGGTAGGATCTGTGAGGAACTTCTCTGCTTTGCTGACAGAATTACCCACAGCACCTGCCTGCTGTACGACACATTGTGTTTGTAATGAGTGTATTAATGCTGTCTTATGAATAGATGTTTCTGTGACTTGCCTTCTCTTTGAAGTGCTCCGCGTGCTCTAACACACTTACAGTCCGCACAGCGGGCACTTAACTCTTAACACTACTGTTTGTTTGTTTGTTTGTTTGTTTGTTTGTTTTTCACCTCATCTCCGTGGTTAGAATAAATGGCACTAGCCCTGGCCAGTTTGGCTCAGAGGTTAGAGTGTCATGTGTCAGCCTGCGGACCAAAGAGCCATGGGTTTGATTCCAGTCAAGGGCACATACCTGGGTTGCAGAGCAGTCCCCAGCCCTGGTCAGGGTCGTGCGGGAGGCGACCAATCGATGTGTCTTTCTCATACTGATGTTTCTCTCTCTCTGCCTCCACCCACCTCCTACTCTATCTGAAAATACATGGAAAAATATCCTCGGTGAGGATTAAAAAAGAAAAAAGAGCCCGGCTGGTGTGGCTCAGTGGTTGAGTGCCGACCCTGCACCAAGACATCACCAGTTTGATTCCCGGTCGGGGCACATGCCCAGGTTGTGGGCCCCATCCCCAGCGGAGGGGCATGCAGGAGGCAGCCAATCGATGTTCTCTCTTATCGATGTTTCTATCTCTCCTTCTCCCTTCCTCTGTCTCTCTATGAATAAAGAAAAAAAATTTAAAAAAAAAAAGAATAAATGGCACTATAAGATGCCTGATGACAATGATCATGTCATGCTGCTGTGACCCCCCTCTCCCCTGTGTCCGGCATGTGGTTATTCCACATGTACTTAATTAGAAATAAGCTTGTCTTATCTCTTGTGCTCTGATGTTCATGTGTCAAAAGATACAAAAGAAGTTCTCTGCGTATGGGATTTAAAAAAATACAATTGGCCTCAAAGAGGAAGTCTGCCCTGGAGTTTAGTTGATTTGCAGCACTTAGCTTGACAGTGACAGTAATTATTTCGTCATTTCTGAAAACTAGCGTAGCTGCGGAAGCACAAGTTCAGTTTTAGGCGGTGGCATCTCATGACTGGACTTTTTCTTAAAAGGTAAATGCATTTACTCCATACTTTTAATTTAGACAAAAAAAATCGTTCACCAAAGGAAATTGTCATCTAATTGTTAGTGGTTTCTATCATTTCTTTTTCTTTTAAACTTGATTTGGTGGGGAAAGGGTTGTGTTTGTCTGCACTGACTTGGTGAATTTAATGGCAATCGGGAAGATTCTCCGGTGCCAGACAAAATGTGAAAAGGTGTGTACAGCATTGTTTCTAGTTTAATTTATGCTTCTGTCGACTGAGTAAGTGTTGTTTTTAAAGGGAAATGCGCTTCCTTCTTTTCTGAGTCTGGATCTTTTCTTATTGCCCTGTGGTATTGGTGATGGTTTTGTCTTCCAGGGTGGGGTGGCCCAACTTTTATTCCAGGTAGCTGTGGTAACATTTCTTTGCGAAGGTTGCACATTCAGAGCCACTGATGTGAAGGTTAAGATTTAACAGAAACCACCCTGGCCGGTTTGGCTCAGCGGTTAGAGTGTTGGCCCAGGGACCAGAGAGTCCTGGGTTTGGTTCTCGCGAAGGGCATGTACCTCAGTTGCAGTTTGTCCCCAGCCCCATTTGGGGTGGTGTGGGTGGCAACCACTCGATGTGTCTCTCTCACGTCGATGTTTCTCTCTCTCTCTTTCTCCCTCTCTCCCTCCTGCTCTATCTGGAAAAAAAAGATTTAACAGAAACCTACGATTCTTTTCTCTTCCACCTCCCCAGGGGTAAGGTCTAGTGTAAGTTCATAGGATAAGTTCATACTCTGTTTATTTAGCACAAACACATATTCCAATATATTTAAAATGCTGTATAAATATTTTATGGTACTTTACAAAGAACATCACTGACTTTCGAGTGAAAAGGAGCAAAAAAGTGCTAGAAAGATCATTACCACTGCTGATTCTGCAGTGCATGGTGGCCTTCCTGTTCTCCCGGCTTCGAGTTCTCACCCAGTTTCCCTGTCGGCACCTCTCTCACTATCCTACATGCTAGAGCCAGGTTTGGTCCAGTTGTAAGGCACTTGGTATAATGTCGCGGTTGCTGCTGGTCTGTGGCAATGAGGTCCTGCTCCCAACCCTCCACCACGTCCCAGGACTTGGAAATTGATTCACTTTTGAGAGCTGAACAATTAAACAAATAATTGATGGCATTTCTTGTCTAAATAAATTACCTTAAAACACAACAGATTATAGCAGAACCAAAAATTCTTATCATGGATTTACCTAATTATGAAGTAAAATTGTGACCTCCTAAAATTGTTTTATTGTATTATAAAATAATAATATAAATAATTTTTAAAAAGTGGAAACAACATTTATCAACAAGCAGGGAACTGGTTAAGCTAGCTATAGTACATAACTGCACAGCAAGACCTGTTACCACAAAAAATGCTTTATAGAAAGTTGTTAGTGGCATGGGAGAATACGATAAAAAGCTTAGTTATAAAAAAGGATATATGGAAAAATATCTCAACTAGTCTTTTTTTTTTTTTTTTTTTTTTTATCCTCATCCGAGGACATTTTTCGATATTTCGTTCAGATAGAGTGAGAGGGCCCTGGCCGGTTTGGCTCAGCGGTTAGAGCAGCGGCCTGCGGTCCGGACAGATAGAGTGAGAGGGAGAGAGAGAGAGAGAAACATCGACGTGAAAGCGACACATCGAGTGGTTGCCACCCACACGACCCAACCAGGGCTGGGGACAAACTGCAACCAAGGTACATGCCCTTAGCGGGAACCGAACCCGGGTCTCTCTGGACCGCAGTCCGACGCTCTAACCGCTGAGCCAAACCGGCCAGGGCTCTCAACTAGTCTTTTAAAAATGCATGGCAGACAAACACTCTATGATCTCACTTATATGTGGAATCTTTAAAATCAAACTCATACATACAGAGAACAGAGGCCAGAGACGGGGGTGGGGGGTGGGTGAAGGTGGTCAAAGGTACAAACTTCCAGTTATAAGATAATTCCTGGGGATGTAATGTACAGCATGGTGACTATAGTTAATAGCATAGTACTGCCTATTTTAAAGTTGCTAAAAGAGATCTTCAACATTCTCATCACAATAAAAACAATTGTAACTGTGATGTGATGGATATTAACTAAACTCATAGTGGTGATCATTTCACAATATAAAAGTATATCAAATCACTAATTGGTACACCTTAAATGAATACAATGTGATATGTCAATTATATCTCAATAAAACTGAAAAAAAGTGAAAAACTAAAAAAACAAATTTTAACTCATAGAAGTACAAAACTAAAATGAAATACACTAAAATATGAACCATGGGTAGTGGGAGTTTGGATGATTTTACATTTATGCTATATATATTTTTGGTACAAATAAATAAAAGTGGAAAAACATAGGAAGCTTAACATAACAAATAGAACCATAGCCTAAACAAGGATGTTTTCACTAGAAAAGACAGTATGCGAACAGACTAGAAGTGTCTGGTGGAACCTAGAGTATGGACCTCCAACAGCAAGTTTGTCAAAGTTTGCTCAGTACAGCCAGGGGAGGGGAAGGCAGATGCATCAGACCTACACGACACTCAGTATTAAAAACACCCATTCATCTTCTCCCATCCTTACTTTAATTCAGTGCTTACACTTACCAAGCAAAATTATGGTTTCAGTTGGCTTTCTTATATGTTCTGATAGAATGCTACTCATTACACCAACATGTTCCTAATGTCATTTCAGTTCATACATCAGTCTCCTGTGAATTGGTTGATGGGAGTTAGTTCTGGAGTAATCAGTCAATTCTAGGTGCCCTGATAAGATCGAATTTCTGGACCTGGAAAGCTGAGGACTGGCTGCTGAGCTGTGGCAACCACACCTCATAAAGTCTGGACCACTGACCTCACTAGAACACCTGCCTACCACTTGCCTCTCTCTCTCTCATTGTTACTGTTCTTATACAGAGATCACAGTTGACCCTTCCACTACCTCTCCTTTCCAGGCTTTCTCAGAGGTACTTCTTTATTTTCAGGGGAAGACAGCATGGGAGGAGGTTCATCCAAAACTGAACCCAGCAATGGTAAGTTCAGGATAGAATCCATTACTTGCTTCACTCCAAGTTGAAATGAACTGGAATAACTGGAAAGTGTGCTGAAGGGCTGTAGTGGGACATTTCTGAAGTTGAAAAAATCAGATTTCACCATGATGCAGTAACACCAAGAGAGTGAAAAAGGCACCCAGAGAGAACTGTCTGATCCTCCAAATTTGAGTAAATAGTGTCTCTGTGCTTGGAATTAGACCAGCTGGGTGGTTCGTGGAAATCTGGTTTACTTCCCTTACAACATCCCCATTTATGGTGTAGGTATTGAGAAAACTCACTGTGGCTGCCTTTGGCGTCCCTGAAAACAAGTTAACAAACCAAAACAAGGAAGCAGATGCCAAGGTCAGATTCCCAAGGACCTTGGGAAACACTAGTTCTGGAATTCACTTTTGGTACTTGATTCCCTGGCCTTGAGATTCTCTGCTTAAATCTGAGAGAGATATCTCCCTGGGAGTCCTATTAAAATCCTCCAGGGAGACATTTTTGTTTATCAAAGGGACATATGTGCTACAGAAACACTAGGCTTTTCTTTCATTTGTATAGCTGATGGTTTTTGAAATTCCAGTTCTAATTTCCATGTGAAAGGATCCAGGATCTAAGGAACAATGTTCTCTCCATTCGCAGAGTTGTAGCCCCCATCATTCAACTCCACTGGTTGCTTTGGTAGGGCGGGGCACCTGGGGACACTTAAGCTGGAAAGATTCATGAGAAGTGGCAAATACACTAATCCCCTTCATGTTTTCTTACAGAAAAACAAAGACCCCACATCACACCAGCTCCAACAGTCAGCCCTACATCCTGCTCCAAGTAAGTGAGCATTCTCCCACCATTTCCTCTTGTACCACATGGTGTTGGCAGCTTTGCCTTATGGACTGAGGTGGGACCTCTGAGGAGAAGTGTCCAGAAACAGTGGAAGAACTAAATCAATTTTTTATCCTCATAGTGTTTTCCTTAACCTAGGGACTCCCAAGCCGCAAGAGATTCATGAATTCTTTAAGTTTATAAATAAAATTTACTGCGTGGGCCACCTATGAACATTTTTTTAAATTACAGTTGACATACCATATTATATTAGTTTCAGGTATGCAAAATAGTAATTCAAGATTTACATGACTTACTACATATCCTGCCAACACCAATTCCCCCTTCCAGCTGGTAACCATCATTTTTTTTCTCTGTATCTATAAGTTTGTTTCTGTTTTATTTTGTTTTTTTGGATTCCACATGTAAGTGAAATCATATGTGGTTTTTCTTTCTCTGTCTGACTTATTTCACTTAGCACAATACCCTTCTAGGTTTATCTATGTTGTTGCAAATGGCAAGATTTCATTCTTTTTTACTGCTGAGTAATATTCCATATTGTGTGTGTGTGTGTGTGTGTGTGTGTGTGTGTGTGTGTGTGTATAAAATCTTACCCATTTGTCTGTTGGTGGATACTTAGGTTGCTTCCAAACCTTGGCTATTGTAAATAATGCTATAATGAATATAGGTGTACATATGTCTTTATAATTAGTTTTGGATTTCTTCAAATAAATACCTAGAAGTAGAATCACTGGGTCAGAAGGCAGTTCCATTTTTAACTTTTTGAGGAACATCCATAATGTTTTTCATAATGACTGCACCAATTTACAATCCCACCAACAGTGCATGAAGGTTCCCTTTTCTCTACATCCTCACCAACACTTTGTTGATTTATTGATGATAGCCATTCTGACAGGTATGGGTGGTATCTCATTGTGGTTTTAATTTGTGTTTTCCCTAATGTTGAGCATATTTTCATATGTCTATTGGCCATCTGTATGTCCTCTTTGAAGAAATGTATATTCAGGTTCTCTGCCCATTTTTTAATTGGTTTGTTTTTTTGGTGTTAAGTTGTAAAAGTTACTTATATATTTTGGATATTAACCCCTTGTCAGATGTATCATTGAAAAATATCTTCTTCCATTCAGTAGGTTGTCTTATTGGTTTTTTGTTTTTGTTTTTTTATCCTCACCCCAGGACATTTTTCCATTTCTTGTTCAGATAGAGTGGGAGGGAAAGAGAGGAAGAGAGAGAGAGAAACATTGACGTGAAAGGGACACATCAAGTGGTTGCCACCTGCACGACTCAATCAGGGCTGGGGACAAACTGCAACCAAGGAACGTGCCCTTAGTGGGAACCGAACCCAGGTCTCTCTGGACCGCAGGCTGACACTAACTGCTGAGCCAAACCAGCCAGGGCTGTCTTTTTGTTGTTGTTTTTTTTTTATGCCTTCTTTCACTGTGCAAAAGCTTTTTAGTTTGATGTAGTCTTGTTTGTTTATTTTATATTTTGTTTCCCTTGCCTGAGAAGACCTATCCAAAAAGATATTACTATGAGCAATATCAGAGAGTTTAGCCTATGTTTTCTTTTAGGGGTTTATGATTTCAGGTCTTACATTTAAGTCTTTAATCCATTTTGATTTTATTATTGTATGTGGTGTAAGAAAGTAATCCAGTTTCATTCTTTTGCAAGTGTCTGTTCAGTTTTCCCAACACTGTTTATTGAAGAAACTGTCTTTACCCGACTGTATATTCTTGCCTACTTTGTCATAGATTAAGTGACCATATAAACATGGGCTTATTTCTGGGATCTCTATTTTGTTCCATTGATCTATGTGGTGTTATTTTTTGTTTTTGTTTTTTTTCATGCTAGTACCATGCTGTTTTGATTACTATAGCCTTGTGGTATAGTTTGATATCAACACAATATCTCCAACTTTGTTCTTTTTCAAGATGGCTTTAGCTCTTTGGAGTCTTTTGTGGTTCCATATAAATTTTAGGATTATTTGTTCTAGTTCTGTGAAAAATACTATTGGTATTTTTATAAGGATTGTTTTGAAATATATAGATTGCTTTAGGTAGTATGGACATTTTTTACAATGTTAATTCTTCCTATACATGAGTATGGTATAGCCTTTCATTTATTTATGTCTTCTTCGATTTCTTCCTTCAATATCTTATAGTTTTTGAATACAGGTCTTTTGCCTCCTTGGTTGAATTTATCCCTAGGTATTTTATTTTTACTGATGAAATTGTAAATGTGGTTGTTTCCTTAATTTCTCTTTCTGATAGTTTGTTATTGGTATATAAAAATGCAACCAATTTCTGAATATTAACTTTATATCCTGCTATTAACAGCATTCATTTATTCTAATCATTTTTTTATGGATTATTTTAGGGTTCTCTATATATAGTATCATGTCATCTGCAAAAAATGACAGTTTACCTCTTCCTTTCCAATGTGGTTACCTTTTATTTCTTCTTCTTGTCTGATTGTTGAGGCTAGGACTTCCAATACTGTGTAAAATAAAAGTGGTGAAAGTGGACATTCTCGTCTTGTTTTTGAGAGAAAAATCTTATCTTTTCACCACTGAGTATGATGTTATATGTGGGTTTGTCATATATGGCCTTTTTTTTTTTTTTTTTTTTTTTTGTGGTATGTGCCCCTTGTGGGAACCAAAGCCGGACTCTCTGGTCCGCAGACCAACACTCAACTGCTGAGCCAAACTGGCCAGGGCATATATGGCCTTTTTTATGTTGAAGTGTTATATGGCCTGTTTTTTTGTTTTTTTTTTTATCCTCACCCGAGGACATTTCCCATTTTTTGTTCAGATAGAGTGCGAGGGAGAGAGAGGAAGAGAGAGAGAGAGAGAAACATCGATGTGAAAGGGACACATCGAGCGGTTGCCACCCACATGACCCATCCAGGGCCGGGGACAAACTGCAACCGAGGTACATGCCCTTAGCGGGAACCGAACCCGGGTCTCTCTGGACCGCAGGCTGACATTCTAACCGCTGAGCCAAACCGGCCAGGGCTATATGGCCTTTTTTATGTTGAAGTGTATTCCCTCTATCCTCACTTTGCTGAGAGTATTTATCACAAATGGATGTTGGATTTTATCCAATGCTTTTTCTACATCTATTATATAGTCATATGATTTTTTTCATTTTGTTTCTGTGGTGTATCACAAATTAATTAATTTGTGGATATTGAACTAGCATTGCACCTCCAAAATAAATCCCACTTGTTTGTGGTATATGATTTTTTAAATGTGTTACTGAATTCAGTTTACTACTATTTTGTTGAGGATTTTCACATCTATGTTCATGGCCTATAATTTTCTTCTTTTTTTCTTTTTCTGTAGTGTCTTTGTCTGGTTTTGGTATCAGGGTAATGCTGGCCTTGTAAAATGAGTTTGGGAGCCGTTTCTCTTTAAGTTTTTAAAAATATTTTGAGAACTGTGAACATTCTTGAGGGGAAAGAGAGTCTACAGCTTTCATTGGAGCCTCAAATAGGTCTAGAACCCAAAACCAAGAAGTTGAAACCAAAAAGTGGAAGTGGGAAGTGTGAACTTATTTTAGAGGTTTACCTATAGGAGGGAAATGTTACATTTGGTCTTTAGGAAAGGGCTTCAAAAATCCCAGAAGGTCACTTGCTCTCTTTCTTTGCCACAACAGCAAAGAACTTCATTTGGCCTTAGCCTTTCTTGCTGGCACTCTGCTGACACTGCTGCTGATGGTCCTTGTCGTCCTCATCGTAAAGAGCTACAGAAAATGTAAGTGGCCTCCTAGCGATGGGGCAGCCCTTCTTTCTCTGCATTGAGCATAGAGAGCCTTGAGTGGGTCACAGGAAGGAGAGGATAAAACCTGCTCAGCCCACCTTCCCTGCAGACTACAGATTTGAATCCCTCCACTTCTCACCTGCCCCCCTGACCTCCCCTTTCCCACCTGTATCACCTTCTCCGGCCCGCCCCTTCACCCAAGACTGAAGGGAGAGGCTTCCAATTCCTCCAGACCCATCAGTGAGATTTGTTCCTTTTTTTCCTGGCACTTGTGGCAGGTCACTCTAGTCCCCAAGATCTGGATCCTCACTCAGATCCCCTTGCCAAGGTAAGATGACCACGCTGTCTGTGACACTGGAGACCGCTGCCATTGGAATTCTCTTCTATACTACGCCTTATCTGCTGGACTAGTGGCATTGCTTTCTGGATGCTGGGCGAGTGATTCCTTGAGGGGTTCTTCTGATCTGTTTGGGTCTCCTCTGACCAAAGCTTTCAGGTTGCTTCTGAAAAGGGCCTTGCTTGTAAAGAGACACATTCTCCAGATTGAACTCACTCATTCCTCCTCCTTCTTCCTCTGCAGTTATCATCCGTCCCAGAGGACACACTTACTTATGCCAGCATGACTTTCAAACTCTCGGAGGAAAAGAGAGACGACTTGTTTGCAAACCACCCTCTAGATGTGAACTCCGTTGTCTATGCTCAGATTAAAGAGACAAACTCACCCTGAGTTTCCAATAAGACTGTGATCCAGTTTCCCTCACGTCAGCTCCATGTACATACATCGCTTTCCTTTTTAGAAATTTTGGACCACAGTCTGGATGAAACTGCAGATGGAGCTGTTTGGGTGTGACCTGGTGATCTCAGCCAGGAGTTTTTGACCCAGGGTCAGTCTTTTCCCTGGCCTGAGGAAAGATTGCTGGCCCTCCCACTCAGACTCACAGCTTGTAAGCCCCCTGAGGATCGAGACTGCCTCCCTTTGTCCCCTTCCAAAGTGTGTGGCACAGGCTCAGTGCACCAAGAGTGTTCACTCAATGTCATTGATCAACTTGGGAGGAGTCAAGCAAATGAACAATCTACCAAGAATTACAAATAAAAGCAAGCCCTCTGCAATGTTGGCTCCTTCTTCATTGTGTCCCTGTTACCTCCAGAGATCAGGACCACAATCCACAGCTCATGCACAGCCAGAAAAGACTAACACAGGTGATGGTACTCAAGTTCAGGATTGATCTGGGCACGGGTCTCATCCGCTACCACTAACCTGCTACATTCATCTGGGCAAGTTCATTACACTTTTAAAGCTTCAATCCCTTCATCTTAAAGACAGAACTGAAAAAAACCTCTCAGTGTGAGAATAAATGAGATATAATACACATGAGCCCTCTGTATATCCCAGAGTTCCACACAGATACAAGGTCCTTCCGGTGTAAAGCACCACTCAAATGTGGATGTTCATCTCCTTACGATAGCATGAGATATGCTTAACAACACTATATGGGAACTGAAGATTAACTATAATATCCCCCTAATCCTTCCATAGACAATCCTTGTAAAAATACCAATAAGAGCCCTGGCCAGTTTGGTTCAGCGGTTAGAGCGTCGGCCTGCGGTCCGGAGAGACCCAGGTTCAGTTCCCGCTAAGGGCATGTACCTCGGTTGCAGTTTGTCCCTGGCCCTGGCTGGTCGTGCAGGTGGCAGCCACTCGATGTGTCCCTTTCACATCGATGTTTCTCTCTCTCTCCTTCTCTCTCCCTCCCACTCTATTGGAACAAAAAATGGGAAAATGTCCTCGGGTGAGGATAAAAAAAAAAATACCAATAAGATTACTTTTTTACTCAGCAAGATTACTCTAAAATTCCTATGTTAATAATAACCAAAAAAGAAAATTTAGGAAAATTCATAAAAATAAGTAAATAGGTAAAATTAATATAGGAAGCCTAGCCCTAACAGTTAACCAAAAGTACTGTTTTATTAAGCATATTAAGACTAATTAAAATGATATGTAAATAGTACATGAATAAACAAATAAATAGGACAGAATAAAAAAGACCAGAAATAGACCAAAACACATAAGGAAATTCAGAGTATGATGAAGATGACATCAAATCATGGGGTGGGGGGTGGGGGAGCAGGAATCATTTTTTGAACAAATGGTATTGAGACAAGTTGGTAGTCATATAGATGGAAATATAATTGGATCCATTTATCACTCCTTATATCAAAATAAATTCCAGATATGTCAAAAATTTAACTGTAAAAGTCATTAAAGTACTAGAAAAAATATGAATTTAAAAAATAATCTCAGAATGGAGCATGCCTTTGAATGTATGACACAAAGGCCAGAAACCAGAAAAGATGAACTCGACTTAGGAAACACCATTTAAACACAAAGGACAAGCTGGGGAAATACTTGCAAAGCATCTCCTAGACAAAGGGCTGATTTTCTTAGTATATCAAGAATTCCTCCACAACTCACTAGAACAGTCCATAGAAAGAAAAGGACAAAGGATAAGGCTGGGCGATTCACGGAAAAGGAAATATAAATGGCTTTTACACATGTGAAGAGATACTCAACTAATTTCATCATAAGAGAAACAGTGATGAGAACTACAATTAGATACTTCCCTTCAATAAGATTAGCAAAACTCACGGTGTTTTCTCACAAGCTGGGCAAGATTGTGGGGATCCAAGATACATTCATGTTACTGGTGGGAGAGTAAGTTGGGAGGCAGTTTGGCAATGGTCTACATTCTATTTCTAAGAATTTATTGTTCTTAAACATGTGGAAAACCACTTATGAAGGGGTTCAGAACCGGGTCCCCAAGTTGTGCCACTATGATATGTGAATTATTTTAAGCTGAAGGCAATTGAGATGCTGCAGGGTCACAAAAAACTTTTACCTCTCCCTTAAAGAATGTAAATTAGCCCGGCCAGTGTGGCTCAGTGGTTAGGCATTAACCCATACACCAAAAGGTGGCCGGTTCAATTCCCGTGGTCAATCGATGTTCTCGCTCATCGATGTTTCTACCTCTCTCTCCCTTTCTCTTCCTCTCTCTCTAGAATCAATAAAGAAAAAAAATTTTTTTTAAAGAATTTAAAGTAGGGAATTTAATTCCCTAATTTAATAATAATAAAAGTTATCACCAGAAATAACTTTTTATGACCTATTTGTATGTCAGAGCAAACATTACTGAATATCTGCTCTTCCTATCGTCCTGTGAATAACCCTCGTCCCCTCTGAAGCCCTAAGGCACCCTACCTCATTCCTTAGCTTAAAATGTCCTTTACCTCACATCCCCTTTCTGTCTCTGCACCTCTCATGTGGGGTCTCTGACTCTCTCATGCATATGGGGTTGCTATGTGCACAAAATGATATTTGATTTTCTCCATCAATCTGTCTCCTGTTGAAGAGGAAAACTTCTCCCTTCCCGACACCTGTGTCATTATAATTACAGTAGGCATCAAATTGGCTAAAACTTAATGAGGCTTGTTACACTCTCAGCAATATTTCAAGTGCTTGGCATGTATTCGTGAAATCCTCACCAAACGAGGTTACAGTTGTTCTCGTCGTTTCGATCCTGAAGGGGAGGCAGAGAGTTCACACTGTGGGCCGCAGTGGCACAGGGACTGGCGCAGGTGGGCTGGCGCCAGTGTCCGCACCTCTGCCCCCTGTGCCAGCTCTCTGAAACGGGGCAAGGCCGAGGAGACCCTCGGTGTCTGTTGGAAGGGCCTGGCAGATGGAGTATGACGTAGCCATTAAAAAGGAGGAGTCAGCCCTGGCCGGTTTGACTCAGCGGTTGGAGCGTCGGCCTGCCCTGCGGACCACAGAGTCCTGGGCTCGGTTCCCCCTAAGGGCACGCACCTCGGTTGCAGTTTGTCCCCGGCCCCGGTTGGGGTCGTGTGGGTGGCAACCACTCAATGTGTCTCTCTCACGTCGATGTTTCTCTCTCTCTTCCTCCCTCTCTCCCTCCCGCTCTATCTCAAGATAAATGCAAAAATGTCCTCAGATGAGGATAAAAGGGGAAAAAAGGAGCAGCTGTTTTCTTAGGTTATAAGGAAAACAAGCTCTCCAAGTGATGCTGTTCAATGAAAAGACACGCTGTTGAACATGTTCTGTATTCCTGTAGAAATCCCTGTGGTGTGTCTCTGGGAGGAAACTGTTAACTGGTCTTAGTGATCGCCCCTAATCACTGGATCACTGAGGGACTGAGGGGCGGAATGGAAGGAATCTCCTTCCCTTCAAAGCCTTTTGTAACTGTTAATGTTCTTCCTTTACCTGTTGAGCATCTTCAGGGGGCCTGCTACCTAGTGCCCCCTGTCCCCACCTGAATTCTGAACCAACTGAGCAATAAGAAAGGAGACTCAACAGACAGACAGAGTCCGCACTGGGGAAGACGTGTATCCTGGAGCCGCAGACGTGGGCTTCAGAGCAGCGAGCCCCGTGTGGATAGAGCTGCAGCAAGGAAGGTACCCTCCCCCACAACCAAACCAGCACTCAGCCATCCCGTGCATTTCAGAACGGGTCACGTGCTCTTTGTAAGCTGCACCCAAAAGATTAGAAAAGAAAGAGGAAGGGCAGAATAGGTATGCCCAGTTCCTACCGCAGCCTCACCCATCACACAGGTTCCTCCACCTCCCACAGGGTGTACTGAGGCGTGTCCCTCTAATGGGGCTCAGTCCACAGGGAAGGAAGTAGGAGAGGGGGGCAGGAAGCATCTTCCACAAAACTCTTTTTAAAAATACATTAAATAATCTTTTAAAAATCAAGGTAAGGAAATTAAACTTCAGAGAGCTGAAATAGTTTCCCCAAGGTCTCTAGCTAGTGAGTGGCAGAACCAAATTACATCAGATCTCTGACTTCCGATTGCTGGCCTCCCCCAGCCTGCAGCCGGAGCACCGAGGGCAGAGAAACCAGACAGGTCAAGTCCGGTGGCACGGGCAAGGGAGCTTGTTCTTTCTGAGATAGAGCAGCTGCTCCTGACAGTTGTCCTCTGAGAAGACCGAGGAGACCGTGGCGTGGGGGTTTGCTAAGGGCATGGCCCCTCCGGGGAGCAGGCGGTTAGGGAAACTGTCCTGCGGAGAGGACGCAGCCCAGCAGCCAGCCCCACGAGGGCAGCAGAGCCCGCGAATCTCTTCCCAGCAAGGAGGCCTCACTCACTTCAACTGTTCCCAGACTCTGGGCGGACAGACAGCTCTACCCACCCACCCACATCAGCTCTTCAGCTAGAGCCAGGTGCTCAGCAACAGCCTGAGGGGTGGGCATGCCCTGTGGCCGTCCGCTCGCTCGTACGGAAACCGCACGTGAATCGCTCTTCCCTCCGCTTGCCTGAAGCTTCCCGTCTTTCACAGCATAGCCCTGCTTACCAAGTCTTGTTTTTGGTCTCTCTCGTGCAAAGTCAGGGGCAATAGCCTTGCTGGAGAATGAAATGAGTAAATAATGATCTGTAGATCGAAAAATTCTCTGTAGGTAAGGGAAGAAACAGGCTCTTAAACCCGGGATCACAGAAGCAGAACAAACCTGTAGAGTCCTCAGGGAAACAGTTTTCCAGAGAGGTGAGTGTAAATCTTCCAAAACATCTAGAGATGGCTTCGTCTGTCATCAACGGTGGTGGTCTGCTCTCTGGCCAGTGTCCCAGGAGGGCCTAACTGAGCTGGATTGCTATTTGCAGAGTCGTTGGCTAGTGGCTCCTCTGTGTGAGTTCAGTATATGGCCATGGGGGGGGGGGTGGGGGTTGTTTTGCAGCTGAGGGAGAAGACAGCACTTCTGATGTTTGATCTGAGATTCTGGGAGGAAGGGAACGCTGCATGGAAACGCAGATGCAGGAACGGGATGATGTCCACACTCCCTCCCCTTCCTGTCAGTCTGTTAACTAGCTTTGAGTTCCCTACCTAAGGAGAGGGGGTTCTTTAGGGTAGATGCTGAAGGAACTGTGTTCATGGAAGTCTTTGTGAGAGCCTGGACCTAAACATGCAGGGCGTGTGCAGAACGGAGCCCATCTCCCTGTCCCAGCCCTGCCAGACCAAAGGTCCGCTTGAGCATCCTGAGCACTGAGACTGGAGGAGACTAGAAAAGCAGGGTTTTTATGAGAGCAGCAGAGGCAATATGGGGAGACCCTGGGAACTCCCTGAAATAGCAGGAGAGACACTACATGGGGAGAGAGGGTGCAGACACGCAGATGGGTGCTGACATGCAGGTGGGAGCTAAGA